TATGACCATTACTTTATATTATCATACCTATTACTTATTTCCATTTTATTTGTCTCTCTTGCTGTGATTTTATCCTATTCTTTCATTTGGGACATATTCTTCGGTCTCCTCATTTTCACTAACTCTCTATGTCTGTTCCCATGTGTCAGGAATATCAGCTATGTCTCCTGCTCTTGAAAGTGGTGACCTTATGAAGAAGAGATCCTGTAATGCCCTGCAGTGCAGTGTTCCCTGTTCACCAGAAATTGGTGCCTCAAGCAGTCTCCTATGTGTGTTGCATGCACCCTACTTCTGTGGTGGAACCATGTTTGCCTTCAGTCCAGCTGTCTGCAATGGTTCTCTCTGACTATTGTGGGCAGGACTTTGTCCCTGTGCTGTTAGTGAGCCAGTCTGGGGTCACCTTGGGCTTGAGCTGAGTCAGACTAGGCATTTGCCGGAGCTGTGGTAGCACTGAACTGTAAGGTGCTTTGCAGTGTTGTCCTCTTGAGAAGCTTTCATTGGTGGGTGCAGCCTGCAGTCAGACCAGATGTCTGCCCCCAGCCCACTGCTGGGGTCTAAATCAGACAAATGTGTATGGTTATCTTCCCCTCTCCCTGGGACAGGAGTCACTTTGGAATGGTGCTGGCCTCAGTCAGGGATGCTTGCACATTGCCAGGCTTGGGGCACTGCTTTGGATGCACTCCTGCTAAGGGTGGGTCTACAAGAGAATACGGGTGAGGGCATGTTGTTAGAAAATTGTGTGCTGGTCTGCTGCAGGAGGGGACCTGTGGCCTGGAGAACTGCCAAGGGCAGGTCTGTAGAAGAATGCAGAGGTGGGGCATGAGGTGCCAGCAAGGTCACTGCTGGTCTGCTGTGGGAGGGACCTGGAGCCACGTTAGAAAACTGCCTTACCATATTGGAGGGGGGGGGGGGTGAGGAATAGCATAAGGGCAGGGCATGCTGTTAGCAAGCTAGGCAGGAGTGTTCAGGCTGCACTGGTTCCTGAAGGTGTCTATGTATCTAGTATGGGGGTCTGGGAAGGGAAATGGTGCCTGCCAATCCCTTTGTTCTTGGAGAAGTCTCCCAAAGATCCCTGCCCCTCCAGTACATGCTCTGAGATTGGTAAATAAATCTCCTTCCTGTGTACCCCAGGCATTTTTCAAACTGCCACTTCCATGCTGCATCTCAGTGGAGCTGTTTGTTGTGATTTATCTTTAAGGGTGGGAACTCAGTTTTCTATTGCTCTCCACCCATCCCAGAGCCCAACCCACTGATTTTTAAAGTTCTAGGTGTTAAGCCCCACTAACTGTAAGAACTCACAAAGTTAAGCCCATCTGGTTTTTAAAGCCAATGTTGTGGGGATTCATCTTCCCAATGCGGGCCCCCCATGTCTGGGGTGCCTGGTGAGGGGTCTTTTCCTTTCCCCTCTCTATGCCTATAGTCCCTCCCTCCTATGGATCAGTTTGGCTCCTGACCATGTCTCTGCCCTTGCTATCCTTTTCAATGTGGCCTCTTCTCTACATTTAGCTGTGGAGAGTGTGTTCTGCCAGTTTTCAGGTTGTTTACTGGGTTATTTGCCCTGATGTGGGTGCTATCTATGTGTATCTGTGGGACAAAGTGTGCTTAGGATTCTCCTATTCTGCCATCTCTCATTGTGGTTTTGATTTGCATTTCCCTGATGATTAGTGATGTTGAGGATTTTTTCATGTGTGTGTTGGTCATCTGTATGTCTTCTTTGGAAAAATATCTTTTCCTGTCCTCTGTGCATTTTTTAACTGGATTGTTTGGGTTTTTTGGTGTTGAGTTGTATAAGTTCTTTATATATTTTTTTATATTAACACTTTATCAGATATATCATTTGCAAATATCTTCTCCCATTCAGTAGGTTGCATTTTGTTTTGTTAATGGTTTCCATCACTGTGCAAAACTTTTTATTTTGATGTAGTCCCAGTAGTTTATTGTTGCTTTTGTTTCCCTTGCTCAAGGAGATATATCTAGGAAAATATTTTTATGGCTGATGTCAAAGAAATTACTGCCTATGTTTTCATTAAGAATTTTATGGTTTCCAGTCTCACATTTAGGACTTTAATCCATTTTGAGTTTATTTCTGTGTATAAGGTAGTAAAATAGTCCAGTTTCATTCTTTTGTATGTAGGTGTGCAGTTTTCCCAGCACCATTTATTTTTATTTTTTAAGGGGGGAGGAGGGTTAGAAGAAGAGGGAGAGAGAGAATCTCAAGCAGACTCCATGCCCAGCATGGAGCCCAACTTGGGGCTCAATCCCACAGCCCTGAGATCATGACCTGAGCTCTGAAATCAAGAGTCAATGCTTAACTGACAGAGCCACCCAGATGCCCCTAAAAGCACTAAGTTTTTACTAACCCCGCACACATTTTATGTATATGATGTCATACTTTACATTTAAAAAAAAATGTATCCTTGGGCTGATTTTTATAGATATAATTGATTTTACTCCTTTTGTGCGTTACCTCCATACTGGTTTTATAAGTGATTAATATACTTTTACTATACGTTTGAATTTACTTGTGAAATTTTTTTCCTTTCATAGTTTTCTTACTCCTGATTATGCCATTTTTTCCCACTTACAGAATTCCCTTTAACATTTCTTATAAGGCAGGTTTAGTGGTCATGAATTCTTTTAACTTTGGGAAACACTCTCTCTCCTTCAATTCTGAGTAACAGCTTTGCTGAGTAGAGTATTTTTGGTTGCAGGTTCTTTTTTCTTTCAGCACTTTGACTATGTTATGCCACTCTCTTCTGGCCTGTAAAGTTTCTACTGAAAAATCAGCTGATAGGTTTATGGGATTTCCCTTGTATATACTGTTTTTTTTACTCCTTTTAAAATTCTCTCTATCACTATGTTATGCCATTTTAATTACTATGCGTGGACCTCCTGGCATTAATTTTGTTGGGTGCTCTCTCTGCCTCCTGGATCTGGATGTCTCTTTCCTTTCTCAGATTAGGGAAGTTTTCAGCTATCACTTTTTTCAAATAAATTTTCTGCCTCCTTCTCTCTCTCTTCTGGAATCCTTACAATGCATATGTTATTATGCTTGATGACATCACTGAGTGCCCTTAACCTATTCTCATTTTCTATTATATTTTTTGTTTGCTTTTCAGCTTGGTTGCTTTCCAATACATCTATCTTCCAGATCACTGATCTGTTCTTCTGCCTCCTCTAATCTGCTCTTGATTTCCTCTAGTGGACTTTTCATTGCAGTTATTGAGTTCTTCATCTCTGGTTCTGTTTTATATTTTGTATCTCTTTATTGAAGGTCTGAGATCCTCCACTCATTTCTCAAGTCTGGTGAGTAACCTTATGACCATTAATTTGAGTTGTTTTTCAGGGATATTGCTTATCTCTGTTTCATTTGGCTCTTTTGCTGTGGTTTTATCCCTGTTTTTTTCATTTGGCACTTATTCCTCTGCCTCCTCATTTTGTCTAACTCTGTGGTTGTTGTTGTTGTTGTTGTTTTTCTATGTATTATAAAAGTCAGCTACATCACCTGATCTTAAAAGTAAGTAGTGGCCTTATGAAGAAAAGGTCCTGTGGTACCCAATGGTGCAGTGCTCCCTGTTCACCAGAGCTGGGCACTTCAATGGCATCTAACCTTTGTGGGTTGTGTTCGCCCCACTGTTGTGGCTGAACCACGTTTCCCTATAGTCAAGTCCATTGCAATGGCCCTCTTTGCCTGTTTTATGTGCACCAGGCAGGGTTTGGTCTCTGTGCTGTTAAAGGGACAGTCTGGAGCTGCTGAGGGCTTGTAGTTAGGTGATGTCAGCGTTCAAACCAGATGCCCCCTCGCAGCCCATCTACTGGGGCTGTCATTGCACAGAGCCGTAGGTCACTCTCCTTGTCCCCTGAGAGGCTTCATTGGTGGGCGGGGCTTGCACTCAGATCAGATGCCTGCCCCCAGTCAGCCTGCTGGGGCTGCCAGCTCACTGATCAGCAGGGCACTCTCACTGTGCTGCCAGCCATAAGGTTCAGCTGCTGGGACTGTGGGTACACTGGCATGTTTTGTGGATATCTTCCTTTCTCCCCAGGGCAGGAGTCACTTTGGAGGGATGTCTTCGGAGTTATGGCAGGTTGGATTGGGCCTGTCTGCAGGGGAATACATGGGCAGGGCTCTAGTCAACAAGATAGGTGGAGAGCATTCATGCTGCTTCCTGCAAGTGTCTGGCGAACAAGGTTGGGGGTAAGCAGAGAGGAAGAGAAATGGCACCCACCACCACTTTTGTTCTATAATGGTCTCCTAAAGATCCCTGCCCCTCCAATATATGTTCTGAGATTAGTAAATAAATCTTCCTGTATACCCCAGGTGCTTTCAAACAGCTGCTTCTATGCTGTGTCTCAGCAGGATTGTTTGTTATGGTGGCTCCTGAAGGGTGGAGACCCGGTTTCCTACTGTCCTCTAGCACTCCAGCTCTCCCAGAGTTAAGCCTACTGATTTTTAAAGTACCAGAGTTAAGCCCTGTTGATTGTAAAGACTCATGAATTTAAGCCCCACTGGTTTTCAAAGTTAAATGTTATGGAGACTTGTCTTTCCAGTGTGGGTCCCTCATGCCTGGGGTGCCTGGCATGAGGTCTGATCTTCTGGATTCTTGTGGTATCTCTCCTGTTTGTGGTTGGTTTTGCTGGGGTTTGGGTTCCCAACCATGTCTCTGCCACTCCTACCCTTTTCAGTGTGGCCCCCTCTCTATGAAAGTTGGTTCTGCTAGTCTTTGAGTCACTTTCAAAGATAGTTGCACAGATATGGCTGTTAGTTCAGTGTGTCCATGGCTTGAGATGAGCTCAGGATCCTCTTACTACACCATCTTCCCAGAATTGAATCAACTCTGGAGTTTTAAATATCAAGTTTTTCTAAGGGAAGATATACATAGCCTCTGCTGATGATTCAGGAATTAATTATAACCCCTCTCTGAATGTGGTTCAGGCAATCTAATACACTGGTGCCCTGTTTATTTAACTCTGAGATAATTGTGGGTTTTATGTTTGAGCAGGAAAAAGTGAAGCAAGAACTCAAATACTTACGAGATCAAGAAAGCCGTAAGATTAAAAATCATTTTGAAACTCTAAAGAACTTAGAAAATGAAATCTATGTGCATGACTTAAAAGTAGATGTTTTGCTCCTGGAAAATGAAAAATTAAGAAAAGTAAGTTCAAGGGCACTTCACTTTGCATGATAGTTTTGGTTAATTGCCTAGACCTATAATAGTTACAAGAGAAAAGGAGATTATATCTCTTAAAACTTTTGAAATAAAGACTATATATGAAACAGTGCACAAATCATAAGTGAAACACGTAATGAATACACATGGGCAACCAGCACCCAGATCAAGAAACAAAGCATTAACAGTATCCAGATATCTTCTATGTCCTTTCCTGTCACTAACCTCCCCACAAGGTAAAGTAACAGTATATTGGCTTCTAAGACCAAAGACTAGTTTTGTCTGTTTCTGAACATTATATGTATGGAATGATACAATATGCACTCTTGCTTAATATTTTGTTTGCAAGGTATATCTTTATTATATTGAATGCAGTTATGGTTTGTTTGACCTTAGTGCCATATATAGTATTCAAGTGTATAACTATACTACAATTTATATACTCTCTTGCTGGGGGTTTAGAGAATTTCTAGCTGGGGCTATTACAAATATAGTTGCTATGAACATTCTAGTACATGTGTTTTCAGGAACATATGTACATATTTCTGTTGGGTATACCCCTCAAGTGGAATCGCAGAGCCATAGGGATGTGGACCATCCACTTTCATGCACAGTGCCATCTCCCAAAGAAGTTGCAGAAATCACCACTCCCAGCTGGGTATGTGAGAACACCACTGGTTCCACATTCTCACCAAACTTTGGTTATTTTTTTTTCCCACTTAACCATTCTGGAGAGTGTGTAGTGGTATCCCTTGTGGTTTTAGTTTGCATTTTCCTGCTGATTGATGAAGCATCTATTTATATGTTGGTGGCCATTTTGTATACCTCTTTGTGAAGTACCTGTTCAAGTGTTTTGCCCATTTAAAAACTAGGTTGTCTGTCAGTTTTGTATTGATTGTATCATTTTTTTCAGTAAACCACAATGACCTCAAGGTGAGGATCTGTATCCATGTATCCCAAGTGTTTTGCACAATGGCTCACATGGAAAAGGGATTCAGTCCCATGTTATGCTCACAATAACCCATTAATGTGGATAATATATTATGTCCCTTCTATAGATGAGGAAACCGAGACTCTACATTTTTAATAATTTTTAATAGCTAGAAAAATAAAAACAGTCCAATGGCAGTAAGACTCTAAGTAAGGGAAAAATCTTTTACCTGTTTGGGTACTCTTTTTCATCAGGTAAATGGCAGCAGTTGTCCACCAGTATTATGTGCTTTTGGCAGAGTTAATATGGCATAAGAGGTACTAATGTACTTTGAAAAGGTAAATGTGCTCCAGAGCCCAGGTACCAGCATCACTAACCTGCACATGTGCAATACATCTTCATTCTTCTAGTCCTTGAAACAGTCTTATAAGGCATTTCTTTTGCCCATGGAAATATTCCACAAGATTGTCTTCCTATCAAGATGACATAGATTATTTATTAAAATACTTGGAATTTTTTTTGCTACTTTGGTAATGGATAAGCAAATGGATGACTATGTGAAAAATTGATCCTAAAGGTTCTGTTTTCTAATTTATTGTCCATCTACTAGGTCCTGAATGATGCTATGCTGTTATCTTATTCACTCCCTACTCTGTTCTGCTGGTTACATTGCTTCTCTCAGCAGACATTTTAAGCACCCACTGAGTCCTTGGGGAAGGCTCAGAATAGAGAGATCAATAAGACACCACCCCAAGTTCTTAGGAAGCTCATCACCTAGCTGAGGAAATGAGAAAATAAATGGATAAATTAGAATTCAGTATGTTTACACATTTGAGAGTTATGGGAAACCAGCCGAACTAGGCAAGTCTTACAAACTGTGGTCCACATTCAAAGAGGGGCAGGAATGACGACTTTGACTTGGCCTACAGGGGTTTTTACTCTGGTTTACTACAAAACCAGTCAAGAAGCCATGCAGACTGACACAAGATCAAGGCCCCATGAGTAGACCCTATAACCTGCTTATAAACAGTTCTGTGTCTCCTGTGGTACTAGATGTGATTTCTAAGATTTTTTTTTCTATCAGTGATTTGTAGTATTTGACTATTTCCCTCTTGAAACTGAGCCAGTGTCATGTTTATATCCAAAGCCCATGCTTTCAGAGTTCCCAGAGACTTTAGAGTTTAGCATTGCCTGAGCATTGGGTGGTCAGAAAAGAAAGCAACGACTTTAATACTGACCAAACCATTACCACCACCATCACCCAGCCCAGTGACACATCTGAATGGAGTGAGCAATTCTGTGGGGTCTCCAGACTTGAGAAATCCTCTCTCTGAAGTCTTACACGATCTCCTCCAGTCTGGAAGCACGGCTGCCTTGGTACATTTCCTGCACACACATTTTGCATACAGAACACTTTTTTGTTTGTGGGCACAATGCATTTAGGCAGAATACCTTTTAATTTCTTTTTGTGGCAAATTATATTCAGAATGCCATGTTTATTTGGATGCTTAAATGTTTACTGGGAAGCTGGATCCTTTATCTCCCTCACCAGAATGTAGGCTTGACAAGGGCTCTGGTCACCACTATAACCCTTGTTCTGAGAACAGTCAGTGGCATGGAAAAGAATCAATAGATGTGTGCCAAATGACTGCATGGATAAATAATTTACAGTAACTAAACTGCTTAAAGCAATCACATGTCTTTCATTTCCAGTATATTGCATACATGAAGAACAAGATAGAGCAATACGGAAAAGGAGGAAAAGACCTCAAGTCCATGTCAAGTGACCTGTCTTGTCAACTGACGGCTCATCAGAGTAAGTAATGTGTTAGGGGTGATCTGAACATATAAAAAATAATTTTTTTGTTTATTTAAATAAATTTTACTGACTTGCATACAATAAAATGAACCCATCTAAAGTTCAACGAGTTTTGATAAATGTACATACCACTGTAACCACTGCCACTTCAAGCAAGATAGAGAACATTTTATCCCTGAAAAATTCTCTTATGTCCCTTGGTAGTTGGTTTCCCACTCTACCTCCGGTGCCTGGAAACCATTGATCTGCTTTCTTTCTTTTAAGATTTTATTTTTTTATTTTAGAGAGATTGAGAGTGAGAGAGAGCACAAGAGCAGGGGGAGGAGCAGAGAGGGAAGGAGAGGAAGGGGGAAAGAATCTCAAGCAGACTCCATGCTGAGAATGGAGCCTGATGTAGGGGCTCAATCTCACACCCTGACATCATGACCTGAGCCAAAACCAAGAGTCGAAGCTTAACCAGCTGAGCTACCCAGGTGCCCCTGATCTGCTTTCTGTCACTAAGGATTAGATACAAATGGAATGATGGAATACTCACACTTTTGTACCCAGATTCTTGCACTCAGGAAACTTTTTTTTAGATCCATTCATGTTGTTGTATGTGCCATTGCTTTGCTGCTTTTTATAGCTGTATAGTAGTATTCCATTATGTAGCTATACTGTATTTTGTTTATCCATTCACCATTTGAAGGACATTTGGATTGTTTCCAGTTTTTGGTTACTATATGCTTACATGTATTTTTGTGAATATTTGTTTTCATTTCTCTTGGGTAAATACTGAGGAGTGGAATTGCTGGGGTGTATGGTTAGTGTATGTTTAACTTTATAAGAAACAGCCAAAACAGTTTGCCAGAGTAGGTGTGCAAATTCCTCATCCTACTAGCAATGGGATACTCCACATCCTCACCAACATTTAAAATTGTCAAAATACTTAAAATTGTTAACATTTAACCCATTTTATAATGGTATTTCATTGTGATTTTTATTTGCATTTCTCTGATAACTGATGCTGCTGAGTATTTTTTCATGTCCTTTTTGGATGCTTGTATCTCATCCTTTGTGAAGTGTCTTGAACCAATTATCTATTGCAGCATAACAAATATTACAGATCATTTCCTTTGCTCCTAAATTGGTCATTTGGTCGGAACCTGGTGGATACCACTCATGTCTGCTCCACATGATAGCAGCTGGGGCAACTTGGTGGCTGGGGGTAACTCAGCAGCTGAGGACTGGAGTCATCTGAAGACACATCCACTCACTCAGTGTGACTGGTGTTGCTGTTGGCTCACAGCCAGAGTCTCCATGTAGTTGCTTGGCCTGCTGTGTGCCAAAGCTAACATCCCAGGTCCAAGGGGAGGCGACATGGATGCCACTGCTAATGGGAGGGGTGTCGGCATCACGTTGTGGGAAGAGCATGTGGGATGGGGTATATTGTGGGGCCATCTCTGGAAAATACAGTCTGCCACATTTCTGTCCAAATCTTTGGCTCATTACTTTGTGTTGTTTGTGTTGTTGAGTTAAAATCTTTGCATATTCTGGAAATGAGTCCTTTTTCAGTATGAGGCTTGACTTCTCATTTTCTTAATATTGTCTTGAAAAGAGCAAAAGTTTTTCCTGTGGAAAAGTCACTTTATTGATTTCATCTTTTAAGGGTAGTACTTTTTGTGTCCTAAGACGTTTTTGCCTAAGCCAAGTTCTCAAAGATTTTCTGTTTTCTTTATAAGTTTTTAGTTTTAGCTTTTATGTCTAGTTCTCCAATTCATTTCAAGCTCACGTTTTTGTACGGTGTGAAGAGTTGAATTTCATGTTTTCTCTTATGTATATCCAGTTGTTCTAACATCATTTTTGAAAAGCCTATCTTTTAGCATTGTACTACCCGAAGTTTTTCAAAAATCAATTTTATAAGTCTGTTCCTTATTCTGACTTTATACAAATACCACACTGTCCTGATTACTGTAGTTTCACGTTCAGCCTGGAAATCAGGTAGCATAAGTTCTCCACGATTGTGCTTCTCCCTTAGAATGATTTTGGCTATTATAGGTCCCTTGATTTTCATATAAGTTTTAAAGTCAGCTTATTAATCTATAATTGCATACCTGCTGGGATCTTAATTGGGTTTGTGTTGAATCTGTAAATCAATTTGAGGAGAATTGACATCTTAACAAAATTAAGTCTTCCAATCCAAGAACACAGTATACTTCTCCATTTATTTAGAACTTATTTTTCTTAGCAAGATTTTGCAGCTTTTAGGTGCTGTATTAGGGGTCCTCAAGACCATCCTTAGGCTCACTGATCAGCTAGGATTTACCAGGCTCAAGTTGTTATGCTTAGTGTCCATTACACTGAAGGATACGGAGTAAACTCAGCAAAGGGAAAAGGTTCATGGGGCAAGTGTGGAGGAAACCAGATGCAAACCCAGTGTAGTTGCACAGATGCACTTAATTTCCCTAGGAATGATGCGTGACAACACCTGCAGAGTGGTGCCAAGCAGGGGCACCCGGGCTTGGGCATCCGAGGTACTTATTGGAGGCTGTTGGTCATGAAGATGTGCAGTGCCTGGTGGGGTTTCTCTTTTATGCTGTTAGGATGGTAAATTGCACCAATTCATTTTTGAATGTTAAACCAATCTGCTGAGATAAAACCCGCTTGTTCAAAAGCTATTATTGTTTTTATATATTGCTGGATTCAATTTGCTAATCTTTGTACAGATTTTTGTGTCTGTGTGCAAACCTGCCTTGTTCTGCTTGCACTTGGGTCTGGAAATTACCCCCTGCAGAAAGCCGAGTGATCATAAGGTTTGCCTCATTTGTCACCCTTCTTTCAGGTATCCCATTCTGTGCTGCCTGTTCTCCAGTACCTGCAAACTGGATATTAAAACAGATGTATTTGGGGTGCCTGCTTGGCTCAGTCGGAAGAGCAGGTGACTCTTGATCTCAGGGATGTGAGTTCAAGCCCCATATTGGGCATGAAGCCTACTAAAAAAAATAAATAATAAAAAAATATTTAATATATTTCCTCCTTGTTTACAGTGGGAGGGCAAGTCTGATCCAGTTATTCTGTCATTTTGAAGTAGAAAGTTTTAGATAAACACAACTTTTGAAAAACAAATAGCATTACTTTTGTAAACATTTTCACATTATTTCTGTAACCTTTGCATTTTAAAAATCTTTATTTTAGCACAGTATTTGGATTTGTGGGCTGAATTTCAGACTACAGTTAAGGTGAGCTTTTTTTATTTTGCCTCCATAAATATAATATTCCTAAAAATATTCACCTACCTAATAAGTGTGTGTGTGTACACGTGTGCCTGCATAAGGTAGGAGGTCAGGATTGAGGGGGAGTGACAGTGTTAGTACAACCATCATATCTTAACACGTGTGCTTTGTATTATTAAAAAACCAAAGTTCAACTGAGTAAATTTTAAATATCTTATTGGCTTTATTCAATGATTCATGAATCAGGCAGCATCCAAGCTAGCAGATTAAAAGATGCTCTGAAGAGCTATACAAAACAGAGGACTTTTATAGGCAGAAGGGAGCAGGAACCCGGAAGTTATACTAAGCACAAAAAGCAGGTTGGTTATTGCAAGATTACGTTCCTTTAGGGGATGGCAGGGATTATTAGGCAGATGACCTAACTAGTGCTGATTAGGTGATTCCTGACTGACTGGTGTAAAATTCCATTTCTGAGAGCGCCAAAACTGTAATTAAATCAATTCTGTTTGGTGATGTGAGGCTTAGCCTCAGTGACTCCATTTGCAACTGCTGTCTTATTTTTAGCGGTGTCAAATGTCATTATGAAATCTTAACCCTTTGGGAGACTGTCTTCCTACTCTACCAGTTTGCTTAAAGAGAATGACATCTCACCCCCACCTGCAAACACAAACTGAACACATACTATTTTAGGACAAAGTTGTCAGATCTGAAGTCCATCTGTCCTCCATGTTTTACCAGCCCTGCTCCTTCTCCACCGCTCCGTACTATAAAGTCTGATAGGCTGGAGTTTAAATCCTGGTTTTGCCACTTGGAGTATTTAAAGTTTACATATGATCCTGGCTCTCAGCCTTTAACCTTTTTCAGATGAAGCTACTGAGGTTCAGAGTTTAAGTAACTTTGCCCAAGACCAAACAGTTAATGAACTTATGGGGATTTAAACCTCAGATCCAGCTTGGTTCCAAAGTTTTTTCTCTTCAGCTGTAAGCCATGCTGAATATGCTGTGCAGTTCCATGCGGCTCTGAAGGTGAGCTGGCTTCTTATGCCCTCACCGCCACCGCCACCATCCTACCCAATTCAAAGTTAGAGTTCAGTGAGCATTCCATTAAATTCTCATTTGCTAATCCATTTTTCTGAGATCTTCTACAGAACTTTGTGAAATGTGCTGTGGACATTTATTTTGCATGAATAATATCAATTTTGCATAAATATTTCTGTCTTGGATATGATTGACTCAGAATGTTTTTATTTATCTGGAATTTATATTCACACACCCCAAAATATTATTTTTTAAAGGAACTGGTAAACAGTGGTGATGAGATTTTGCAAGAAATAAAAAACCTGATAGAGAAGCTAAAGGAAAGAGATGAAAACATTGAGCGTATCAGCATTTGGCTACAAGGGAATCTTGAAGAGCTGCATTTTCTTATGGAACAGGAATCAGAAATAGACCTCCACAGTAAGTAACATCTCAAAAGTTTTGGGTTACAAAGAACTTCTTGTTATTTTACTGTAACCAGTAATATCAAACAGGCATTTAAAAACTAACCAAATAACATAATTATCCCTAATAATCCATCCCCAATTTATGTCACATTCACCTAAATATTGCTTCTCATTTGTGGGGTCAAACGTGGTAATGCAACAGTGTTGGACAAATCTCCCTTCCACCTACATGAGTTTTCTAAATAACCGAATCTTAATTTTTCTGATTTTTTGAAGCTTATTTTAAACATTTTCCAAAGAAGTCTTTTTAAATCCTTTTATACACTTCCTTATCTTCGTAAACAGAAGATATGTCATGTGAGACATGAGGGTCACAGAACTCTGTCCAGATTCTGGCTGTGGTGGGAAGAGGAGGTCAATTCTTGCACAGGTACAACCCAGAGAAGCCAGGGGTAGAATCCCTGGGGAAGGCGGGCTGGTGGCAGCAGAAAGGACTGGGGAAAGGGAGGAGAATGGAGTATAGGAGAAAGTGGTGAAATGGAAATATCACCTAGTAAGGTTATTGAGTTTTCATTTTAATGAATGTCACCATTAGATAAACAATTTTAAAGGTGAGTTGTAGAAAGTGAAATGAGATAGAAAGTGATAGGATTGAAGTATTTGGTGAAACCAATGTTCTGAGGGTATTGCTTGACAAAAGAAATAATGTTTCCATGACCAATGAAGATGCTTGTGGATAAACTTTCTTATAAGCCAAAAAGCTGTTTTTGTGGTGCCACTCAAGCCTGGTGATAGTTATCATGTGTAAGTGCATAGCAGGTCCCTGGTGGGCCCTGGTCACTTGGCAAAATTGTCTTTGGTAAGTCAGGCCATCCCCAGCAACTGTAGATCAAGCAGAATTTTAAGAGCTAAATCACTTCAAAGTGTCAATTGCACTTTTTTTCACATGAGCGAGTCCTCCCTTTTTGTCTGAAACCTGATGGAATCTTTTATGTTGGAACAGATTTAAATAGACGATATTGAAAAGCTAAGCCCACTGAGTAACTTACCATATCCCCCCCCCCTTTTTTTTTTTTTTTTACATATTTTGAGGATGGTCTTATTGATAACTATATGGAAAGTAGAGAACTGTAGTGTGGAAATAAAGACCAACTACATGCAAACAAGCTGAGGCATAAAGCCTGGTACAGCAAGGGAGTGGAGTCACCATCACTTGCTTTGGGCAGAGATCCAAAGGCAGGCAGGGGATGGGAAAGGTTTACTGTGAAAGAAAAGGGAAGGTGTCAGCTATGCTCTGATTGGAGGTTGTTGGCATGGGGAGCCTGGGGACAGCTAACTAGGAGCAGGACATCCTATGTGATTAGTAAGCATATTTGGCTTTCTCTGGTTGCTCCAAGGTTAGAAGGGTCAAAAAGTAGGAAGATAGTGGTCATTGATGATGTTATGAATTCTGGGCCATTTGCAGAGTTTGTGGGTCAGAGAACTCCTCAGGCTGTAGTTTTCCTGCTCCTGGTATAGTGGGAAAATCAATCATCATACAAATGTATGTAAAAATCCCTATAACAAGGGATTTTACAGGTGGACCAAAAGAACTATGAGAGAAACTAACCAGGAAAGAGACTTGACCCTAGTTAAGGGATGGGGAAGAGGTCTCTGAAGGACCAGAAATGGAGCTGAGATCACAAGGAAGGTTTCTGGCTTCTCTAACTCCACTTATTTCTGCTCCTGGAACATTGGCACTATGTGGGCTTTGAAGGTAAGTGGACCTGGGCTCAGATCTTGGTTCTGTGTCTTACGTGTTATTTAACCTCTACTCCCCAGTTTCCCTGGTTGTAAAATACAGATAGTTAACAGCAAGTTACAAAGCATCAGACCCAAATTAGGCACTCCTCAGATTGCTTGAAATCTAGCGCCCTCCTGTGGGAGGTGATAGTCAACCATGGCTCCTTGGATTACTTGACCATCTCTGAGCCACCTGTAATCTAGCTTTTGGGTTTTCCCTATTGAATGGCTGCTCTCAGGGATGGGACTTCTAGAGAAGCCTTTGATCTCTTCCAGCCCAACAGCCCTTGCCTGTCCTCTTCTGGACATCATCTGTCACTGCAGCCATGCAGGTCCTGGCCCTCTCCTTCAGGAACACTGCACCAGCTCCAGAAACACGTGGAGCACCTTTGAGCCTGACACTAGAGCAAATGCTGCAGTTACTAAGTTGAATAAGACCTGGTCCCTGAACCTCGAAGTGCATACACTGTGAGAACAAACAAGGAAATAGCGGATTCAAATACAAGGGACTCCTTCTAGTGAGTGGCTATGAGAGCGTAAAAAGAGGCACCTCTAAGTCTTTTTTTAGGTGTTGGGAATACACAGGGATGTCTTCCTGAAAGGGCAGTAGACGTGCCCTGGCTGAGGACTGCGATTGCATGGCTGAGTGGGTATCTGCTGGGGGTTCCGAATGGCACATGTGGAGGACAGGCTTGTCACAACTTAAAATGCCAGACTTCATCTTGAAAACAAAGATCGTTACTTTTTGCGTTAACATTCCTTCTTGCAAGCAAATAAAAGGTAAACAAGTTAATTCTTAGGGTGTATTCCTAAATCAAATAGTATACATTATTTTTTAAGAAGTATTAAAAATAAATTTTAAAATTCTAAAAGTCCCCGTCTTATATAACTTAAGTTACAGTTAGATAAATTTGTGTATTAATCAAATATTTTCACTTGATATGTGCGCTACAGAAGACTTTTTTTTAGGCCAAGGGATATTTTAAAAGAAATACCAAATTTGTATACACTGTCACTTATCTTTTTGTTATGGTGATAAAAAGGACTTGATATAGTTTGATCATTTAATTCTGGAAAAGAAACTTTCAGTAAGAAATAATTTTAAAAATCATTTGCTGAAAAATTTTCAAAAGGTCTCCTGGAAAAATTAAGATCTGAACTAGGAAGAGTTTAGGCCATACTCAAGTATTAGAATCACCTAGAAGAGGTTTAAAAAATCCTTCTGCTCAGCCTGTACCCTAGACCAATTCTGAATCTCTCAGGGCAGGACCAGGCATGTTTTAGGCCTCTCTCCAGTGGGCTCCAATGGGCAGCCAAATCTTGCAAACCAACAGTTTTAGACAAATATATAACCATGTAATTGTTAAATTTATCAATTGACCCAAATTAATCAAAATATTTGACCTTTAAGTTACCTATCCAGCACTGATTAGCAAATAATTACCATGCACTATAGCAATGAGAGTTTAAAAACTGAACAAAGCTGAGTAGGGCGATTTGTTTGTATTTTTAATGATCACGATTTAACAGATCAGTAACATTGGCAACCATAGTTGCTATGAATTGTTCTGGTCTTGTTCTTAAAGCAAATGCAGATACATATTTAAGTATTCCTGAAACTGTTTGCATTTGAAGAATTATAATTACTTGCATGATTTTTCCTCTTGCATATGCATTTTTCTGCTAGAATAGATCAGAGAAGATAACTGTTAAAATGGCTCCGAATGTAGAGGGACAGATATGGTCCTGGTAATTAGATACATGGCTCCCTACGCTTTCCTTCCCCATACCAAGTCCCAGGTTATACAACTGTCCAATTGAGGATTCTTTGGGAAATTTAGAATTTTAATGTACACTAATAACAACCCAAACTTGTGTGACATACACAGAATTTTCACATTTTTACTCCTACAGAAAAGAAGAAACACATTCCTATCAAAGTCCATCCCCCGGGGTTTGAATGTACTATGAAAAACATTAACAAAGAAAAACTAACAAAATAACTTCAAGGCTACACCTGCTGTCAATTTAAAAGGCAAAAACAAAACTACAAAACAAGTGAGTGCACTTTCATATTTTGCAATGGTCCATGGATGTCTTAAGTTGATTAACAAACCTGCATAATCCCCACTAAACAGAATCGGTAAATAACCTTCTAAACAATACAGATGGATAAAATGGTCAGATTATTAGGTTAAGTGCCTAAGACTTTACTTTGCTCCCATATGAATCTCTCAAAGGCTTCCGGGCATAAAAATCGCAGTGCACACCTATCGATAACTAACCACAGGAAAACTATATATTGTATATATTCTGTATTTAGTTTAAGAAGGCATCAGTTGTAAGATGCATCCTAATTCAGAGATGTCACAATGTGAAAAAAGTTTCAGGATCAATAAAATATGGCACTGTGTATATATCCTTCAAAAATGAGACCAAAGAGGAAGGGACTATGTGAATACATGTATTTATTCATTTGGGAAAGAACTACTCCTCTTACTACTTAATAGTCTGAATTATTTCAACAATTAGTATGACAAAATACAATTAAATGTCAACATCTGAGATTTTTTGTAGTTAAGCATTTTATTGTTTTTCTTAACAGAAACAATCAGATGTCTTCAACCAAACTACTTATAAACAGAAAATCCGTTATATAAATTATACTCTTTTTATCAAAATACTGTATTGGTAAAAATAAATAACAACATACTTCATTTCCATGTTTGCTATCAGACCCACAAGGTATGTTTGTCCTTATAATTCATCATATTTGAAAAACAAACTGAAATACAACAGACATGCACAATTAGGCCAATGCTAAGGATTTCAGATTATACTTGTCAAAGTATAGAGAAACACGATTTTGCTTTAAAGAATAACTAAATTGTTGCCGGAGGCGAGTGCTTCCTAACATGCTTATAGTGTCACAGAGTGCTAAAGTATACAGTGTATTATACTACGTAACACACTACTACAGCAGTTTGTATTTTCCAAGTCTAACCATAAAGTCTGTTAAGTCAAAAACAGAAAAACAAAACCCAATCTTACCTCCATGTACAACAGAAGAGTATTAATGCATTTTACACATTCAGTGTCCATTGGCTCCTTCGGAGAGTATCCGTGAAGGCTCGGTAAATTTTGCCGTGAACAAGTAAAAAAGAGCTGGTGTGGGTACCAAAGCCAAAAGGGGTAAATCCTGCTCGAGTTTATCCACTCTGGAAATGGATATTATTCCATAGGCATGAAGTAACCAGTGGCTGAAGAGAACAATAAGTCTTTTCTTTCTCACCAGAAGATCATAGCAGTTCTATATAATTTTATAAAAGAAAACAAATTATTGGGCTGAATAAGCTAGATAATTTATTACATCATAATTTAAAATGCATTATTTGTTGGGAAGATGCAGAACAGGAAGATCCTGAGCTCTCCTCATCCCATGGATTCACTGAGATAACACACATCAGTGCAACTAACTCTGAAAATGACCCAAAGACTGGCAGCAGAAGACTTTCCACAGTTAATTGTAGAGAGGAGGCCACATCGAAAAGGGTAAGAAGGGTGGGGACATGGTTAGGAACTCAGCCCTGAGAGAGACTAACCAGAAGAAACCACATGATCAGACCCCACACCAGCAACCCTACACTGGGAGAATGAGTTCCCCAGCGGGCCTTAAGAGTTTTTTTTACAATCAGGGGCACTTTACAATCAGGGGCACTTAGCTCCAGGAGAGCCAGAAGATAACAGAGAAACTGAGTACTCCCAGCCATTAAAGAGCCAGCATAACAGGTAAGTGATGAATCACTAAATTCTCCTGAAACCAATATTACACTATAGGTTAACTAACTAGAATTTAAATAAAAATTTGAAGAAAACAAAAAAGAGCCAGCCTAACCACCTAGCAGAGACACAGCACAGAAGCAGCAGTTTGAAGAGCACCAGGGGTATATGTGAAGGAGATTTACTAATCTCAGAATGTGCACGGTAGGGATCTTTAGGAAACTTCTCCAAGAACAAAAGAACTAGCACATATCCCAACCTTGACCCAGACACTTGCAGGAACCAGCAGCACACTCTCCACCTAGCTTGCTAGCACCACACCCAACCCGTGTTCTCTTGCAGATTCACTCAGCAGGTACCTTCCAAAGTAGCTCCTGCCCCCACACACTCTGCAAGCAACCTCAGGAAAGATGGCACCACTCCAAAGTGGCTCCTGCCCTGGGGAGAGGGGAAGACAATCACATACGCCAGTGTGCCCAAGAGCCAAACCTTATAACCGAAAAGGCAGAGGAAGTACCCTGCCGATCATTGCCACGGTCGCTGCAACAGACTGGGGACAAGCATCTGGTGTGACTGTCAGCCCCACCAACCAGCAAAAACCTCTCAAGGGACAGGGAAGGGAGAGCAGTGCCCTGGAGAGTGATGTAACTGCAGCCCCAACAGACGGAAGGGGGGCAGGCATCAGGTCTGACTGCCAATCCTGCCCAGCTACAGGCCCTCGGTGGCCCCAGACTGACAGCACAGTGACCAAACCCTGCCTGGTGTGCCCTGAAGCACCTGGTTCTGGTGAACACGGGGCACTGCACCACAGGACCTCTTCATAAGGCCACTACTTTCAAAATCAGGAGCTGTAGCTGACTTTTCTAATTCAAAGAAAAAGACAAAAGGAGGAGACTGAGGAATAAGTCCCAAATGAAAGAGCGCTAAGCAACATGTCTGATAACTCAAAATAATGGTCATAATTGAACAGAGTATCTCAGTGAGACCTTCAATAAAGAGATAAAAAATACAAAACAGAACCACTTGGAGATGAAGAACTAATAACTGAAATGGAAATTACACTAGAGGGAATCAATAGAGGAAGGAGAAGAACAGATCAGTGATCTGGAAGACTGGTGTAATGGAAAGCAGCCAAGCTGAACAGCAAACAAACAGAAAAAAATGTAATAAAAAATGAGACTAGGTTAAGGGAACTCAGTGACACCATCAAGCATAATAATATTCACATAATAGGGATCCCAGAAGAAGACAGAAAAGGGACAGAAAATTTATTTGAAGCAATAAAAGCTGAAACTTCCCTAATCTGGGGAAGAAAACAGACCTCCAGATGCAGGCAGCACAGACAGCACCTAACAAAACCCAAGACACATAATAATTAAATGGCAAAAGTAATGATAGAGATTTTACAAGCAGCAAGAGAAAAGAAAGCAATTACACATAAAGGAAACCCTGTAAGCCTATCAGGTGATTTTTCAGCAAAAACTCTGCAGGCCTGAAGGGAGTGGCACAATATATTCAAAATGCCTAAAGAAAAAAAACCTGTTACCAAGAATACTCTATCCAGCAAGGCTGTTATGCAGAATTGAAGGAGAGAGAGTTTCCCCAACCACTAAACCAGTCATACAAGAAATGTTAAAGGGAATTCTTTTGAGTGGAAAAAAACCCATGAGTAAGAAAACTATGAAAGGAAAAAATGTCACAGGTAAATGCAAACATGTAATTAAAGATTAACCACATATAAAACCAGTATGGAGAGTAAAATGCAAAAACAGTAAAATCAAATATATCTATAAAAATCAGTCAAGGGACTCACAAAAGGAAGTAGAGTAGGACATCATATACATAAAACATGGCAGGGGTGGGGGGTAAAAATTTAGCGCTTTTAGAATGGGTTCAAACTAAAGTGACCCACAACTTAGTAAGACTACTATACACATGAGAAGTTATATATGAATGTAATGGTAACCACAAATCAAAAACCTATAATACATATACAAATAGAAAGAAATCCAAGCATAACACTAAAGGCATCAAACCACAGGAGAAAGAGAAAGAAGAGGAGCAGAGAATTACAATAATAACAGTAAAACAAGTAACAATGGCAATTAGTATATACCTATCAATAATTTGAGTATAAATGGACTAAATGCTACAACCAAAAGACATAGGGTGCTAAATGGATAAAAAAACAACCCATCTAAGTGCTGCCTTTAACAGACTTCAGACCTAAACACATGCAAGATTGAAAGTGAAGGGAACGAAAAACACATCATGCAAATAGAAGTTAGAAGAAAGCTAGGTTAGCAATATTTATATTGGACAAAAAAGACTTTAAAACAAGGACCGTACCAAGAGACAAAAAGGATACTGGATACTACATAATTATAAAGGGAACAATCCAACAAGAGGATAGAACAATTATAAATACGCACCCAAAAAAGGAGCACCTAATACATAAAGCAACTATTAACAGACAGGAAGAAACTGACAGTAATACAGTAATTGTTGGGCACTTCAATACTCCACTTACATCAATGGATACATTATCCAGACAAATCAATAAGGAAACAATGGCTGTGAATGACACATCAGACCAGATGGACCTAAAAGATATATTCAAACATTCCATCCAAAAACAGTGAATTACACATTCTTTTCAAAGCGTGCATGGGATCTTTTCCATAATGGATCACATGTTAGGCCCCAAAACAAGTCTCAATAAACTTAAAAAGGTCAAAATCATATCATGCATCTTTCCAACCACAAAGGTATGAAACTAGAAATGACAATAAAAAGTCTAGGAAGAACACAAATACATGGAGGCTAAACAACATGTCACTAAATGATTAATAGGTCAACCAAGACACTAAAGAGGAAATCAAAAATACATGAGACAAATGAAAATTACGATGGTTCAAAATCTTTGGGATGTAGCAAACACTGTTCTAAGAGGGAAGATTATAGCAATAGAGGCCTACCTCAAGAAATAAGCAACATCTCAAACAATGTAACCTTACCCCTAAAGGAGCTAGAAAAAGAACAAAGCCCAAAGCCAGTAGAAGGAAGAAAATAATAAAGATTAGAGCAGACATAAATGAAATAGAGATTAAAAAAAAAAAAATTGAACAGATCAGTTAAAGCAGGAGCTGGCTCTTTGAAGATCAACAAAATTGATAAACCTTTAGCCAGACTCAGCAAGAAAAAAAGGTCTCAAAACTAGAAAAGGAGGAGAAATAACCGACACCACAGAAATACAAAGGATGTTAAGAGAATATTATGAAAAATTACATGCCAATAAATTGGACAACTTTAAAGAAATGGATACATTCCTAGAAGCATATAACCTCTCAAAAGTGAACCAGGAAGAAATAAAAAACTTGAACAGATCAATTACTATCAATGGAATGGAATCTGTAATCAAAACACTCCCAACAAAATAAAGTCCAAGACCAGATGGCATCACAGGTGAATTCTACCAAACATTTAAAGAAGAATTAAAACCCATTCTTCTCAAACTACTTCAAAAAATAAGAGAAGGAAAGCTTCCAAATATAGTCTATGAGGCCAGCATTACCCTAATAACAAAACCAGATAAAGACACCACAAAAAGGGGAAACTACAGGCCAATATCTCTTATGAACATAGATGCAAAAATCCTCAACAAAATATTGGTAAACCAAATGGAACAATAAAGAAATTATTCTCCACAATCAAGTGGGTTTTATTCCAGGTGGCAAGGGTGGTTCAATCTTTGCGAATCAATCAACATGATACATCACATTAATGAGAGGATAAAAACCATAGCATCATCTAAACAGATGCAGAAAAGGCATCTGACAAGGCACAACATCCGTTTGTGATAAACACCTCTCAACCAAGTTCGTCTAGAGGGAAGGTACCTCAACATAGTAAAGGCTGTATATGAAAATCCCATAGCTAACATCTTACTAAATGGTGAAAAAACAAGGGCTTTTCCTCCAAGATCAAGAACAGGACAAGGAGATCCACTCTTACCACTTTAATTCAACAGAGTACTAGAAGTTCTAGCTACAGAAACAAAAAGAAATAAAAGACATTCAAATTGGTAAGGAAGAAGTAAAACTTCCACTATTTGCAGACGACATGATACTATATACAGAAAACCCTAAGGACGCCACCAAAAAACTACTAGAACTGATAAATGAATTCAATGAAGTTGCAGGATACAAAATTAATGAACAGAAATATGTTGAATTTCTATACACTAATAACGAAGTAGCGGAATGAGAAATTAAACAATCCTATTTACATTGTACAAAAATAATAAAACATCTAGGAATAAACTTAACCAAGGAAGCAAAAAACCTGTACTCTGAAAATTATAAAACACTGATGAAAGAAACTGAAGGTGACACTAACAAATGGAAATTCCATGCTCACGAATTGGAAGACCCAAGTGTTAAAATGTTTATACCACCCAAAGAAATCTACATAATGCAATTCCCATCAAAATAGCAACATTTTTTTACAGAACTAGAATAATTGTAAAATTTGTTTGAAACCACAAAAAATCCTAAATAGCCAAAGCAATCTTGAGAAAGAAAAACAGCTGGAGTTATGACAATCCCAGATTTCAAGATACACTACAAAGCCGTAGTAATCAAAGCAGTAAGCTACTGGCAAAGAAAGAGACACATAGATCAGTGGAACAGAATAGAAAACCCTGAGATAAACCCATGCATATATGGTAAATTAATCTAGGACAAAAGAGGCAAGAGTATATACAATGGGGAAAAGACAGTCTCTTCAATAAATAGTGCTGTGAAAACTGCACACCTACATGCAAAGGAATGAAACTGGACCACTTTCTTACCCCATACACAAAAATAAACTCAAAATGGATTAAAGGCCTAAATGTGAGACGTGAAACCATAAAGTTCTTAGAACAAAATAGGCAGTGATTTGACATTGGCTACATAGGTCTCCTCAGGCAAGGGAAACAGAAGCAAAAGCAAAGTATTGGGACTACACCAAAATAAAAAGCTATTACACAGTAAAGGAAACCATCAACAAAACAAAAAGGCAACCTAATGAAGGGGAGAAGATATTTGCAAGTGATATATCTGATAAGGGATTAATATGGGTATGGATATATATATATATTAATATATATGGGCATATATATTAATATGGATGTGGATACATATATCTCCTATAACTTCTACAACTGAACACCCAAGAAACAATCTGATTAAAAAAATGGGCAGAGGACTTGGACAGTTTTCCCAAAAAAGACATACAGATGGCCAACATCACTAATCAGGGAAATGCAAATCAAAACTACAATGAGATATCACCTTACACTTGTCAGAGTAGCTAAAATCAAGAACACAAGAAACACACGTTGGTGAAGATGTGGAGAAAAAGGACCCTCGTGCACTGGGAATGCCAACTGGCACAGCCACTGTGGAAAACAGTATGGAGGCTCCTCAAAAAACTAAAAATAGAATTACCAAATTCCGCTACTGGGTATTTACCCAAAGAAAATGAAAACACTAATCTGAAAAGATATGTGCACTCCCACGTTTATTACAGCATTATTTACATAGCCAAGATATGGAAGCAACCCAAGTGTCCATGGATAGATGAATGGACAAAGGTGTGGTACATACAAACAATGGGATATTACTTAGCCATAAAAAAGGATGAGATCTTGCCATTTGCAACAACATGGATAGACCTAGAGGGTATAATGCTATGTGAAGTCAGTCAGTCAGAGAAAGACATTATGATTTCACTCATATGTGATTTCACTCATATGTGGGATTTAAGAAACAAAGGATAAAAAGGACAAAAACAAAAGAAAAAAGACTCAAACACAGAGAACAAACTGGTGGTTACCAGGGGGAAGTGGGTGAAAAAAGGGGATTAAGAGTACACATGTCGTGATGAGCACTGAGTAATATATCAAACTGTTGAATGATTATATTGTACACAAACTAATATAACACTGTATGTTAATACTTCCAATAAAAATAAATGTACTGTTTCCACACAATAACCTCAGAATCACACAATGTTTGACCTAAAAAGGACTCAAGAAATTACTCAGTCTAGCCACTACACTTTACAGATGAGGAAACCGAGGCTCCCGACAGCCATAATAAACATTCAGGGGCAGCACCAAAACAGGAGCCCATGTCTCTCAATTCTAGTCCACATCACCATTCAACCCTGGAAACACTATGGTTTCTTCTGAGAGATATGAACTAGAAGGGAACTCCACATGATGTGCCTTCTTCCTGCCCTGATCCACTGTAGCTGAGTCTTATAGGCAGGAAGTAGGAGGTATATACACCCAACTTCCTCAATCTCTAGTATTCTTGGGAGTCTGCTGCCTGGATAATTGGAGCAGAAATGACATGTGAACAGTCTGATTTCCTTTAATCTTTAAACAGCTCTCTAATATGTAGAAATTGGAGGGAACAAGTTATTATAAAAGTAGTATCTAAAAGTGCTAATAAACACACTAAAGTGTAATCTGCAGTAGGTTACCAACCTTCTCTTATTAAATGACTCATCAACTCACCTAGAACTAGATTTTCTTTTCCTGATTCAGGTCCCTATTTCTGATTCATTATAGAGTGCTAACTGAAGTACATGAACATTTTATAAAGGAGAGATTCCTGAAGCAGAGAGATAAGTTTCAAGCTAATTTAACTATCCATAGTATAGATAATAAATAAAAATTCAAAAACTTCATTTTATTGAAATATCCAATCATTTCCTCCCTCAAGTCTTTCCTTAGAGTGGATAAAAGTGACAAAATGAATTTGCTTATCTTCTTTAAACACGCTGTATTGTTGATTAAAGATTACAAAGGAGAAATGGAGATAGTATACAAATGAAAAGATCTGAATCACCATAAAAATATTGTCTAGTTCCTCTACTATTATTCTACCTGAAAGTCATTCCCTCTCATTCTTTCACTAATGTAACTTAACTTTCTCTGGGTTGAACTTTTTTATGAAAGAATTATGAGACAGCACGTATCTTATCAACAGTAGTATGCACCTGAAGACTGTGCCAAGGCACTAGATTAGCAAGCAACACTTTTATTCCTTTTAAGTTAAAGGAATAACTCAAAGAGTTCTAACAGTGGCCTTTCACTAAAATACTAAAAAGAGGCACAAAATGGAGATCTCAAAATAGGAACAGTATCAAAACTAATGTGACTATGACATTATTTCCAAATCACCAAAATATTAGAGTGCAAAAGTAGAAACATCCATAATCAAGAAAATAAAATTGGGAACAAAGTATAGAAGAGTACAAAATGTATATAATTACTGATGACTGTCAGTGTTGCCATTGTAAAATAAAGTGTAAAATTAGTTCTATATACAATTAAGCATTTCACGTTTCCTTCAAAATAGTATTAATAACTTTCAACATTTCAATAATAAACATTTTCTATGTGGGTAAATTATGTGAAATGATTGTTTTTTCTCCAACATGCTGGATAGTTGAGACTACTGCATAATTTCCCAAGCAAATACAGTCCAATATACAACCTTTCATAAACTTAAGCTAAAAGCTACTGAGTGCCATCAATTAGCCAACCAATTAGCCATTACTAAATCAATCAGTTGTACCATATCATATCATATGTACTATTCTCCTATTCAGTTATTAAAATCTATTAAAAAGAAAAACCTTTAACAAAGGAAAAAAAGATTTCCTACCTCTATTTCAGAAGCTGACATGTACACAGCCAGAGTAACCAAAGATAATACTAATATAATGTATGGGAAGGCATAATCTGAAAAACAAACATTGGTATAATAATGAAAATTAAATTTCCTGAATAAACCATCAAAAAAATTCTAACAGTATAATTCTCCCCATAGGTGAAAACTTTCTCAACCAGTCCTATGAGAGACTTAAGTCCTAATGCTCTAAGGCAGGGGTCAGCAAGCTTTCTGTAAAGGGCCAGATAGTAAATATTTTTGGCTTTGTGGGCCATACACTCACTGTCTCAGTCACTCAAGTCCCCATTGTAATGGAATACAGCCAGACAATACATAAATGAATGGGTGTGGCTATGTCCCAATGAAACTTCAGGGATAATAAAATCCAAATTTCACATAATTTTCACATGTTAAGAATTACTACTCTTCTTTTTTTTTTTTTTTTTTTACTGTTTAAAAATGTAAAACTATCCTTGGCCCAGCTTTGAAGATCCTACCTTAAGGCATCCATTGACTGTAAAGAATTAACTTCTGTCTGCATCTAGAATACTAGTATGCACCAAACTTGGGAGGATTGAGAAAGTAATTACTCAATTTTGTTTTGTGGTCCAGATGGAGGACATTGGTTAGAAAAGCTATACAGCTTTAATTACTCTTTAGAAAAGTTCATGTATCAATAAACCTCAAAGGACAAATGGATCATTCAGTGTTCTTTATGTCAAAATTCTAGATATTTCTACTTCAAAGTTTTCCTTATAAAATACTACCTTTCTCTTAAAATGTTTTCAATTTTTCTTTAAAGATTCATTTATTTATTTGACACAGAGAGAGAGAGAGAGATCACAAGTAGGCAGACAGGCAGGCAGAGGGAGAGGGAGCAGCAGACTCCCCGCTGAGCAGGGAGCCCCATGCAGGGCCCAATCCCAGGACGCTGGGATCATGACCTGAGCCGAAAGCAGACGCTTAACCGACTGAGCCACCCAGGTGCCCCAAAATGTTTTCAATTTATAGCACACTAAAACAAATGAACAAATTGAGAATAAAATCTTGAATTATTTTTCATATAATTATTTGAAAACAACTTCAATTTATGAAACCACTAATCATTCTACATTGCAGTGGAACCCATCTGGAACAATTTCAAATATTAATTCAGAAAGCAGAAGCCAGAAACTCTGACTTATCTATACGGGCCCAATTCCAACTTACTAAATAACTGAATGTCTTGTTTGACATTTAGAACATTTTACTTCATAGACAGCTATTAGGTCCTCAGCCAACCATTCAAAAAAAAAAATCCCATTTAATTTATAAACAATGTTGCTAATGATACAAATTTAAGACTGAGTAGTAAAAAGCCATCTAAGTTAAAAAAAAAAGGGGGGGGGAAGGAAGTTTCTAACAAGGCCCAAACTTGTGGGTAGTACACGGTGGTCTTGGGCTCAGGCATGGTTCTTACTCTAGAGTGTAAAACAGTTTGAGATTTTGAGGAACTAGGCCTTGGGGTAAGGCCTGAGAATCTGCATTTTAGTTCCCCTAGTGGTTCGAATGCGGATCACACTTAAAAACTGGCTTCAATAATTCCAAGCAGGTAAAATTTGTCACCAACCTCTTCCTAATAACTCCAGTGTCTGTCTCCCCAGACCCAGGTAGCTTAAGCTACCCGAAGCCACTTGCTGCTCTACTTGCTCAGATACTTACAGTTCCTTGTTATGTACAGAATGTTTGTGTCCCCCAAAATTCTCCTGCTGAAATCCTAACTCGCAATGTGATGGTATTTGGAGGTGGGGCCTTTGGGAGGTGATCAGGACATGAGGGTAGAGCCCTCGTGAATGAAATTGGTGCCCTTACATAAGAGAGCCCCCCCCAACTTCTGCCACATGAGGACACAGTGGGCTCTTACCCAGACACATCTGCTGGTGCCCTGCTCTTGGACTTCCCATTTTCCAGGACTGTGAGAAAAAAATTTCTGTTGTTTGCAAGCCACCTCGTCTATGGTCCTGTTATAGCAGTCTGAAGTGACTAAGACACCCCTACAAACCAAAATTATGTTTTTTTTTTTCCAATATAAAATTACAAGTTGGTATGATATCCTCTGTGACTAATCTCAGCAGGCTGCATAAATTTATATTTAGTGCAAATGAACACTAACTCCTTGATCCTCACAACGAATGTGTTTTGAGCAGAGGCTTGTTGACAAAGCCTGATCTGATGTTCAGTGTGGGAAAAAGCATTTTTCAATACAGGCAGCTCCAGTATATGAAGCAACGGGATCTGGCAGTCTCCCTGGGCTAATGTCCCAAACCCTGGCCCACTTTCCACAGCTTTTTCCCCTCGAGAGGTTCTACACAAGAGCACCACCTGCAGTCTAGGACACAGGGTGCGGGCTGACAATTCCTAATTTTTCCAGCCTAGACAGCTCTCCTAAGCGCCAGACTAGTATAAATAATTACCTGTACTTTTGTGAATATCCCATGAACAGCTAAAACTGGATTCACTTCTCATCAACCTCTTTTATTTGCTTCTTCTAATATCTGCTTCTGTTGCTCTATTCACCAGTTACTAAGTCAGAAAGCTACTCTATCATATTTTCGTCCTATTCCCTCACCCCTATGTTTAATCAGTTACCTAGTTTAGTTAACTCTATCTTCAAAATACTCTCCATTCCCAGTGTTTCTCTGCTTTCGGCCAGACAGTCAGACTTGGCTAGCAGCAATAACCTCTTAACTGATTCCCCAGGTCCTCTTCCCCCACCAATCCGTCTTCCACACTGCTATCAAGTTCTCTCTCCAAAATGCAAACCTAGGCATGTCACTCTTCTGCCTAAAATCCTTAAAGAGTAGGTCTCTATTCCCTAGAGCAAGAATAGCAACCTCAAACACCTACAGAGGCCAGCCAGGCAGGTAAATAATGGAAGTGGGCCAAATCCAAGAAAACAGGGAATGGTAGGAGCTAGAAGGAACTACACATTTTCAAATATTATGCAGGCCAACTGAAACAATACATCTATAAACTAGAATATGAGGGATAACAGACCTCTGACTAGTCTCCAATTTCGTCTTCCCTTGGCTCACCTTCCCAGCGCCATCCTCCTCCAGAACCAAATTCATTATCACACTACATAGTGATGCCAATCTTTCCTAGTTCCTTTAGGCCAGAAGCCTTGCCCTCTGTACCCCGGTAGGCTTCACATAAAAGATGGCATCTAACATCCCTGCAATATTCAATGTCACATATTCAAGTAAGTACTATACTACATTCTCTCAGCTACTTATAGCTTTCCTACTAGTATGTCAGTCCTTTAACAACTTTTTCTTAATCATCTTTTGAGTCAAAATTCAGTCTAAATAGTTGCTGAATAAATAAATGGCTATATTAAAATAAAGAATATACTGAGGATTCTTTTACTGTACCTAAAAGGCTTTAATAAAGTAACTCAAAAACTGAAGACATAACTTAATGATAATATATGTTAGTATATATTATCAACAGTAATTTCTAGGGCGCCTGGGTGGCTTAGTCGTTGAGCGTCTGCCTTCGGCTCGGGTCGTGGTCCCAGGGTCCTGGGATCGAGTCCCGCATCAGGCTCCCTGCTCGGTGGGAGGCCTGCTTCTCCTTCTCCCACTCCCCCGGCTTGTGTTCCTGCTCTTGCTGTCTCTGTCAAATAAATAAAATCTTAAAAAAAAACCAAAAAACAGTAATTTCTATTTATTATATGCAAAAACAAGTTTGTTTTTTAATTTATACTCAGGTTTTTAAAATATTCCTACTTAGATTAAAAGCTTCAGATTCAAAGTATTCTTTAAATAGAAATCAGCTTTGATTAGTTTGAGAATATCTATTCCATTCCAAGAAGCCCATTTTTAATTTTTTTTATAAGACTGATTATGTTTTAGCAAAAATATATATTTTCAAGGATTAAAAAAACGATTTTAAAGAAAAAGATCCAAAATTATACTTAGAGAAAATACTGTTTATCACACATAAAAATATATTTCATTGACTTGACCCATCAAACTTACATAAAAGGCCTCCGCCAACTGCCTGAAGCACAGTTAAAATTGGAAAGAAGTAAAGTGCAGCATAAATACTTTTAAATCGATCAGACTTTCCTAACCCACAGGCAATCTTCTTTACCAGAAGGGGTCGGAGCAGCATCATCAATACCAAGCAGAATGCATAATAGATAAATACAATGGTGTATCTGTAAAATAAAACAAGGAATTGTAACACTGAAAATATGTTTCAAAATACCTATTACTGATCAATTTAAAATAAAAAATGCTAAAGAAGATTTAAAAAGTGTATTAAGCCAACCTATTAACTCATAAGGTTTTAGTAATGTAAATATTTTTATAGTAAGTTTCTAATAATAGAAATTTGCATGCTTTTCCATGTCTCATCTAATCAAGTTCCCCTCAAAACTACAATTATCAGTAAAGTGTCTTGGTATTTTTCAATTTGTAAGGAACTAGGCTATATATACCAATGGAGAAAATAGCCTGCATTAGTCAATGTTAATAGTGTTCCAAAGGCTTCTGATAATTTTGTGCCATTACTTTTTGTTGACTCACAAAAGAAAAAAATTTCGATAACTTTTGGTAGTCCTGCAGCTTTAAGTTTTTTTTTTTTTTTTTTAGTAATCTCTATGCCCAACCTGGGGCTTGAACTCAAAACCCCGAGATCAAGAGTCACATGCTCCTCTGACCGAGCCAGCCAGGTGCCCCGGGTAGTCCTGCTGCTTTTTGAAAAGTTTAGCCCCAGTCTGGCCATATAGTTACACTTAAATAGCTATGTAAAGTAAATAATAGGTATAAACCCAATGTTGATACCATAAAATTTTTTCATAATTTTCAAAAACCACTGTTCTGTAGGATTAATAAAACAAGGCAGACAGGCCATGGCACAGTGACTACTGCTAAAGCTGCTGAGAAAAAAAATATCTACTTAATTCAAAGATGGTGAACATACCCTGATCAATGAAGTTTTGTGAGGAGGCTGTTATGGCCGCAGAATGAGAGCCAAGAGCACCTATTTGCCGTCTCTGTTCTAATCTTAGTATTTGTTGACTCTCCTACTATATGCTTTATGGATAGTATAAAAAACACCTATATATGTGCACCAGCAGTAAATGAATATGATTTTGTTTTAAATAAGATAGTTATATATGATATCTGATTCCCTTTTTAAGCTCTCTAAATAGGACCAGGTTAAGTTCTGCAGTCCCCTGGATAGTGTCTGAGAAGAGAATAATCGAAGCTGAGAGCTTTAGCCCTATGACACCAACCAAGAATGCATTATGGGTCTTTTATATACAGTCTTGTATGTAAATTTTATGTATATATAGAGACAGACAGCATATATACAAGAAATAAATAATTTACAGGGCTTAATGGTAGACAGAAAGAAGTTCCTATCTCTGTATCTGAAATTTTGGTTTTTTTTAAATTACCTTTTTACATTTGTGCAAGTGTTTTTCACACTTAGTACTCTTAAGAACCTGCATAAAAAGGGTTATTTTCTTGAGCATATTATGTAATGGTAACTTGCTATAACTATGAGAATGTAAATACCTGACTCTTCTATTACACCTTTACCAAGAAAAACACATCAAAATGAACACAGGAGAAATTCTAAAAATGAAGTAGTCTGGGATAGTATTATACAGAGTCTTATGAATTTGGTATTTTTAAAACAAAACATTCTCATGGAAATTATAAACATTTGTTTTGGAAAAAAACAAAAACAAAAGAAAACATTAACCCAAGCACTCTAATTACAATGCCAGCTACTATTTTATTAAGTGCTTCCTGTATGTAAGGCACTGCACATGGTATCTGATATGTGCAGACTTATTTAATCCTCACAATCACCTTATAAGGTACCACTATTCCCATTTTTAGTAACAGGAAAGCGGAGGTTATGAGAGGCTCTTAACATGGTCACATTAACACAGCAGCTCAGGATTCAAACTCATGCCTGTTTTTACCTCTCAAGCCCATACTCTTTCCTCTATGTCAGATACTGCTTCTCTGTTGCATATCATAAAGATTTTCCTTATAACTCCCTTTTGAAGAAACAGATATTGCTTCTTTTAGAAATGCTTATACACACTTCAACACCAATACAAAAATACTTTCACTTGTATTATACTAAAATGTATTTCTACTCCCTTCTATTAGACTATGTATCCTTCAAGAGAAGAAAATCATTTCTCTATATCTCCCCCAGTACCTGGAAGCCATTTTTCAATACTCAATCTGTTGAAACAAATAAAATCTATAATTACCATTTTTTAAATGATCTTTAGTCTATATAAATACTTACAGCGGGTAAACAGCTTCGTGAGTACAATGCACTGTGGTAACATAATCGGGACTTGGGTTGTAAAGCATTGTGTACCAATCAGAGAGCATCAGTACTCGACATGAACGGATATAGAGAACACCAACCGGATCACTCACAAGTAAGGTGACGATAGCTGCCATACTGCATTCGAATAATGCAGTGATGTGCTGGAAAAGTGCACTGGAACTAGGAAAACAAAAGCAGCACAATTACCAGAAAATTTTCAGTGTTTCGATGGCTTTTAAGAAAACCTATATGTTTCAAAATATGGAGTCTAAAAGGAAATTTTAACTGATAAATCCTGAAACTAAAATATCCCCTAAATAGATAAGAAAAGTCAAACATGAAAACCACTTGAGAAGAGTTTAACCTTCTGGACTAAAAAGGGATACGCATCCCAGATAACACTGTGCCAGTATTATCTAAAATGTATAGAAGAGCAGAAATTCAGGGCTTCCTTTATCTTTAGTGACTTGCTAAACTGTTAAGAATGTCTTAGTTATCCTATGCGTCATTTTAAATTATCTTAAATATAAAAAGCACATAAAAGCTTATATATAATATATATTAGTTATAAAGTATAACAATATAGTAAACATTATAAGCTCATCATCTAACCCAGTAACTAGAACATTAACAATCTATATTTACCTCTGTTCCTTCCTCATTCCCACTCCTGGCTCTCCCCAAAGAGGTAACCATTATACTAAGTTGTCTTTATCACTTTTTCTGAAGTTTTTATTCCAATTAGATTATGTTTCAAAACCACTCTGTCTAGTTTTGCTTATTTTTTTTTTTAAGATTTATTTATTTGAAAGAGAGGGAGAGCACACATGCACATGTGAGCAGGGTGGCAAAGAGAATCTCAAGCAGACTCCCTACTAAGCATGGAGCCTGACACTGGGTTCAATCTCACGACCCTGAGATCATGACCTGAGCTGAAATCAAGAATTGGACACTTAACCAACTGAGCCACCCAGGTGCCCCAAGTTATGCTAATTTTTAAGCACTATAAAGTGATACTCATCTTGAGATTTTTTTCCCATTCAAAATTACATTTCTAAGATTCATCCATGCCATTGCTTATAGCTGAAGTTCACTCATTTTCACTGCTGTATAATATTCTACTGTGTGCCCATTCCATTGTTTATCCATTTGCTTTTTTAGTTATGTTGCCAATGTCTTCCTCTCAGCTTATAGGCTGAATTTTCACTTTCTTGTGATATCTATGAACAGATGTTCTAAATTTTAATATATCAATTTTTAAATTTCTGGTTAGCATTTTAATGTTCCAAGGAATCCTTATTCTGAGAAAAATATTAACTTATGTTTTCTTCCAAAAGTTTTAAGGTTTTGCTTTTCACATTTAAATCTTTCACTCACCTAGAATGGATTAGGTAGGTGTGACTAGATTTTCCCACTAGGGTATCCCAACTGTCCCAGCAGCAGCACTGAGTAGCTTACTGTCCCTCCTACCCCCCACCCCGCCCAAATTGCCACACCACTTCTGCCATCCAAGTTTCATAGATAACTGGTCTGTTGTTAGGTTCTGTATTTTGTTCCTGGGTCCATTTTTATCCCTGAGACAAAAGAATATGACAATAATTCTTGATATTACATACATTCTTCTACTTCTTCAGTGGTCTTGGGCCTTTGCACTTCCATATAGATTTTAGAATTCGCTTGTCATGTTCCACAATATGAATCCAATGTAGCTTAGCTACCTTGGTCTTAGCTATCTCACAATACCATGGTACTATATATGAAATATAGGGAGATAACTGATCCTGTATATTTATCTTCCAGCCAGCCTCTTTAGGAAACTCTCTTATTATTTCTATTATCTAGTCTACAGATGCCTTTGAGCTTTCTTTCTGAACAATGTTTCAGTTATCTATCACTGCATAGCAAACCACCACCACTGATTATTTCTCACTAGTCTGCGGTTTGACTGGGCTCACCTGATCAGCTCTATCTGTTCCATGTGATACCAATCTGGGATGCAGTCATCTAGGGAGGCCTGACTGGGCTGCCGTGTTCAAAATGACTAACCTGTGAGGCTGGAGTAGATGTCAGCTGTCGGCACAAAGGGGGCCGCTGGCCAGAGCACCATGTGGTCTCTTATTTTTGGTGTTCTGCAGTTTAATTTTAATGTGAACAGGTGAGAATTTCTTCTTATTTATTCTGCTTGGAATGTGTTTTGCTTCCCCAGGAGCAATTCTGCAAATCTGTTTTTCACTATGTCTGTAGAACCCGAAGCTAATATATCTTTAATTATTGGCTCTCCTTCCTTTTCTCTACTTTTTCTGAAGACTCTGATTAGAAACTATGCACAAAGAGTTAATAAAACTTTTCCTCCGTACATGAGATTCTGACTTTCAGTTAACTCTAGCTTAGTTCCTCTGGAAGCCTGAGAAGTGTAAAATGTCGAACTTTATTGCCAGGTAACATTGCTTAGGCTACAAACAACCCCTTGATTGGTAAACTGTATCTGGATCGGGGAGAACTATAAATAAGCAATAAATACCTGATGGGGACACCATGGTCCGGCTTTCTTGAGTTCAGCGATTCTTGTAATTGGCATGTCCCTTGCAGGACTCTGGAAGCTATCCTTACAGAGAGGTTACAGAAAGAATGGCTCCTTTAGGGCATAAGACCTTAAGCCTGGACTCCCACACCCACTCAGTATGGATTTTACCTTCCTGCAGCTGAACTCAACTGCTTCAAAAGCTGACGCTGCCCTGCAGGCAAGCTGTGCTCTTCCGGGCAGACTGGTGCTCGGTATGACCTACGGTAGTCTCTGAAGTCTGAATGTCTAATTGAACCTAGGTGCATTCCCAGCAGGAATCACAGACACACATTACAGCTTCTCATTCTATGCTCCATTGCTCTTAATATATTTCATATTTTCTATCTCCCTTTCTCTCAGCATTGCATTATTTCTTCAGATACATGTAATTCCTAATTCACTAATTCTGTCTTCAACTGTTTAATCTGATTGATCTACCATTTTTTAAATTTCATTTCTAGAAGTTCCTTTTGTTTTTTAAACCAATCTGTTCATTCCTAATAATCTCTTGTTGACTCTTGGAGGTCTTTAGGACTGCATCCTTTATTTCTTTAAGCACTACAAAGGTAGCAGTTTTATACTGTGTAGCTGAAAGTCCCTTATCTGCAGTCCTTTGGAAGTATAACTACAGTGTTGGTTATGTCTACCCACTCACAGTCATCGTGTTGATTTTATTTGGTTCTCATGGAGTATGAGGTCATTAATAGATATTAATGAGTAAGATTTTTATGGGCCTAAACTGAGAATGGGGGAAGCTTTCCAGCAAAGAGGATCTGCTGCTTTTGTCGGCAGCCATGCCCACCACTACCTTGGGCTTCAGCCTCTTGAGAGTCTAGGCTTCGCACTGGCTGCCTCCATTCAGCACCTGCTGCTGTCAGCAGTTAACCACAGGCAGTGCTCCCACTCCTACTGTCTGCTCTGTCACTCTGGCCCCACCTTAGGGTGGGCTTGTCTGTTTTCTAAAAATGAATTCTTGGAGATCTCCCCTGCCTCCAGTGAGACCAGCAAGGTCTTAAATAGTATGTCTTTTCCAAACTTCAGCTATTTCTTGCAGGAGGGTCACTTGGAGCTCCTGATTAGCTCATATTGTTGGAAAAACTCCTGCATGATTTTACACAGATGGAAATGGTGAATACGTGAACATTTACAATTTCATATAATTTAATATTTTGCTTCCTTATAGAATTCATATTTTTAGAAACAACATCCCAACCTCATCATTTCTTGCTATTACTTTAGTAACCTTATTCATCTCTTCTCATCATGCCCCCTTTCAATCTGTCTGCAGCCAACCACATGATCTTTACAAAACAAAACTGGATTCTAAAACTCCCCTTCGTAGAGTCCCGTCTTGTGTTTCAGGAAAAATACTCCTTACTTGCATTATTTTCCACACCTCCTGGCCATGCTACATTTCTTTTCTCCTCACGCCTCCACACATGTGGGCATGCTTCTCTCACCTATCTGGCAAGTTGTGTATCCGTCAAGATCAGTTATCCCCAGGTCTTATGAATCTTTCCTAAGACTCTTGTAGTCCCAAATCTCTTTATAACCCGGTCTCATTTAGTCCCTATTTCTCACAGGACCCTCAGCTCTCATTTCTTGATTACACTGTGCGCTTTTTGCCTCTATACTTTTGCACATCTTTTTCCTGCTGATAGACTTTTTCTTCAATTCCTATCAAAATCTATTCACTTTTCAAAGTCCAGCTTAAAGTCAGTTTTTTCTTCTGTGACAGTGCCCTATTCTGAGAAGGCAAAATTAACTTCTTTCTTCTTCATGCCAGCCTATTACAGAACCTCACAAATACTGTGATGGCTTTTCTATCTCATCCACTATACTGGGAGCATCCACGTTTCAGTCATCTCTGAATCTTGCAACCCAGTACAGCATCTGGCACATTGCAAACATCCCTAGTGATTGCTGAATACGTTCTAAAAGTTATAAATTATATAAAAAAAAAATCACATAAGAAGCACAGCTTCTGACCATACTGCATAAAAATATATAATTCTGCTTATCTTTGCCCTGACCTTAAAGAAAAACAAATTTAATACTAAACTCTGGGGAAAGCAAGAGTACCAGAAAGGAAAGGTTTTTTTTTTTAAGATTTTATTTATTTATTTGACACAGAGAGAGACAGCACAAGCAGGGGGAATGGCAGGCAGAGGCTGAGGGAGAAGCAGGCTCCCCGCTGAGCAGGGAGCCTGATGTGGGACTCGATCCCAGAACCCCGGGATCATGACCTGAGCCGAAGGTAGTCGCTTAGCCAACCAAGCCCTCCTAAGAGGGCAAGAATTGGTTCTTGGGGATAAAATAATCTTACATTTGTTATATATAGCACATAGATGCATACACAACATAAACAAATAAGCAGTATATTTATGACATTAAAATTTCATGGGGGGGAAGGTGGAATTTGAAAAAAGTATCTAAAAAGGCTCCTTATTTAAGGAAGTGACAATGAATAAAAGGTTGAGAAACACTGGTCTAGCCTCAGACAGCTAGGCCTCTACTTCCTTGATTATAAGGGCAACATCTCAGGAAAATTCAAGAGATGGCTCTTGTGTTCTTTGCTGCCAATTTCCTAGGCAAAGCACACCTAAGTTATGCAAACTCCTTCTTTTTAAACCCACCTGCTTTCCTGCCTGAGAACTACTCACTCCTCTGCTCTACCCTCAAACCAAACCCCACCCTCTGCTCCAACACTGTCCCTCAAAACATATCTGATGTTTTAATTCAAATGCATTTGGGGAGGTACATCTCTATACCCCCATCTTTCCCTGCTTATGGCTGAGAAGTTCCAAACAACTAGCTGAGCAATTATTCCACTTTAGCTTTCAGTTTATCACGTCTCCTTTCTTGCCCTCATCTCTCATCATTCTATAACAGAAATTAAAAGATGAGAGCTACTTTTTAAAAAACCTTTTTACGGATCCATCTGAAAAAGAACAAAGGCTTTTCCAATATAAATAATCAGCCTGGATTTATTAGGTGGACAGAAAACTACTAATTCTATTTCCATCAGCCCATCCTTTCCATTCCCATTCACACTACTGGAATCTGGCCATCCCTGCTTGGAAACAGTCTTCTAATATGCTGCACCTCTCACCTACCCTCTATAGAGGTTACCTTCCTAAAATTACACAACCAGTGATGCTACTTCTTTAAGTCAAAACCTTCACCAATAAATCATGCACTCAGCAAATACTAAATGAGCATCTGTTGCGTGCCGGCTGCCGTGCTGGTCTCTGGAGAGTCCATGGAGAGCAGAGATGGCCACTGCCCTCACAGGCTTCTAGTCGGGAGATCAGAGCAAACTAACCTAACTATAGATTGTGCTGAGTGCTAACTACAAACCCAAAACAATAAAATGAAGAATGTTATTAAAAAAGAAAAATAAGGGGGGCAGACCTACTTTAAACTGGGTCAGGGAAGGCCTCTACAACAACTGAAATCTGAAGGAAAAGGACAGCTAGGTAAAAAGTTGCAGTCAGAGGGACAAGAGAACATCTGAGGCAGAGAAGAGCTGGCGAAAGGGAAAGGACCTAAGGCTGGAAAGATGCTGAGAAGTTAGAGGAACTAAAAGCCAGTAGGGCTGAAATGTACTAATGTGGCTCCGCATTCCCAGTATAAACTTCACATCCTCATCAAGAACCTTCACATTCCAGGGGCATCTGGGTGGCTCAGTCGGTTAGGAGACTGACTTGTATTCAGCTCAAGTCATGTTCTCAGGGTCCTGAGATGGAGCCCCACATCAAGCTCTATGCTCAGTACGGAGTCTGCTTGTCCCTCTCCCTCTGCTCCTCCCCCTGCTTGCATGATTGCGCTCTCTTTCTCACAAACAAACCAACCTTCACATTTTGGCCTCAACCTACTTTTCCCACTCTCCTGTTTATTACCTTTCTTTGATGTGCAATCCACACTCTGACCACCCCAGACTACTTCCAGTCCCACCTAAAACACAGCACACATTTTATACCTCCATGCCACTGTTCATGCTGTTTCCTCTGCCTAAAATGTTTTTTTGAAGTCTTTCAGATCACATCAGGCACAATTTATCTCTTCTATTCTTTGTGATTCTAGGGCATTTTGCTCATAGTGCTTTTTTTAAAGATTTATTTATTTGAGAAAGAGAGAGAGAGCAAGTGTGAGCAAGTGCAAGCTGGGGGAGGGGAAGAGGGAGAGAGAGAATCTCAAACAGACTCCACTGAGCACGGAGCCTACACGGGGCTGGATCCCATGACCCTGAGATCATGACCTGAGCCCAAACCAAGAGTCGGACGCCTAACCCACTGAGCCACCAGGCACCCCTCATAACACTTTTATACACTTGTTTATACACTTCTAAAACTGATTTATAATTAGTTGTATACACATTTGTCTTCTCTACAAGATTACAAGTATAAACCACATCAGTTATTTCTGTACCTCCTCCCCTGATCTTCTAAACAAAAAACACAGGGCTCAATAAATGCTTGTTGGTTTAATGTTCTAGTATCAGTTTTCATAATTAGGTTGCAGCTATATCATTTTAACTACATTATACTAGGTTATTAGTATTAAATCAAATCACGAAGTATTTGTTCTACAGCAATACAGTTTGTAATCATAACCAATTCTTTGTAGAAAACCCATAAAGACTGTAATTGAGAAATGAAAAAAAATTCCTTCAAGATCATTTAGAGTAAAACAAAAGATATTTCCCTTTATATTACTGAGGCATACCCTATCCTTAAGTTTTCTTGCCACAGTCAAAGTCATCAGAATATAAAGCAAAAACAGGTTCACTACAAGTATAATTATTTAATAAGGTCTTCTAAATGATCATTATTCCAACATCAGTCCATCCAGATACATTCATAGAAAGTGCTAACCTCTTTTTTCCCGAGTACCATTCGATGAAGAACCAATGTAAAACAAGAGGAAGCATAGCCATAAATCCAAGATACAGCCAATCATAAAGTTCTGGAGACTCTGTGCATGGCTGACAGTATTTCTGTGCATTTGTTCTCTGTCCTCTTGGACACACCTACAATATAAAAACAATATTTTATGTACAGATATTTTTTAGAACATTAATATCCCAAAGTCATTCTATAAAGACATCCCATTTCAGTTTAAACATGTACACATGTGCATCTTTTAGAAATAAAAAAAGTGCATATGTAAAATAAATCTACATTGTTATTTGGTGTATCTGTAAACACTTTTAATAGATTCCTTTTGCTAAGTTACAAATAGTTGACTAACATTAAATGATAAACTTAGTTAATAACGCTATATAAAAATAATTACAGAGAAAAGTTCTGAGTTTTAATGTTAACTTACTGCCCAAGTTACTGCACTACAGCATTAATAATTAGAAATTATAAAATTATAAAATGATTTAAAAAATACTTAACTGTGACTGTCAAGAAAAATGTATTATAGACAATACAACACAGATAAGAATTTTATTAATGCCTCATATTTTTATAAATTAATGAGTATACTGAAGAAAAAAGATATTCTACATGTGAAAATATTTCAAAAGCAAAAAGATTTTAGCAATGAAATAGCATACACATGTTAATTAAGACTTACCCCACATTCTCCATATATTTCAGTTGAGCCATTTTTAAATAATAGGGTCTTCCCACAGTAAAGTCCAAGGCATGCTGGTTGAATATCGACAGCTTTTTAAAAACAAATGCCAGTAAAGTAACATCTTTTGTGATTATAAAAAATAATGTAATAAGCAGTTGAAGCACTTGGCAGAAATATCTCAACACAGTTGTTAAAAATGATACGTATTAGACAAAAGTCTCGATGCACTTATTTTTAAACTTAAATTTCCCCTTTTACACTGTGCCACTGCAGAAAGTTATACCGAAATCTTGTTGTTAATGCTATTCCTTATGGTTAAGACCCATCAACCAGCAAAGTGGGATCTATCCCCAGAATTCAAAGCTTAACCTGGTATGTCTCCAATGGCTCCAGCAGCTAGTCCCCCTTGATTAGATGGTCTAGACTTTTGCATTTCCATTTTTTTTTTTTAAGATTTTATTTATTTATTTGAGACAGAGAGAATGAGAGACAGAGAACATGAGAGGCAGGAGGGTCAGAGGGAGAAGCAGACTCCCTGCCGAGCAGGGAGCCCGATGTGGGACTCGATCCCAGGTCTCCAGGATCATGACCTGAGCAGAAGGCAGTCGCTTAACCAACTGAGCCACCCAGGCGCCCGCATTTCCATTTTTTAATTAGAAAACTAATAGAGGATCACCACCCCTATTTTGCCCAGTCAGAACATTAAGTGTGCACATATACAACACAGAGACACACACACAAAATATCACCTTCGTTCATAATAGAACACATTTTAATACCAGAAGAGCAATAATTTCAAAATAAAGGACAGGCCTTTAAAGTAAATAAATTCACCTTTAGAAAAAGATTACTACATTGTCCTAACTTTGTCATTTTTGTTGAGGACAGGGGAAAATTTCATCAAGGCTGTCACTGGGCCTCTGACCTATATTTGGGAACTACCTTAGAATCAACCCCCTGCTCTCAAAGCTTGGGCAAAATAAAAAGCAGCTTTCTTCACAAAAAAACCTCAGTGCCTGCAGATTGTCTCTGACCTCATCAAGAAGTTATTAAAGGAGGTTGTTTTTTTCATCAGAGACATCTGATTTTCCGTCGTTCATCGATTCACTTATTCAATAAACGTGCATTAAGTATCAGATTCCCTGGCTAGGAACTTCTAAAGATCCACAGAGCAACATAACAAGAGTCCCTGCCCTCAAAGAACCTAAATCCAAAACAACTGTGGTCAAATGTGAATTAACTTGGAAAATTATGCATTTTATGACTATTGTAGGGGTCAAGGGACAGGCTCCCAAAATGTACCATTTTGGCATATTATTTGAAATAAAAGTTACTTAAGAAACAACAGGGGCAAGGACACTGAGACCTCCTCCGTCCCCCTGAAAGCAGTAAAAAGATATCCTTATTACCAGCGATAATGACTTTAAAGTCAAAAAAGCTGCAAAAATAAACCTTGTTACTTTTTTGCTAATCTTAGCCCAAACCTTAGCCCAAACACCTGTTGTCCTTTTCCCATAAATTCCTCACAAATTTATTGCCTCTGTCGATAATGTATAAAGAACTGCCCGCATTGGTCATTTCTTTAAGTCTTAGTTTCATAATTGGGCCTCCATGCACACATAATAAAACTTGGTTGTTGTTTTTTTCTGTTAATCTGTCTCATGTGAACTTAATTTTTAGTCCAGCTGGAAGACCCTAAAAGTAGAGAATTTTTCCTTCCTTTCACTATTCTTGAACAATTTCCCTAATTCTTCATGAATTCACAAGAGACTGCTTGGTCCACAATGTCCTTTCTCCTTTCAAATTCAAGTAGACTTTTGATTTCTTTCTCCTTGTGCTGCTGAGAAACAATATAAAGAGCACTGACTAAAATGTTTCAAGTTAATATTTTCACTTTTACCAAATTTCTGAATTTTTAAAATCCATGGGTTTCTTTACCTTATTTGGCATATACTTTTTAATCAATTGTAACCAGTATGTCCTAAACTACTAACAGACAAAAACGAACGGTTTCAGAGTTTTTGAGAAGACAGAAGTGAACGAATTGGAGGCTTCTTCTACATGGTTTTTGCATCTAGTAGGTGTTTAATAAATACATCTGAATGTAAATAACCTAAAGTTCTCAACACCCAAGGCCTGAAAATCACCAAAGTGAAAGCAACAGCTCATCACCGACCAAACAAAACCAAGGCTCCCCGCGTCCGTTCAATTTCCCCTCCCATTTCCCTTTACTGGAGGGTGGCTAAAATTTTAAGACTTTTTTTTGCAACGGTCTTGCCCCTTGTGAAGGGCCCTCTAAACAACGTCTGATGCAGAAGCGAGCGACTTCAGCAATTAGTTTCCGCCCCCTTTCCTGTTTGTTGGCACTTACTGACTCCCGCTGTTTCAATTTTGAAGTCTACCCTCACGAATGCTAAACAAAGGGACTGAAGTGACCTCTTGAACACAACCAAGGCCTGGCCTTTTGCCCTGGCACACACAGCCCGCCTCCCCTCTACGGCGTGTCTCCTCCGCAGCCCGAGGGGGCCGAGCCCAGCCCGACCCCGGGAGGAGATGAGGGCCCGCCCGAGACGGTGCGAGCCAGGGGCAAGGATGCGCCGCTAACCGGAGGCCGCCCCCCGAGCACAGCCCAAAGCTGCCAGCGTGGGGAAGAAGCAGGGACTAAGACAAACGGCTTCCGCGACCTCGGCGACCACTCACCCATTGGCCGCTTGCAGGTTTCCCCGAAGAAGCTCCGGGATCAGCCGCCGGCAGCGCCCGGACATCCGGGCCACAGCCGCCTCGGCGGCTCCGCCTCCTGGTAACCCGGGCGACCACGTGAAGCCCCGCCCCCTCGCCCTTCCTGGTCTCTTCTCGGAGGCCCCGCCCCGGAGGCGGCCTCAAGTGCTGAAGCTCTCCCGCGGAGTAGGCGGGTGGGCTGGAGGCTCGAAGAGCGCACGGCGGGGAGGTGGTCGCGTTCCCGGACGCAGGCGATGGAGAGGGCGCTGGCGCTGCCGCGGCTGCCCCCGCACGACCCGGGGACGCCGGCGCTGTCGGTGGTGGACATGCACACGGGCGGCGAGCCCCTGCGCATCGTGCTGGCTGGGTGTCCGGAAGTGGTCGGCCCCACGCTGCTGGCCAAGCGGCGCTACATGCGCCAGCACCTTGACCACCTGCGACGAAGGCTCATGTTCGAGCCTCGGGGGCACCGGGACATGTACGGGGCTGTGTTGGTGCCTAGCGAGTTGCCGGACGCGCACCTGGGCGTCCTGTTCCTGCACAACGAGGGCTACAGCTCCATGTGCGGCCATGCAGTGCTGGCGCTGGGCCGCTTCGCCCTCGACTTCGGGCTGGTACCCGCACCCCCGGCCGGCGCCCGCGAGGCCCGCGTCAACATCCACTGCCCGTGCGGGCTGGTGGCCGCCTTCGTGGAATGCGAGGGCGGCCGCAGTCGCGGCCCGGTGCGCTTCCACAGCGTGCCAGCTTTCGCGCTGGCCACAGGTAAACGGGGAGACCCTCCCAGCTCCGGGAAGCAACTAACTACACTAACCGTCTCTCTGGCCTGGAACTCACGCAGTGCAGTTAACCCACCCACGAGCCTTTGCGATTAATAAAAACATAAAATCAATGCAAATGTGTGTTAGCATCTTAGCCTTGCAGATTTGTGCCGTGCATGCAATTCGATTATCCCACAGATTTCGTCTTGGTCTTGAGAGAGCCTCGAGGAGTACAGAATTCCGTGTCTCCCTTACTCAGCGCCTCGTTCCCCACTGTCAGGCATTCCTAGAGATTTCACAGTTGGGTGAGTCTGAGGAAGGAAAGAGCAAAGAACAGCCAATGTACCAGGGTTCATTGGCTGATTCAGAATACACTTACTAGACATTACCCCCCTGACAAGTTACTAAGCCCTGTCTTGTTTTCCTCACCTGTAAAAAGTGCCTTCCCCACTTCTTTGGGAAATAATTAAATAAGAATGAATGAACTAAGCAATTTATAAACTGGGAAGATACAGATGTTGCTGCTCTTATTCTTTAAGAAACAGGAACAGACATTGTGTGAGTCCAAATACTGACAACCCCTTTAAGCTATGCAACCTTAATCAAATTACTAACCTCTCTGTGCCGATATTTTTTCATTTGTTATCTCACTGAGTTTTTGGTGAGGATTAAATGATAGTATGCAAAACACTCAGAAATTTTAAAAATATATTTTTAGAGACAGAAAGACTGTAGGTATAACACCCAGTGCTCATCACAAGTGCCTCAATACCCATCACCCATTTAGTCTATCCCCCTCACCTCCCCTCCAGCAACCCTCAGTTTGTCCTCTATCATTAAGTCTCTTATGGTTTGCCTCCCTTTTTTTTTTCTTTCCCCTATGTTCATGTTTTGTTTTTTAAATTCCACATGAGTGAAATCATACGGTGTTTTTCTCTGATTTTGCTTAGCATAATATACTCTAGGTCCATCCACATTGTTGCAAATGGCAAGATTTCATTCTTTTTGATGGCTGAGTAATATTCCATTATATACGTACATATAAATACACATACAACATCTTCTTTATACATTCATCAGTTGATGGACATTTGGGTTCTTTCCATAATTTGGCTATTGATAATGCTGCTATAAACATCGGGGGCATTCTATTAGATCTTGATCTTTCTTGAGGATTTGGATTCTAGCTTAGCCTAATTATGAATGAGGCAGTAATAGCCCAGGCATTTGTCAGTCTTAGAGCAACCTCAGGCAGCTGAAACACCTAGGTTGATGAAGAATTCCCCTGGGGGAACTGATGGCACTTTGCCCTCTAGGAGAGAACAGTGTCACATCCGGATTGGGAGGGCACTTGAGATAGACAGGAGTTTGGTTAGGTTGCATCTCGAAAATCTCAGCAGTTTAAATAGTTTAGCTATCCAGTTTCTCCTTAGGCAACCCCAGCAGCAGATTGGAAGTGCTCTAGATTTGCGGGAAATGACAGCTAGCAGCAGGATCACCAACGACATCATAGTTCAGGGCTGGTTGGGTCAGGGCAGCCAATCTGTAAGCACCATAGTTCCCGAGAGCAGCGCTGTGTGACTATACAATAATTGGTGGGCAGTAATGGTCACTTTGAGTCATTAAAAAAGATCCTGCGGCACCTGGGTGGCTCAGTCTTTGGGCGTCTGCCTTCGGCTCAGGTCATGATCCCGGGGTCCTGGGATCGAGCCCCGCATCGGGCTCCCTGCTACGAGGGAAGCCTGCTTCTCCCTCTCCCACTCCCCCAGCTTGTGTTCCTGCTCTTGCGCTCTGTCTCTCTGTCACATAAATAAATAAAATCTTAAAAAAAGAAAAGAAAGGAGTCCCTCCATTAAAAAAAAAAAAAGATCCTAAATTCTGTACTTTGAAAAATGCTAAAACAGTGGACTGACAAGTGTTCAAGATCACTGCTCTGTCCCATCTCCATCTTGATGACCTTGCAATAGGGATTCCACACCTCAAGATCATCATCTGCAAAATGAAGATGACAACAGTACCCACCTCAGAAGATTGCTGAGTTCATTTCCATTCCACTCTGCTAAAATGAAAACTTTGTTTTGTTACTGTATTCAAGTGCTAGAACAGTAGGTAGTCAATATTTGTTGAATGAGTAACTAAGTGAATGAAACTGGGAGAAGACTATGGTGATTAGCAAATGTAAATATCCTCTTAAAAACCCTATTCCCTTTGGAAATTAAATTTTTGGCCTTACTATTAACATTAATGTATGGCTGATTTGTGCCATGCACTCCCCACACATTATCACATGGAATTCACACAGCAGTCCTTTTGGGCGGGGACAGCAGTTCCATGTTACACATGAGGACACCAAAGCCACACTTAGCTTTCCAGCTTCCAGCAGCCCCGCATTTCCATCTATGTCCTCATTCTCCTTTCATTAAGTCTGATTTTTATGTTGCACCAGCATCAAGATAAAGATGTTTCATTCATAGTTCCTCTTAAGCCCCACGGGCATATTTTACTTTCTTGATTATAAACTTGCTCTGTTTTGACACACCATGTGTTAGAAGGGCTCTGGGGGCCAGCCTGGAATGGATAGCATACTGATTGGTATCTTTGTATGAGTCAGGGTGCAAACTCAGGCATATAAGCAATATTTTATTTTTCAGAATTTCTGCATTTGAGGCCCCATTCTGCCTTGTTGACTTACCTAGCCTCATCTGTCTACATGCTGTCCCCTTTCCTGATACATGTGTAGCAAAGGTTTCTTTGAAGAGCCAAGGCTTTGGAGAGGAGGGCCTTTTAGTCATCAGCCTGCATGGTCAACCAGTGAAGCATCATCTGTCCCTGACCATGTGGCCCCTGTCCCTGCCTCTCCTCCTCTTTGCTATCTCTCTCACACCCTATAGCCTCCCTGTAGTACTGTGGGGAAGTCAACACAGGTCCTCTGCACTCCAGACCTGCCAACTCTTTTCTCGGTCCAGAGGAAATTTCTCTATTGACCAAGAGAAATATGGTGACCCTTCAGGCCAACAAACCTCTCTCCCCCCAGATCTTAGGTTTCCATAAAACCTACTTTCTCCCCTGCCATACATCTCCCCCAGAGGCAGTGATCACCAAGCCAGCTTGAACTGGGGAGGAGGAAAAGGAAGATGCAAGAACGGGTAAAACAGTTTGAATATCCTAAAATATCATCTAACCCCATTCCTTTTGGAAATATGAATTTAGGATTTCAAACAACTGACCTTCAGGTGAAACTTTGGGTAAGTTGAGGACTTAGAATACTTAAAACCCTGATACAAAATGATACTGTAGACATCAGTGATTCCATAATGGCTTTATTCTGAGTATTTGCCTGCAGGATGCTTTCATGAAATGAAAATACATAGGTGAATTAGTATATATAACTTACATAGAAAAATCTTTTCATTTTGTTTTGACATTACAGCTGAAGAAAGCCAATTTGTGAATAGGATCCAAAATCATATATTAAACGATTCCTAGTAGGGACGCCTGGGTGGCTCAGTAGGTTAAGTATCTGGCTTCAGCTCAGGTCATGATCCCAGGGTCCTGGGATCAAGCCCCTCATCAGGCTCCTGGGATCAAGCCCCGCATCAGGCTCCTTGCTCAGCAGGGAACCTGCTTCTCCCTCTGCCTGCCGCTCCCCCTACTTGTGTTCTCTCTTGCTTTCTCTCTCTGACAAATAAACAAATAAAATCTTTGAACAATTCCTAGTAGTAGTATGAGAGGGGACTTTCATTTTCTGCCCTTGTTTTCACACATTGATGTCCCAGGATTTCCCCTCTCTCTGCCTCTATGAGGTTTTCTAGCAAAGATCCTCAAAGTGGTTAACAAAATAAGTTTACACGATTTAAGAAAAACATGGCATTAGATGTTCTAAAACTTATGTATCATTAAGTTAAAAATAGATGCACTCAGCTAAATGTCTATTATTATTTGATGCTTACTCATTTCAAAAATGCTTCATTCCTTTCTGTGATAGGAAAATGTACCCCTCCACCAAAATATACATATTAAAAATGCTCTGAATTGTACTGCCAAAATACTATTAAAAAACTTCTTTTCTTTTTTTTTTTTTAAGATTTTATTTATTTATTTGACAGAGACACAGCGAGAGAGGGAACACAAGCAGGGGGAGTGGGAGAGGGAGAAGCAGGCTACCCGCTGAGCAGGGAGCCCGATGCGGGGCTCGATACCAGGACCCTGGGATCATGACCTGAGCGGAAGGCAGACGCTTAACGACTGAGCCACCCAGGCGCCCCAACAAACTTATTTTCAAACACATCTTTTTTAGATCTCTTAGTGGATGTTCCTGGTCATGGAAAGATGGTGGTAGACATTGCATATGGTGGAGCATTTTATGCATTTGTTAGTGCTGAAAAGTTAGGACTTGACGTTTGTTCTGCAAAGACAAGGGACCTTGTGGATGCAGCGAGTGCAGTGACGGAAGCAGTCAAAGCTCAGGTCAGTACAAACACCGCTTTCATCACACGTGCCCTCCTCTGCGGCATGGAGGGAATATAAATTACACGTCTACGCAGTTAAATATCTACATATTTAAATTATTAGTAGGACTAAAAATAAGGTACTGGTTACAATCTTGGGCTCTATAGCAAGACTATCTAGGAGTCCCAGTTTTGCCACTTGTAAGTTTTGCAACCTTGAATGAGTTACATAACCTTCCTGTTGTGCAATGGGAATTACAAAATACCTGTTTCATAGGGTGTTATAAGAATGAAGTCAGTCAATACATTCAAAGGATTTAGAATAATGCCAACCTATAATAAATGTTCAATAAGTAATTTATTAACTTTAATTATATACATACTAGTATAATTTGTGGTTATTTACACATATAGAAAATGTATCAAACAGTATTTCACTAATTTGAAATGCATATACTTTGCTATATGTGGTCATTCTGCAAAACTTGCAAATAATGAATGTCAATTATAGCTCACAAAATAGATTTCATTAAATCTGTTCAGACTTTCTCTTATTTCACAGAGAACACTAATTCCTAATTAGTAAATTTTTCTTATACTGCTAAGAAGTTACCTAAGTAACTACTCAAGTAAGTCTAATTTTGGCTTGGGAAAACTATTCTGATAAAATCAGTTTGGATAATAAATATATCTAGAATATTCTTTCATTTCTAGCACAAGTCTGCCATTTTACATTGGGACCTGTAAATAAAACTCATATACAGTATTTGAATGTTTTAGCATATGAGAATTTAATCACTATTCTAAGTAAAAAATAACTTGTGAAAGATAGTGCCTAATATACTTGTACTAATAACTACTATGGGCCTATTTAACATACCTGAGACTTTAACATAATTTGTGACTTAAACAAGAGGAAAATATATACTTTATTCCTGTTCTAAATTGTCATTTATCTAGGACTGTCAATACCAATAGCTAGAATTAGTTTATCATAGCAACTTCTGAGGTTCTGAATTTATATCAATTTTCTATTCATTAAGCAGCTTACAGTTTGAGCTAAAATTTGGCATGAAATAACTTTATTTTTAATGAGATCAAGAGAAAAAGGCATAGTTTTCTTAATAAAAGGAGTAATTTTGAACTTCTCATTAAAGTGTGAACTTCTGACCAAGGGGAGAAGGGGTGGACCTCGAGGGGGGAGGGATTCTGAGAGAAATAGGAGAAAACCACGTATGAGATGACGATATATAGCATCATCTATTAGTGCTGAATCAGGCAGCAGAACTACTTTGTTAACCGCTGACCATTCACACTGCTGATGCAGATTCAGGGAAAGGCCATTTTGGTGGGGGCTGAAGTTAGTACACATTCATCCTCATTCATTTATTCTTTTTTTTTTTAAAGTTTTTATTTAAATTCCAGTTAGTTAACATACAGTGTAATACTAGTTTCAGGTGTCTTCCTTCTTTTAACAAACATTTACCTAGAACTTAGTGAGTCGCACACGATGCTATGTTAGATGCTAGGGACTCCAGGAAAGAACAAACCCGCCTTCCGGGAGCTCAGTCTGGTGAGGGGAAGAATACCATGAGGAGTGCGAGGTAATGATGCTGTGGTGGGGGTGTGGCATGGGGCTTTCAGAGGATGGAGAACAAAGATCCAGCAGGAAGACCGCTTAAACTTGGCTTTCGATGGACCCTGGATTTTTAGAACCAAATCTATTCACTTGCTTCAGATGACAGGTAAGTAGCAGTGGAATGTACTGATTGTAAGGATGCACATGGAAGTAAGATTATAGTTTGAGAGCTAACAGATGTCACAGAAAATGAGGAAAAGTTAAACTAGGCCTCCCGAGAAGAGCAGGAAGCACTGCACACTTGGGCCTGACCTCGATTTACCACAGAGGTGACTTAGCGACCATGCCAGGGCATGCTTCTCTGAGCGTATGTGCTGCTTTCTGTAGCGCCAGCTGACTTCCTCCTTTACAGATCTTTTTTTTTTTTTTCATCCAACTGTTCTCTTACCCAATAGCTTCTGCATTCTTGTACCTTTGGCTTGCTCAAAATTCTCTTTTGAGAGCTCAGCGAAGAAACTTACCTAACACCCAAATCAGGCCTCTTCAGTTTCCAAAGTCACACACTTGCAAAGAAGCAACCAAGGGTGTCACTCACCCTCACAGCCTTCCCACAGCCTCTTCCAAGGCCTCGTCTCTGCCCACGGTATTAACTTCGGCTCTAGGTGTTAATTGTCTGGTTCTTCTACCTTATCCCCTTCAAGCTCCTCAGAGGGAGCACAGGACTGCCTTAGCCTGTCCTGTTGGAAGAGCCGTGGCCAGTCTGGGGTCAGTGCTTCAAAGAGTGTGAGCGTTTGGAGTGTGTGTGTGTGTGTGTGTGTGTGTAAAATAGTGCTTGGAGTGTGTGTGTGTATATAACAGGACTGTTCCTTCAGCAGAGGCTACACGCGGCACAAATTCCTTAGAAAGGACTCAGAGTATGATAAGAATCCCAACTTCCAATGAAACTATGTTTATTCATCTAGACAAAGACATCATTTACTGCCTTGACCCAAAAGGTGTTTTAAAAATGACAGAGTGAAAAGTTATGCCTCCGAGTACCCCATCTATATTATTTATAAAGATAAATTTGAATCAAAATATTTATTTTACGTGTAATCTTACATGACAATTTATATTACACGATAATTTTCTTTGTCATTTGCAGTTTAAAATTAATCATCCTGAGAGTGAAGACCTTTCCTTTCTGTACGGAACTATATTAACAGATGGAAAAGACACTTACAGCGAGGAGCCAACCGCCAACATCTGCGTGTTTGCAGATGAACAGGTATTAAAACTGTAACGTTTGGCACAAAAGCCAGACACTATGGAATTGGAACACGGTGAACACTCTTATCTTCATTTACTCTGGAACAGGTGGACAGAAGTCCTACTGGCTCAGGAGTGACGGCCCGAATTGCCTTACAGTACCACAAAGGGCTTCTAGAACTGAACCAGACCAGGGCCTTTAAAAGCAGTGCAACTGGCTCAGTATTCATGGGGAAGGCTGTGAGGGTGAGTGACGCCATTAGCTTCCTCTTTGTAAGTCTGTTACTTTGGAAACTGAAGAGGCCTGAGCTGGATGTTGGGTAAGTTTCTTCACTCAGCTCTCGAAAGAGAATTTTAAAGCAGGCCTGTAAAAACTTCTGTTCAGCCAGGATATCAGTTCTCAAAGTGTGGTTTGGAACCCCTGGGGGTCCCCAAGGTCCTTTCCAAGGGTCCACAAGGTTAAAACTTAGTATGCATTAACATTAAGATATTATTTGCTTTTCAATTTATTGTCTCACGAGTGTACCATGGACTCTCTAGAGGCTTCACGATAGGTGATAAGCCAACCGACTGAATGCAGCAGATCCGAGAATCTAGCTGTCTTCTGTAAAACCAAACATTAAGGAGGTCTGCAAAAATGTAAAACACATGCCATTTTCCTCATTAAAATTGTTTTGTTTTGGCAAATTCAGTTATTTTCCCAAAATACGTTGTTTGTGTTAACATATAATGGGTTTATTATTTTTTACTTTGTTTTTTTAAAAAAAGATTTTATTTATTTATTTGACAGAGAGAGACACAACGAGAGAGGGAACACAAGTAGGGGGAGTGGGAGAGGGAGAAGCAGGCTTCCCGCTGAGCAGGGAGCCCGATGCGGGGCTTGATCCCAGGACCCTGGGATCATGACCTGAGCCGAAGGCAGATGCTTAATGACTAAGCCACCCAGGCGCCCCTGGTTTATTATTTTTTAATGAATTAATGAACAAATACCTTTAATTCCCAATATAGTAAATATTAATAGATATAACCTACATAAACAAAAACTTTTAGATGCTCAAATCTTTTTATTTTATTTTTTTTATTTATTTGTTAGGGAGAGGGAGAGAGAGCACAAGCTAGGGGGAGAGGCAGAGGGAGAAGCAGGTTCCCCACAGAGCAGGGAGCCCGATGTGGGACTCGATCCCAGGACCCTGGGATCATGACCTGAGCTGAAAGCAGATGCTTAATCAACTGAGCCACCCAGGAGCCCCTAGATGCTCAAATCTTAGGGCATAAAGGAGTCCTGAAACCAAAAAGTTCGAGAACCACTAACTTAGGGTTTGGATTTTTTTTGTTTTTATTCTATAGGAGAGTTTCATTTTTTATACTAGGATGTGAAAGTCCTGAAAAGTTGTAAAAAATAAAACTTTTGTAATAGAGTTAAGTTTTAAATGTGCTAACAGAAATAAATAGTAAATTCTATTTACTAATAAATAGTAGTAAATGAAATCTACACTAAGTAAATTTAGTGAATGAATTTAGTAGGTACATTTACTAAATGAATCTATTCATAAAGAGTCCTTTAACAAAACAAAAGAAATCTATCCTAATATAGACTTTTATATCCTAATATAGCTGTTTTGAAGTTTGGTTTTTCTGAATATTGAATTTTCTTTTAAGTTAGGGATTCTTATTTAATATAGTGATCTTATGAGATACCAAACTGTTTATGTCATATGCAAAAATTTGGAACACATTGTCTTCAAGTTGAGATTGAAGACAAAATAATCTACAACATTTATTGGGTGCTTCACTGTAAAGTTCCAAGCCAAGTACTTTATACATACCTTCTCGGGGCACCTGGATGGCTCAGTCAGTTAAGTGTCCAACTCTTGATGTCAGCTCAGGTCATGATCTCAGGGTTGTGAGATTGAGCCCCACATTGGGCTCTGAGTTGGGCGTGGAGCCTGCTTAAGATTCCCTTTCTCCCTCTCCCTCTGTGTGTGTGTCTCTCTTTCTAAAATAAATAAATAAATACAGTAAAATAAAATAAATATATACATACCATTTTAATCCTCATAAGAATCTTGGCAGGTCAACCCTGTTATTATCCTTTTTAAACAGATGATAAAATGGAGAATTAGGAGGTTAGGTAATTTGCCAGAGATCCAACAGTTAGTGAATATTGGAGCCAGACTCTGAATGTGGACCTCTCTGTGTAGACCCTACACTGTTAAGCACTACTATATTGTTATTAGACAAAGCAAGTTTTCAATGAGGCTTTTATTACAGCAGCTTTATAAAAAGATAATGAAATTACTGTATCCTAATCTAATAACTGATATTTTATCATAAGATTTAGTTATTCTCATGTTTAAAAATTAAGAAATAAGGGGCAGTTGGGTGGCTCGGTTGGTTGAGTGTCCAACTCTTGATTTTGGCTCAGGTCAGAATCTTGGGGTTCTGAGATCAAGCACTGCCCACCTAGGCTCCATGCTCAGCCCGGAGTCTGCTTCTCTCCCTCTCCGTCTGCCCCTCCCCCTGTTCATGCTGCACACGCATTCTCTCTCTCTCTCTCTCTCTCTAACAAATAAATACATCTTTAAAAAATTAAGAAATAGGGGCACCTGGGTGGCTCAGTCGTTAAGCGTCTGCTTTTGGCTCAGGTCATGATCCCAGAGTTCTGGGATCGAGCCCAGCATCGGGCTCCCTGCTCCGTGGGGAAGCCTGCTTCTCCCTCTCCTACTCCCCCTGCTTGTGTTCCCTCTCTCACTGTGTCTCTCTCTGTCAAATAAATAAATAAAATATTTTAAAAATTTAAGAAATAAAAAGGATACTCTGTAGTTAAGATTTGGAGTTATTTCTTTTACAGTTAATAATTAGACATCTTTACTCTCACCACACACCTCTCCTCTCTGTCCGGACTCCTCCAAGCTCTCGGATGGTACCGTCTTGGTCTCTTTCCCTTCCGCTTACGGATCTCCAGCATTTCATCCTCAGTTTCCTTCTCACCTCCTCTACATTTTGATGCCATGGGGCAATATCACCCACTTTTGAGACTTCAACTCCCAGCCACCCACTGATGATGACTCCTGAGCCTTCATCCCTCCCATGCCTACTTGTGTGTGCCTCTCTCCTGAGTCTAACACTCGTACTCCCAATGTCTACCAAACTCATCTTGAAATGACCGTCTCAGAGATATGTCATCTCATTAAAAAGCTCCTCCTTCTTCCCTAAATGTGCTCCTCCCATCTAATTCCCTATTGGTTAATGGGAGCCCCTGCTTTGCTCCCCAACTAGGAACGATGCTCACACTGAACTCATTCCTACTCACCTCCCACATACATCAGTCCCCAGGCCTGCCAATTCTACCTGCAAAGTATCTCTGTTTTGTTCTTCTCCATCCTCCCTAAAAACTGCCCTAGTGACTCTAGAGTTCATCAATGAATGAAGGTTACCTCTAAAGAAGTTTCTAGGTTTCTAGTTGCTTTTCTCTCTGACTTGTCCTCATTTTACAGCTAAAGTTACCTAAAACACAAATCTGATCATGTCAGTCTCCTTAAAAACCTCCCATTACCTACAAGATTAAGCCTTGGGTTTTCTTTAAAAGGATAAGAATCAAGAATATGACTCTAGGCCAGACACAATATAAGTGCAGTATTTTGATATTATATTCCTTTCGTCTTTTCTCAGGAAGCAAAATGTGGGGATTTTAAAGCTGTTATAGTGGAAGTGTCTGGACAAGCCCATTACACAGGTACAGCAAGTTTTATAGTGGAAGATGACGACCCACTGAAGGATGGATTCCTTCTCATGTGACTTCAGTACTTTTCAGGGCTTTCTCTGAATTATGTGGAAAACGATATCTAAATTGTACAACTTCTTTTCCTTCTAAAGCAGTATGCTGTAACTAAATATAATCATTATACCTCATATTTACACATGTAATTGGTATAAATGTCACCATGTCTAACTTACAAAATGCTAAAAATTCAGAATATTTTTCTAGTTATTAACATATCATGTAAAATTAATATCTTAGTCCTGTTACTTTTAAAATGTTACTCTATGCTACTTACTGTAATATTTTGTTTTAGATGCTCTTTGAATAATAGCTTGAATTGTAGCCCTCACAACAATGACTCTTACAAGTTCATTATTTTAGTCTTCTAGTTTTTGAGTAAGATAATGTCCTCTCTCTGAGCAGGGTGTAAGGGAGATGGATTATTATAAGGTACTAAACACTTAGCCTACATAGCCTGGGAAGGACTGGGGTGGGTCAGCTTCTTGGAACAGATGTTACAGCTGTTACCAGGATGTTTGTACCAGCAAATCTCTCTAATGTGTAGAAAATTTCTTGTCATAGTAAGATAGTGATAGTTTCATTTTTTGAAGATGAGTGCTGCAATTGTGTGGGCCGAGGGCCATCTCCTCTTCACAAAGCCCCGCTGAGGCTACCTTCTAAATATTGCTCACAACTATCCCTTACCATCCTTGGTAAGTGTTTTGCCTCATTAATTAACTTCTTTCAAGCCAACCTCCTTTCCCTCACTGATCTCTTAGCTCTAGATAGCTGCAAAGTCCAGCTGCTACTCCAAGGTAACTGAAGTGCCAGAAGCTGGTGTGAGAAGACCAATGAATAATCAGACTTCTGTTATATCTTTAAGGCTTTTATAAAAGGGATTGTTGACTGCATTATAAACACAGTGGAAATCAATGAATTACTAGAGTAGGGTGAGTCTCCTACACTAGCAACTACATGCCAGGTACATTTAAAGCCCGAAAGAAATGTTAACTATTAATTCTTGCTACTTAATTGTCTGTGAACCTGTTAAAAATAGAATTTGGCCGGGGTGCCTGGGTGGCTCAGTTGGTTAAGTGTCTGAGTCTTGGTTTTGGCTCAGGTCATGATCTCCTGGTCGTGAGATCGAGCCCTGAGTCAGGCTCAGCGTGGAGTCTGCTTGAGATTCTTTCTCCCCCTTTGTTCTTCCCTGCCCCTGTGCTCTCTCTTGCGCTCTCTTCCCTAAAATAAATAAATGAAATCTTTGAAAATAAATAAACAAAATAAAATTTGATCATTTTTCATTCACTATAAAATGAGGTATTTAAAAGTTATTCAATATGTGATGCTCTCAGTAGTCAGTAGACTCCTGTGAATTTTTTTTTCTGAGCATACAGAAACTGAAGTAATTAATTTTAACTCATTTTGTCATCCAGTTATTAAGTCTGTGATTGAATTACCAGACCAAAATGAAAGATTTATAGCTTTATAACTTTATAGTTAATGTTCTTGATTTTCCTATTATACAAAAACTAATGCTTTCCACTCATTTTCTATAAAATTCTGTGGTAAAGAAATCACTTATCTTCAAACAAATGAAACTATCACTAGCTTACTATGACAAGAAATTTTCCACACATTAGAGAGATTTGCTGTACTTTCTTTTTAAAATGAAAATAGAGGGGTGCCTGGGTGTCTCAGTTAAGCATCCGCCTTTGGCTCAGGTCATGATCCTAGGGTCCTGGGATGGAGCCCTGCATCAGGCTCCCAGCTCAGTGGGGAGCTTGCTTCTCCCTCTCCCACTCCCCCTGCTTGTGCTCCCTCTCTTGCTGTCAAATAAATAAATAAAATCTTTTTAAATAAATAAATTAATTAAATGAGAATAGAACTACTATTTTCTCTCCAAATTTCACAAGTCATATTAACTTATCTACATTAAAAAGTAGGCATTGCCTATATCTTCCTAAATTCTAATCCAAACCAGAGCCAAACCCTTGCGGTAATATTCACCCCTTCTGTACTTCACCGCCTCTCCTGGCGTCAACACTAGGGAAATTAACTACCCCCCCCCCCTTGTGTCTAACCAGTCACAAAGCCCCGCTGAGGCTACCTTCTAAATATTGCTCACAACTATCCCTTACTATCCTTGGTAAGTGTTTTGCCTCCTTAACTAACTTCTTTCAAGCCAACCTCCTTTCCCTCACTGATCTCTTAGCTCTAGATACTTAAATGTGCTCATCATAAACAAAATGATGCAAAACATCCTTTGTCTGCCTTCCTTCTCTAGCTTGCTGTCACCCCTGTTTCCTTCTCTTTGTAGTCAAATTTCTATATTCCTGACTCTCTGTTCATTGGGTACATTTTCTCGTCTTCCCATTTGTTATTTGACTATTGTCATTTGGTTTCTACGTCATTATTTGTTGGAAATTATGCTTGATCTAACTGCCAGATCTAACAGCCCCCTGAGGGTTTATGCAATCCACGGTGGATGCTGCTGCGGACTCCTGGCAGCCAAGTGTGGTTCATGTTAGAGCAAGTATCTACATGCCCTTGGTGCTGGGTCAGCCATAGAGACACTCAGGGAAGCTCTCAAGGTCATGAGCTTAGTACTCAGTCCCCATTAGTAACCACCAGTGCTGCAATTGTGTGGGCCCAGGGCCATCTCCTCTTCACCATGAAGTTGCAATGAGTTTGGCTCCAAGTCCTCTAGACTCCATAAGAGTTGGGGCACCCTTCTCTTCAACTCCTAAAACCCACAAATTCCATACCATCCCTCTTTAGGACAATGTTTCTCATACGTGTGTGTATCAATACCTGGGGATCTTAAGCTGCAGATTCTCATTCATTAGGTATGGGGTGGTGCAGTTCTAGCAAGCTCCCAGGTGATGCTGATGCGACTAGTAGGACTGCATTTGAGTAGCAAAACTTCCTAAACAATCTATTTTAGTTACCCATTTGGGTCCAGGCTTTACAGGTGAGCCTTCTCCTTTTTGCTCTAAAATACATAAGGAGCCTATGAGCTCTTGGCCACGAGGTGACCTCATGGTCACAGCAACTTTCCTTCTTCAGAAGAGGCTGAGGAAATTACCTTACTTTGAAAAACAAAACAAAATGAAAATCAAAAACACAAGACCTCTGACTTCTCAATTGGCCAGTGTGCCTCATTAAATATGTCACTCTAACCTGCCTGGCTTTTTTCCCTTTACCTGCTTCTTAATTTTTTCTACTCCCTAGCATTCCACCCATGGTTCTTCTCTCTCTTCACTCAATACCCTGTCCCTAGTCATCACATCCATGCTCATGCTTTTCTCTCTTGTAGAGAGAGGCTGAAAACTTCCAAATCCCTAAGTCCTAAGGTTCAGAGCCATACTGCAGGTCAACTACTTGGTGGGCAAGTCAGACTCATCCGCCCCCTAGAATACTCCTCCTGTATTCTCTAACCTGATGAATGGTACCACCATCCTGCAAGCTGGGAACCTGCGATTTATCCTTGGCTTCTTGTTCATGCCCTTTCATCTTGTCTGTTGATGCTCCTGAGGTGGATGTCTGTGGATTCGGCTGGCATCATTCCTTTCTCCTCCCTTTGTCAACAACACTCACCTTTTCCTGTGGAAAACTATCCATCCCCTGCACGCAGCTTTGCTGGGACTGCCAGACTCTCTCTCCCTGGACCTGGGATCTTGAGAGAAATGACATAAGGTCTGAAAAATGGCTGAAGTGGACTTACTCCAATAGTGCTTTAAAGAGATCACCCTCCATTTGTTTCTGCTTCTCGACCTGCTATCTCTGCCCTGACTCCTCTTGTTCTTGGGGCTAGCTGTTAGATTATCCTTTTGTAATGTGAACTCCCCCTATCCCTCCAATAAATCCCTTTTTTGCTTAAGTGAGACAGGATATTGTTTATATCCAAAGACCCTAATCCATATATTACCTCCTTAAAATCTCTTCTTCTTCACTAAGCCTTAATTCAGACTCTTTTCATTTCTCCTCTGGGCTATTACAATGCCTTTTCTTAACTGGTCTCCTGGTTGCCAGATTCTCCTCCCATGGTCACTCAAAAATAGGTTTTGTGTATCGAAAACTGCTAAGTCTTAAGGATCTAATAACATGCCAACCAGACAAAGTTCTAGTCTTCACAAAGCCTACAGTCTACAGTGGGAGGCAGGTAATGATTCATCACAAAAACGTAATTATAGACAGTGCTGATGTGCTATAAGCCGAGGAAGGCTTCCTCTGAGAGACTAACATTCATGTGGAGACAGGGATGCAAGGGAATGCAGGGAAAGAGAGGAAATGGAGCTCTCTAGGCAGAGGGGACAGCATGTGCAAATGCCCTATGAGGGGTGGTTTAAAAAACTCACAAAAGGCCAGTGTGACTAGACTGGGGCAAAAAGAAGGAACAGGGCCCCAAATGAGACCAGAAAGGAAGCAGATGTCGGCTCACGCAGTGCCTTGTAGGAAATATTAAGGATTGGGGTCCTTATCCTAAATTAAAAGGAGAAAGTCATTAGGGGGGTTTAAGTAAGTGACTGGCATGACCAAATTTATTTTGTTGAAAGGCATTCTGCCTACCGTGTAGAGTAGGGGCTGGATGTGGGGAGACCAGTTCAGAGTGGCAGCAGTAGTTTAAAGAAGAGAGGGTGAGAGCTAAGATTCAGGTGGAAGATGAAGGGATGGAGGAAGTGAATGGGTAGAAAGATACTTAACAAGTAAAATCCCTAAGTCTTGGTGAAAAATTGGACATGGGCTGGTGGTGAGGAAGAGGAATTAATCTAGAAAGAAGCCTAAGGGGGCGCCTGGGTGGCTCAGTCGTTGGGCGTCTGCCTTTGGCTCAGGTCGTGATCCCGGGGTCCTGGGATCGGGCCCCGCATCGGGCTCTCTGCTTGGCGGGAAGCCTGCTTCTCCCTCTCCCACTCCCCCTGCTTGTGTTCCTTCTCTCGCTGTGTCTCTCTGTCAAATAAATAAAATCTTTAAAAACAAAAAGAAAGAAAGAAGCCTAAGTTTTCGCCTTATAAGCTAGATGGAAGATAGTGCCATTTTCTGAGATACAAGAGGTTGAGGACCAAGGGTTTTTAGGAATAGTGGATCATGAATTCCATTTTGGTCATGTTGAGTTTGAGCTGCTTTTGCACATTCAGGGGAGATGCCAAGAAACAAGCAATAGGGCTTGAGGCTGGTGATATAATATGGAGCTATGAATATATAGTTTTCAAAGCTCTGGGTGTGAGTGAGATGAGGGAGGAAGTTCAGAGCTGCTGAGGACTAGGCCTCCATGGACTCTAGCATTTAGAGGCAGATGATGGGGGTGAACATGCAGGGGACACTGAGGCAAACAAGGCAGGCAGAAAACCAGGAGAGTGTGAGGTCCCTCTCATCTTCCTGAGCCATACCTGATCACCGCCTTCCCATGCTTCAACTCCTTCAATGACCAGTGCCATTACCCCATCTGCCCCTGATGCAGTTCAATCTCTGTAACATGGCATGTGAGGCCTTCATAAGAGCGCCCCAGTCAACTTTTATCATTTATCATTTTATCATTTATTTCTCTCTTCACTCCCTAACCTCACTCACCAGTACTCAAGAGTCAAGGACTTAGGCACTGACCTTCAGACTTGCACAGATGTCCTTCCCTGTCTTCTCTTTTTGGAGAGTCCAATGTCACCACTTGTGTGAAGTCTTCGTCAGCTACCCTAGGAAGAGTCAGTCACCTCTATAGAATTTCATTATATTTTTAAACAACACTAATGATATTGTACTATATTTGTGTTTGCCTAAAACTGTAAGCTTCTTTGGGCTGAGATCCTTATTTGTTATCTCTGAAAACCTAGCACAGAGATTTGCTAAATAAATTCATCTGTTCTATATTTTTGTCTTACTTCAGTGGTTCTCAGTTGTGGTCATCCTGCCTCCCTCCAGGGACATTTTTAGTTGTCACTACTAGCATGTTGTGGGTAGAGGCTAGAGCTACTGCTAAACATCTAATAATGCATTCCTATAATGCATTAGTTTACCACCTTAAATAAACTTCTATTTACACTGCAAATTTCCAGTAAGATATTTTTCCTCACTGAAATAAGCATCCAAAGCACTAATATCAGTGATTCTAAGATCTGCAAGTACACTGGTCATTCTTTAGAGCAGTGTTTCTCAAACTATACTGTGCATCGGAATCACTTGCAGGGTGTGTGGCTGGGCCCCACCCCTAGATTTCAGATTCAGTAGATTTGGGGTAGGGCCTGAGAATCTGCATTTCTAACAAGGTCCCAGGTAATGCTAATGCTGCTGGTGTAGGGTCCACACTTTGAAAACCGTGGTTTTAAAGAACCTAAGGATTTATCACATTTCTCCCCATTAGAGGCTCTGCTCAGGAACCTGAGATGCAGCTTCCCTGGGCAGGAGGGACCTCTTTGTTCCTGAATCTCCCAGCCAGATACCTGGAGCTGCATCAGTGGTGACCCCCTGGCTGGTAGCACTTGACACTCAAAACACACTACATTCCAGAGAACTGAGGAAGGATGCCAATTGTTCCCTACCCCTCCTCCGCCTCCCCGCTCCCCACCATGTGTGAACCCGTTATGGTCCTGAGGTCTAGGCCCTTGAAAATAAGATGACATGCTGCCTCCAAGATCCATATCCTAGCTCCTCAGAGCGCCTGTATCAGATCTGTGGGGTTTAGATTCATGGGCCCATCCTCAGTAATCCTAGGAGTCAGCCAGTGAATGTGCATTTTAATAAGCTCATTCCTCAGTGGTTCTCAAAGTGCGGTCCATGGACCAGCAATATCATCACTACCTACGAACTTGTTAGAAATGCAAATTCTGCGACAGGACCCTAGATCTACGGAATCTGAAACTCGGGTTGGGCCCAGTCACTTGTGTTTTAACAAGCCCTCTACCTGATTCTGTTGCATGCTCAAGTTTGAGAACACCTGGTTCATATTATTCTGCCCCTAAAGTTTAAATCTCCGGATTTGGACTGCTTTTCACTTCAGGTTCTAGATCCCTTTCCTACCTGCATGTGCCAGAAACGACAACAGGAAGCACAACCAAGGCCTCCCTGTAGGACATTTGTATCCAACAAGGCAGCTTGAGGGTGAACCCTTGTTGAATTTGGTCGTTTCTATGACGGCCGGCCCCGCTTTTCCTGGCCCTCATATAAATGAGGGCCCCGAGGGGGTCGACCCGACCCCCTCTGAAGCCCAGACCCCTTGGCTGGATAACCGCGGGGAGGGCTGATGCGGCCCGGCTCTTCGGAGGGTACTGGGTCGGCGTCCCGCCCCGCGCTCCTGCGTAAACACCGTTCCCTCGGCAACGTCTGGAGCCCACGTCAAAGAATCCGCGGGGTCCGGGGCGACGGCCACCCCTCCCGCCGAGCCCGACGCCCGGCAGAGGCTTCTCACCCCAGCCCGAGCCACCCCCGCTCGGGCTTGCGGCCGCCTCCCCCGGTGCGGGATGAACACAGCCGCAGCCGCCGCGGGGCCCAATGGAGGAGCCGCCGCCGCCGCCGGCCCGCCCGCCAGCGAGAATGGCCTCGTTGGGCAGCCCACACCCCGGAGCCCCCTCCGCGGCCGCCGCACCTGGCGGGACTTCCTCCGCCGCGACGGCGGCGGCCGTGCTGTCCTTCGGCACCGTGGCGACCGCGGCGGCCGCGGCGCTGGGGAACCAGAGCGACGGGAGCGGGGGCGACAGCACTGGCGCCTCGGCTGGCGGCGGCCCGGGCGGGCCCCGGGCGGCGGGGGCGGCGGGGGCGGCGGGGAGGCCGCCGCAGGGACCCGAGGCGGCGCCGCTGCTGTCGCACGGGGCGGCGGTGGCGGCCCAGGCGCTCGTGCTCCTGCTCATCTTCCTGCTGTCTAGCTTGGGCAACTGCGCGGTGATGCGGGTGATCGTGAAGCACCGGCAGCTCCGCACCGTCACCAACGCCTTCATCCTGTCCCTGTCCCTGTCGGATCTGCTCACGGCGCTGCTCTGCCTGCCCGCCGCCTTCCTGGACCTCTTCACGCCGCCGGGGGGCTCGGCCCCCGCCGCCGCCGCCGCCGCCGCCGCCGCCTCCCCGGCCGCGGGGCCCTGGCGCGGCTTCTGCGCCGCCAGCCGCTTCTTCAGCTCGTGCTTCGGCATCGTGTCCACGCTCAGCGTGGCCCTCATCTCGCTGGACCGCTACTGCGCCATCGTGCGGCCGCCGCGGGAGAAGATCGGCCGCCGCCGGGCCCTGCAGCTGCTGGCCGGCGCCTGGCTGGCGGCCCTGGGCTTCTCCTTGCCCTGGGAGCTGCTCCGCGCGCCCCGCGCGCCCCCGGCGGCACAGAGCTTCCACGGCTGCCTGTACCGGACGTCCCCGGACCCCGCGCAGCTGGGCGCGGCCTACAGCGTGGGGCTGGTGGTGGCCTGCTACCTGCTGCCCTTCCTGCTCATGTGCTTCTGCCACTACCACATCTGCAGGACGGTGCGCCTGTGCGACGTGCGCGTGCGGCCCCTGACCACGTACGCGCGCGTGCTGCGCTTCTTCAGCGAGGTGCGCACGGCCACCACCGTGCTGATCATGATCGTCTTCGTCATCGGCTGCTGGGGGCCCTACTGCTTCCTGGTGCTGCTGGCCGCGGCCCGGCAGGCCCAGGCCACGCAAGCCCCCTCGCTCCTCAACGTGGTGGCTGTCTGGTTGACCTGGGCCAATGGGGCCATCAACCCTGTCATCTATGCCATGCGCAACCCCAACATTTCGATGCTCCTGGGACGCAACCGGGAAGAGGGCTACCGGACTAGGAACGTGGACGCCTTCCTGCCCAGCCAGGGCCCCCGGCTGCAGGCCAGAAGCCGCAGTCGCCTTCGAAACCGCTATGCCAACCGGCTGGGAGCCTGCAGCAGGATGTCTTCTTCCAGCCGGGCCAGCGGGATGGGAGGGGATGTGGCCATGTGGGCCCGAAAAAATCCAGTTGTGCTCTTCTGCAGGGAGGGACCCCCAGGGCCTGTGACAGCAGCGGTCAAACAACCTAAATCCCAAGCGGGGGATACCAGCCTCTAAGAAGGGCCAGGATGCATGGCTTGTGAAGGCAGATTTTCACCTGCTCCGTTTAATGATGCAGGATTCCGGGGAGAATCGTGTATTTCATAAAGCCAGACGTTTAAAAAAAGAGACGGAGGGGGAGGCTTACCACTTGCCCCAAAACGACGTACAAGACAATGTGCCCTTCTTCAAAAGTGACACATGTAAAATGCAAAAATTAAAACAGTATCGAACCACACAACCAAGCGTTGTGAACTGTAAGTGCCAAAAATGACAAAAATAGAATTCGCAATTACTGATAAGCTCATATTACAGGAATCACACTGTGAAACGAACAAACAAAATCATTGAATGTAACCAGGATTTGTTCAAATACATAGCGTTTCAGGAAAGAATGGAGACCTTCAGAATTACTTGAAGGCCCCTCCAAATCACCAGCATCCGACAAAACTGGAGATTGTTAGAACTCGCACCTTTGACACATGCTTTGGGTGCTCAGGTTAGAAACGAAAAATTCTTATCTTTACACACTTTGGTGCACTTCCTCCCACCCCATGTCCCTGTAACATTTGTGGGAAATTTTATATTCATATCCCATTTTAAACCATTTTAGGATTTTGAAATTGTGTCTTACTACCAGAAAATCAACCATCTGAAGGGCAAGGAGAAGTATGAACATAAAGAAGTGTGGCTGTTTAAAAACATATTCCAAGATTATACTTTAAAAATTAATGCCCCTCATTCTACCGCCAAAATTATCTGCCTTGGGAAGCTTTAAAGCTTTCCCCTTACCCTCACCTGCTACTTTTGTTTCTAATCACTGGGGGGAATGCTGTTCTCAGAGTATTTTCATATTATATATATAAAAAACTTTCATAGTAGAAAATCTTGCCTTTTGAGGTAAATTTGAATTTTAAATGCAGCCAAAAATGTAATTTGAAGTCAAGTTGATTGAATCAGGTGAGTAATGCCACTTTTTTTTATGTATACAAAAATGAGAGCCCTATGAAGTAACAAGATTGGCTTTCCTATGTGGCTCACAACCCAAGATGATTACAAAGAAGAATTCTAAAAATATTTTGAGAAGTGGCTGTATTCTTGGAATAAGGGTAGAGCTTTCGAGAGCATTATACTTTCCTACATTTGGAAGTTTATGAAAAAAAATGAATCCTTGCTTTTATAAACATGATTTGTCTAAAAAATGTGGTTGTTATTAGACAGGGAGAATAGACATGGTATTATTACATGTAATAGGGTGTTAATAATTCGGGCATAAAGTCAGAAAGAAACTTCAATCAAGCCGGAGATATTTTCAGAAATGTGCAAAACAAAGATACTTTTTAAAATTCAAAAGCACCATTCACGATTTGTGTGTGTGAAATTTCTCTCATTAAATGCCACTATTCACAGAATCATTTACTCAGAATTTTAAAAGATATTTTTATGTTTTCTCCCTCTTTCTTTCCTTTCCTCCACCTGCCCCTCTTGTCTTCAACATTTCACAGCCTTACTGGAATAAGTACTTTAAACTAGATATCGCATCATGGAACACTACATCAAAAACTAATGATGTAATGTATGGTGATTAACATAACATAATAAAAAAATAAACTGGATATGGCATGACATCAGCTATCATATAAAGATTTCAACGTGAAATAGCCACCATTTTTTCCTTGTATTTAAAGATGTTAATGAGTATTTGAACTTTTGTGTGATAGGTGGGTGTATGTCACTATTTTGTAATCAAAGATGGAAATACATGATTCGTGTCAGAGCTAAAGATACTTAATTTTTTCCCGTGCTCAAGGCATCATCACAATCATAAGTTTATAAGTTATCTGTATATATCTTGCTACACTCAATGTAGTACAAAGTGGATGAGATAATCTCTCCTCTTTAGCACTCATATATATATGTGTGTGTATATATATATATACACACACACAGACTTAATGCAGCTGAACTAACATTTAACAAATACCTACAGTATTTGTCTGTTAAAGGCAAAACAATTGTGTGGTTTTTGGCATTCTGAGAAAATGGAAGTCATGTCTGGCATTTCGGAGGAAATGATAAAGTCTTCCAGTTAGGAAAATTATCAGAGAATAGGAATTCAGCAACTGTGAGTAAAGGCAGAAAGAGAGTTAGGGATCTTAGGGGAAGGAGGTGAATGTGGTATTGCCTGAAAAGAGAAATCGAAGGAAGATATTTAAAAATAAACATGGCATGGAATAAACTTCCCTGGTGAGTGAAGGAAAAATCGGAGAGGTTGGAAGTGACAAGGTGGGGGCACGAAGGACTTCAAGGCAGGAAAGGAAGCCCATCCTAACTCTTGGTGTGTAGTAGTAGAAAGTTTTACAAAAGGGATAGCTTGGAGAAGAGATCATTCTGCCAGGAGCTGTAAGCAAAAATGGGAGGGGAAAGAGAGAACAGTGCTAATAAGTTGCTTAAAAAATTACATTATTGTTTGTTTGTTTGTTTGTTTGAGGCTATACAACTAGTCAGTGATAGAACTAGGATTTGAACCACAGTCCGTCCGGCTTTGGAGCCCTATTTTCTCTTCTCTACCCTCTGTTGCCCCCCAAAAGTTCAGTGGATAGGGAAACTAAGGATGAGAACTTGGGGTACTATCATTATCTTCATCAGCAGCAACATCATCACCTCTGTTACCATCACCATCATCACCAACATCACCATCATCATCATCACCACCATCATCTACAGTTTTTATTTCCTACTTTACACTGGGCAACTTCCTGGGTGCTCAGGCTACCGAAAGGTAGAAACCACAGCATCTGCTTTAAGAGGGCTTACAGTCTAACTGAGGATCTTGTGCTTTATAAAAATTGGCCCTAATCAGGACTCTACCTGCGGGGAAGAAAAGGTAATAGCATTTTCGAAGTGGTTATCAAAAGAGATGGATTTAGAAGCGAAAGATATGTAAGGGCCAGCAACCAATCTGGTCCAGCTGTAAATACTTTGAGACAGAAAATAATGCCTTGAATAAAAGATGGAGAACAAATGACTCTCAAATTTAAGACTTAGACTTTTTCTCAAGCTGACTGAGTGTACATACAGTGATTTTGTTTAAAAGAAGAAAGAGAAGCTATGAAATATTGGGATGTATTAAATATTGCATAACACATAAAGGCCAGGATGTCATCCTTCATGTCTCATTCTGCTACCAGTTTGGGTGTTTCATTGGAATGACAATAACAGCAACAAGTCACACTCAGCATAGTACATACATGACCCCATCTGATCCTCAAAGCAACTCTCTAGGAAGGTACTATATTATCACTACCCCCCATTTTACAGATGAGATAATTGAGGCACAGAGGTGCTATGTGATTTGCCTAAGGTTACACAGGAGGTGTGTGCTAGACATAAGAGTTGTACCTAGCAAATTGGTGCCAGACGTCCTACCTTAACCACTGCACGTGCTTCCTCACTAAAAGAAAATGGGAAACCTGGAAAAGGTCCAGAGAAGATAAAGACAATTATCAAAGGGATGGGGAAACAGATATCATAAAATGTGAAAGAAAGGATTTGTTTGATATAGAGAACATAAGATATGTGATTTTAAAGTATATGAAGATATTCTGAGCAGTTATTTTCTGGAATAATCCCAGACCCGGATGACCCCGATCATCTGTCTTCTCCATTCCTGCTCCAGAGTAGCTGAGCACAACTAGAGAAGAGTCATAGATCAATTAGTACTCTCTGCACCTAGAGTCCATGGCCTCTCCAGCCCCTCTCCCCCACCCAACAATTTGAACCTTTTTGCTTGTCAGCTCACTTGCTGCTCACTCTAGTGACCCTTCAGACTCTCTGCTCGAACTTATAACTGACACTCCCCTCTTGAAAGAGGACTTTGCTCCTTCTTCACCAAGAAAAGTAGATGCCATCAGATGCATAGACCTTCATATTTTAGCCATCAAAGCTTACAAACTAAACTGGATTTATACCAGTCCTCAGCTCTGTCTTTCCAATTGTAAAGAAACCAGTGCCCTCTCCAGCCTTAGGAATCTCATGCTATCAATGATCTTTCCCTGGTATCCTTAGTCTTTCTCATTAAACGAAATCCCTCCCATGAGCCCATAAGCTCTCACTTACAAGGGAAAAAAAAAACAAACCCGAAAGCCTCTCCTATTCCTTCTTCCCTTTTCTCTCCCTCAGCTCCCTGCCTTCAGCCGAACTTGTCCAAAAAAAACCTGCCTATACTTTTACAGCTGATCTAAACCCTAGTCTATAAATTTAATGGTGCAAGAAAGTTGTCGTTTTAATGCAATTCAATTTTTGCCCAATCCTCCATTCGGCCACATAGCAGACACTTAAGATGGCAGTATCTAGGTTCTGGGGGCTTATTTAGCACCAAGCATTGGGAAACACCAACCTTCAGTGGTCATCCATCCCTTACTGGCCTCCACTGATCAGTGTCGTCACATCCAAAGTTTGCCGCATGATTATCCAGGAGGACCCAGCTCTAGCTGTGGACCACTCCAGAGCTCCTCTTTGAACACAAAAGATTATTACTCCATCTCAGCATCATGGAGGGTTGTGCCACACCCATAATGCTGTCTCCGGCTGCTTTTTAAAACTTATTTTTAAATATTTTTGATTATTTGATATTTTTGATATCATTAGGTCAATAAGTCAAAATGATATATCAAGTATACAGGGGGAGTTCCATTTGTGGAATGGCAGTGAGGATCTCTGTGGACCCACTACCCAGTGAAACAAGTATAACTGATCAAAAGTACTTAAAAAGCAGCCATTTGAAGTCTCTGGAAATTCATAACAGCAGACAGCAAATGAAGAAACATTTATTCGAGAAAATCTACTGTAATTCAATAAGAAGAGCAAGAGTCAGTGGCATTTGAATTATAATCCACTCCCCCTCTCCCTGCTCCCAGCTCAGTGTGACAGAAACTCCGCTCCCTCTTTCCCAGCTTTCAGTTGAGGACTGTGTTATCTCCCTGGGAGGAACCGGCCATGAGAATATCTCATCTTGTCAGCTACATGTTGCAGAGGCTAAATTCCAGGTGAGGGTAGCCCACCTAGCCCCCATCCATAGGGCAGATGCTTGACCTTAGGGATGGCATGCTGGGAATACCAGCGTCATGATTTTCCTCCACCCAGCTCATTTGTAGGATGGAGACTCCATCTTGGGAGAGACAAGCTGAGAAGACCAGAGGCTACTGCCCACCTGCAGTGCCCTGCTCCTGAAGTGCAGTGTCACTCCAAAAGAAGCGGGCCACTGTCCCTGCCCCCAGCCTCAGGGCTCTGGCTCAGGTATTTTGGCTAGGGGTACAGACAGGACTTTAAACAGAGAATGCTAAAGCTCTCCCCAGAGCAACTAACTTTAATAGAGAGAGAGTGTGGGGAAGTTTAAGTCTAAGGGCATTCTCAAAACAATGGAGTTTTGGTGGTAAAAAATTCAGAGAAGCCTCTAATAGCTTCATCAGAGATACAAGCTAAAACGTTCGCCAGATGGTTGACCAGAGAGAAGCTGGGAAAGAAACAGCGAAGAAAAGCCTTGTATTACAGTTGAGTTTTTAAAAGTTCTTTGTCTGTTTTGGATAACAATCCTTTATCTCTTGCAAATATCTTTCTCAGTCTATGGCTTGTCTTCTCATTATCTTGGCCTTTCCAACATAAACAAAACAAAACATGAATCTGACAGTGAAGGCCATGATGAGAAGACAGAGTCGTTCTTATCAATGAGTCTTACTCCTCCCTAAGGGGTACTTTGGAAATTTGTGGGAGCATTTTTGGTGTCACAATGTCACTGGCACATAGTGAGTGGTGTCTAGGAATGCTAGATGTCCTGCAAAGCATAACAGAATACTGTCCCATGAAGAATGGTCCTTCATTCCAGACGGTTTTCAAACGTCCTGCCAGATGCTGAAACAGCTGATAATCTATGGATCATTATGTAATTCCACACCTCGAATCCATTCTGCATAGAAACACTGTATTTTGAACAAGGTTTTAGTATGCGCCGAAAAGTTTCTTGAGGCGCAACTGTCTTGTAAATAGAAAATTTATTATATTTGTTCTATTTAGGTTTTTATGAAGCAATAGGCACCACTTTAGAAAGCCACAGCACAACTTGCTATACTTCTTGAGGTGACAGATTGTGAAGAACACACTAGTGTTGGTCTGCATTTGTAGCTCCTGCAGTCACTGTGACCCAACTCCTTCACTTTGTGTGTTCTGCAGGAAAAAAGAACCACTGGTGACTATAACAGATGGATGGTAGACATTTGGCCAAGAGAAAAATCTGCCTAATGTGTTCTCAAAGGTCCCAGTACATGGGCCAGCTTAAAGGAAACAACCATCCTCTTGTTCTCTCTTGAGGAACCTAACAATCAGTGTCACTGAAAACATTTTTAACCCTGCTTTACCTGTGGCTTCAGGGACTAGAGACAAACTAACGGAGAGATGGCAGCGTTCACTCCTCCCTGGTGGGTGTTAAGCTTCTGCCCATTTCTGGATGTCAGGGGCCCAAGTCAAGTACCTAATTTCGTTTTTTAAGTTTTTTTTTTTTTTTTTTTTAAAGCTCTTATGTATTTATTTGTCAGAGGGGGTGGGGAGAGAGAACAAGCAGGGGGAGCGGCAGGCGGAGGGAGAAGCAGGCTCCATACTGAGCAAGGAGTCCGATGCGGGACTCGATCCCAGGACCCTGGGATCATGACCTGAGCTGAAGGCAGACTCTTAACTGACGGAGCCCCCCAGGAATCCCACAAATACCTAATTTCTTGACAGCACAACGACACACGCTCCCATTGTGAAGCAGGGAGGGGATGTTAAACAGCATTTCACCTGTAGTTACAAAGCCTGAAATACTCTTAACTCCCCACAAGGAGGCTCCATCATCAAGTACAACGGTTTCAAAGTGGGCGGGGGCGCCGGGGGAGTGGGGAGTACAACCATTTCAAAAGCAGCCCATCTGATGCATTAAACTCCCACAATCTTTAAATGAATTTACATTCTTATTGATTACAGTTCGATTCTCATTCTCATATAAAAAAAGTCATATCATCTTAGTGCTATGAAAAGCTAGGGAAAATGTATCACGTGTTAAGTCCACAATTTAAATTAAGCTGAGTATACAGAGCAAGACAGAGGAGAAGAAGGTGGAGATTGGTAATTTTAATAAAAAGGAATTTAAGGGGTGCTGGGTGGCTCAGTTGGTTAAGCATCTGCCTTTGGCTCAGGTCATGATCCCAGGATTGAGCCCCAGGTCAGGCTCCCTGTGCAGGGGGGACTCTGCTTCTTCTGCCCCTCCCCCTGGCTCATTCTCTCTCTCAACTAAATAAATAAATAAATAAATAAATAAATCTTAAAAAAAAAAAAAAGAAATTTTCTTATGCTTCAGTTATTACTTTGATCCAACAGTTGTCACATAGGTTCAACTTTGGCTTTCCAAGTCAAATAAGAAAAACTTTGGCTCAATTTATTTCCTTTGGATGGCAAACCATTCATTATTACCAGTTTAGTAGCTCTTTTCTTAATAACACATATGGCCATGTCGTTGTTTTAATATCCCCCTTTAAAATTAGTGAATACTTCTTATTGGATGATGTAATATCTTAAAATATTGGTAGCAACATTTCTAAATGGCCATAAGTTTATTTGACTAAATACACAATAATTTATACAATTAAGATTTTTCTCAATGTACGACATTAAAACTAGATGTAACATTGTACGATGTTAAACTTTTTCTTTTGCCTCAATTCTCTGGAAAAAAAACTTAAAATATGATTAGTGCTATACATGTTCAATTAGCTTTGTGTTTAAATCATTTATAACATATGATGTGTGAATAAAATGTCAGGCAACTGAGAAATAAGGCAAATTTCCTTACATGGAAAATGGAAGTAGGTTTGTAATTGAGGAGTCTTAGTCTTCTAAGATCTTACTCTTCTTTAGAGAGTGGGATTTTAGACGTAGCTAGCATTTGAGTGCCTTGTTAGATCATTGGCATATGTTATTTCACTAATTTCTAGCTGAACCACAACTGGTATTGGAAATACTGGTATTGGAAGCCAGAGCCCGGGTGGGTGGAGAGAGAGGTGAATAGGGGTGAAGGTTTGGGAGGAAGGAGGAAATGAGAGGAAATGCAGTGAGGGTAGTCTTAACCGGGAGCTCACAAAAAGAGTGATTTATATGCATTAGGCTGTCTTCCTTGTCCTTATCAGCCCCTCTGCTGCCAGATGGGTCTCTGTTTTTCCAGTCAGTTGAATTTAAGCATCAATATTATGTTTGAAATGTAAGAGTGAAATTGGCTTCCCGTGATAACTTTTTAATGATTACTGGGTGCCCACGCAACCAGCTTCCGAATGTCTGGTCACTCTTCCAAAAGGTCACAAGCACACCTAGCTGGCCCTACTGACAGAGCAGACCTAGTGGCCTTTCTCAGGTCAGCCTGAGCCAAGTGGTCAAGAACTCATTGAGACTCACAGTTGCCCCCTGTGCACGTGGAAGAATCTGGTTTCCTTGGGGATGCTCAGGCTGCCCTAATAACTTCACTCCCTTCCCTCTGCCAGTACGCCACCCAGGATGCGTGTGGTGGTGAAAACCTGCAACCTCTGTCCCCTGCATGGCTGGGAGCGCCTCTCCTGTCGTCCCCAGAGAAAGGACAGGTGATTGTGTCAAAGCTCACCGTGATTGCTATTAACTTGTATACAGACCCACCTCTTTAGAGGAAAGGGAAGATTCTCCCACTTTTGTTTTGGAAATGGGAGGTTAGTCTTAGAGTCTTATATTAAGCCTAACACAGATGACTGTCCCACAAAGACTGTCTCTGGGAAATGGGAGTGGTCGGGTTCTTTTAGAAATTGGGGCAAGGGCTGAATGGGAGTGTTTTTCAGTTGTGGATTTCTTGTCTTAATTATGTGAGGCCTCCACAGGACAGGACAACAGCCCTTTTAAACACTAAATAAAATTATGTAAATTCAGGGTTCTCTGAATTTGGCAAAAATGCAAAAACAGTGGAGGAGGAGTCTCTGTGATCATGTGTAAACTTTCTGTTCTCTACTGAACATTCCCTCCTGACTGTCTCCTAGATTTCTTCCTGTGACCTACTTTGAAGGGAGAAGAAGGGAGGGGAAGAAATCCCTTCCTAGTGAAAGCAAAGACAGAGAAGGGGACTGATGAGGAGGGGGAGGGGATAAAGAACATTTTTAAAAGATAAAAAGAGGGGAGGAGAGAAGTCGCCTGCAATTATGGGGTGTCCGATGAGCAATAAAAACTTCATGCATTTATTAGTTTGACATCTATTTATTGAGCATCTGCCATGTGCCAGGCTCTCAGACCCTAATGGAAAGCAGGGAAACTGTTGTTTTGTCTTGCGGAGCATGTAGATTGAGGGAAGCCACAACATTTATTAAATAAAGTAAATGAGGTTGCTGATAAATTCTTAGTTCATTCTATTTTTACACTATTCCTCTCATGCTCTGTAAGTTTATCCATAAACCTAAGTAAATAGAACTGAGCTACTTTGGACTATTAAACTATAACATTGTTTCAAAAAACATTCTCCAATTTAACTTTATTTTTCCTCTTGCTTTCCTAATTGGGGTAATGTTTTTGTATTACTGCATGTCTACATATTTTAAAGGAGCTGATAAAAATATATTTGTTCATTTCCATATAGTCTACTTTATCAGCCTATTTGCAAAATTTTCCTGAGAAATGTGTAAAGGAAAAAAGTCAGAGTCAAGCGCGGCTTTTTAAAAAACCATTAAGTGGGATAAATGCAGGACAAATATAATTTGAAATTAAACACAGGATGCTGGATTTGACATGAAGTGGATAACCTGACAGCCTATCAAAAAAAAAAAAAAATCAAATACTCTTGTGTACCCAAGCATTTAAATTGATAACAGAGGTGAACTTGAGGTCAATGCTGTCAAATAAGTTCTAAATAGATTCCAGACTAGCTCTTTGTCTTTGCTGCCAAAAAGACTAATCAACTTTATGTATCCACATTTTACCTTTGAATGATCAAACTGCAGGTGTGATAGATAAAATATTTGAAAACCAGGATAGCATGGACAGAGATGATGTCTGTATACCTTACTTTTTTGATGCATCTTGTCTAAATAAATATCCACCTTAATTGTGGGGAACTTGGTAGATAGTTAGCATGCAGTGAAATTCCCTCCCCCCACCCCCAACCAGTCCATTAAAAATTAGGCTATACTCCTTTGGAAGAAAGAGTTAATATGACCAACTTCATCCTGGAATAACATAGCTAACATGGGAAAGAGAGAGAGTACATTCCTCCTGAACAGGTTCTCCACTTTTTTAAAAAATATTTTTTTACTTATTTGAGAGAAAGACAGAAAGGGAGAGAGAGAGAAAGAGAGAGCACATGCATCAGTGAGGGGAGGGGCAAAGGGCGATGGAGACAGAATCTCAGGTAGACTCCCCGCTGAGCATGGAGCCTGATGCGTGGCTTGATCCCACCACCCCAAGATCATGACCTGAGCCAAAATCAAGAGTTGGATGCTCAATCAACTGTGCCCCAGATTCTCCACTTCTCAACATTTCTAAAATAATGTGCTGGCATTCTGGTTGTCGACAAAGTGTCGTTGAAAAGATATAGAGGGCGCAATTGGAAGATAGATGTTTGTTTAGTATACACTGAAATATCAGTAACCTTAGTGTGAGGTGCCCCAGATGGCGGAAGCTAGCTATGCTTTTGGGCTGCATTGCAAACAACCACTGCGGGAGGCAGCACTGTGTTACACAACGGGGAAGGAAAGAACAGGTTCGGTTCTACGTGATCTACTGGACCTTTTGTAGTATTCTCCTGCCTAATTTGACAGTAAAAGAGCAAGTGCACAACTTGACCTTGGTGAGGGCATAGTGAGCAGGAGTTTGGATCATACAGTAATGAGGATCTGGGTCACCTAAGCAGGTAAGCCAATGGGGCTAGCAGAAGTTCTAGCCAAGGATGAGGAGAATTTAGGCTGTTAAAAGGGAAGGGAGATGCTGAATATTCATTGCAGTCCTGAGATTAACTGCCATAGTGAGGATCATACTTCATCCGGCTAACTTTTTCTTTGTACGTTTCCTGAGGAAAAGAAACCAACCAGAATCCTGAAGAAATGGTCCTCAGATGGAATCAATGGAATCCAGGTGAATCCAAGCAATGCAAGGGGTGAACTGTGGTATCTTGTCTGGATACCCCCTTTTGGAGCAAGGCACTCATTTCCCCAGCTTGCAGAAGTATTACCTGTTGATGGCTCATAGCTAATCCCTCCCCAAGAACTGCCCTCAGGGGAAAAGAATTGCTTCACCTAAGGTTGTACCCACTCTCCAGAAGCAGCCCAAACCCAGTAGCTGGTCTATGTGGGAGTACAAAAATCCAGTCCTCTTACCTGAATTTGGGACAATGCTGAAGGACTATCCAAGCTCCCGAGCTTCTGTGGGATCTGCTGAAGACTTCCTTGCAATTTCCCCATAGTTCAACTTCTCTTGCCCAATCCTGCTTCTTTAACTCCTCACAATTTTTATTCCTGAGACCACTTTACAATAAACTTCCTGTATGCAAATTTCTGTCACTATATCTTTTTCCTGGGAAATACAATGTAAGAGAGCTATTTTAAACATATGTAGAAAAGTATATGTTTGTGAAACATTTTATCAAAATGCTGGAAATATGCTGTGTTTGAGTTTATGTTAACTAATTTAGCCAACCTCAATAAAACAAATAGAAAGATTAAGCAACAGAATAATATTTGTTAATTCTAAATCACTGGACAGACATTCTAAACATGCTTATTTTAGGCTATGCTTTATTTTTAAGTAATTAATGTATGTTCAGCCAAATCAAACAAACTGCTTTAGTTCTTTTCATAACATCTGAGGTTAATTATATAAACACCAATGATGATATGCTTTTACTTTTTCACGTTTTTAATTTATCAAAAAAAATGTTTCAACTATGCTTTGTAGTCATGACACACATTTTTAAGCCTAAAGTTTATTATTTTTCAACCTCATGCTTTCAATAGTTTGGTTTAATGTGTCTAATATGACAAATTTCAGAATTTATTAAAAATTGTTTTGTTGAAATTTTATTTTTCTAAATGGGAGATTCTACATTCGATGTCTTGAAAAGTTCATTTCACAGCTATATTGATGTCAGTGAGGCCTGAGAGATAGTAAATTATAAAGCAGAATTGTAAAAGTTGTTCAGAATCTATGTTTTTTTATAACAGCTTAATTGAGATATCATTCACATGCATATGATTCACCCTTTAAAGTATGTAATTCAGCCAGTTTTAGTATATTCACAGACTTGTTTGTTAACCATTATCACATCTGACTTTAGAATGTTTTCATCACCCAAAAAAGAATCTCCATGGTCTCCAGCAGTCAATTCCCTTTCCCCTCTCCTCCCAGCCCCTGGCAACCACTAATCTACTTTCTGTCTCCATGGGTTGGCCTATTGTGGACATTCCGTATAAATGGAATCATACAATATATGGTTTTTGTGACTGGCTTCTTTCATGCATATTAATGAACCTTGTTTTCGGAGTTCACCCATGTTGTAGGATGTGTCAGCATTTCATTCTTTTTACTGTTTTATTCTCTTTATTGCTGAATGATATTCCGTTGTATAGATATACTGTACTTTGTTTATTCATTCATCAGTTAATGAGTAGGTTGGGGTTTCTTTTAGCTACTATGAATAAGGAATGCTGCTATGAACATTATGTATAGGTTTTGTGTGGACATTATGTTTTCATTTCTCGTGGGTATATACCTTGTAGTGAAATGTCAGGTTAAATGGTAAGTCTATGTTTAACACTTTGAGGAGCTGCCAAACTTCTCCAAAGTTGGCTGCCATTTTACATTTCTACCAACAGTGCATTAGGGTTCTCCACATTCTCATCAATGCTTGTTATGGATTATTGGTTTGTTTGTTTTTAATATTAGCCTCTCTAATAGGTTTAAAGTAGTATCTCATGGTGGTTTTGATTTGCATCTCCCTAATGATTGATAACTTGGGAAAAGGAAGATTTAGGCAGGAGGAGCTGATAGCTATCTTTAAGTCTTAGAATAGAGAGACAGAATTTTATTTGTTATTTATAGGTGAACAAAGAGTTGATGTTAAACAGAGGCAGAATTTAGCTGTATGTAAACGAAATGTCTAATGAATAGGTTGAAGAGAGAGAGAGAGGGTCCCGTTCCCTGGGAATGTTTCAGTAGATGCTCTAGAAGGATTCTGTAGGGCTATCCTTGCTATGCTGTGGTTTGTAAACCAGTGTGGCAAATTTACAAAGTATACTGTGATTAATTTTTAAGTCATACCTATATAAGCTTGGCAAGAACATTTTTTCTAAGCAAGGCATTCACATATTCCTAAGTACTCTGTGGGAAACAGAGTCTCATACCAGTTGGAGCCTGTGGGGTGTGGAGTATATTGGGACAACAGCACTTTTCAGAAGCTCCTATATTAGGTGAATGCCTACTCCATCTGGTTAGTCATGCTAGAAGCCACCAGGAAAACATTTTGCTGACTCCTGGATTACGGTCTCTTTCCTAAATGCTCTCAAACCACTGTTTAGTAATGTTCTAAAGAGGGGTGCCTGGGTGGCCCAGTCGTTTAAGCATCTGCCTTCAGCTCAGGTCATGATCCCAGGGTCTTGGGATCGACAGAGTCCCACATTGGGCTCCCTGCTCAGTGAGGAGCCTGCTTCTCCCTCTGCCTGCCGCTCCCCCTGCTTCCCCTGCTGTGCTCTCTCTCTCTCTCTGGCAAGTAAATAAATAAAGTCTTAAAAAAAATAATGATAATGTCCTAAAGAATCTTTCTAGGACATGAGGTCGTGTTCTGAGATTCATCTTTTTGACAAACAGAATCTTCACTGTTTCAACATATCTACTATAAAGGGAATAATTTAATTCTCTCTCTATATGAACGATATGTATGTATACTTATATATATGTGTGTGTGTGTGTATATATGTATATATGTGTAATATGTCAGTAATTGCCCATTGAATGAATAAATGAATGATGGTGATTTAATGGTAAAGGGAGTGATGCTAGAGAATGTAAAGCTGCCTCCAAAATATGAAACAGGGGAAGAACAGAGAAATGCATGGACAGTCCTAAATAATTTTACTGTAACTTACATGACTCCTGATTTTCCAAAATGGAAATACAAAAAAGGGAGAATATTGAGCTCAACTCTTACTGAGGCTAAGACAAGTGATAGAAATGCCAAATACAATTTTTAAAATAATTCCTAATATGGGCTTGTTTACTAGCAGAGTTCAAAAAATTTTATTATTAGAGATGATCCAATGTCTTGCTGTGGGAGTTGATTGAGGTTTTGTTTTGTAAGTTTTCAAGTATACTGTCTACATGCAGTTTATAAAAAGAAAATCTTGCCTATAAATTAATATTTCAATAAAATTAAATAGAATAATCTCTTGCTTTTTCTATTTTCTCCTCTCTCTCTCTCTTTTAAAAGATTTCTTATTTTTAAGTAATCTCTCGACCCAGTGTGGGGCTTGAACTCACAACCCTGAGATCAAGAGTTGCATGCTCTACCAATTCAGCCAGCAGGCACCCCTATTTTCTCCTCTCTTAATTTAACAGCTTTATGGTATATGTACTAATTTCCTGTTGCTGTTTTTAACAAATCACCACAAATTTAGTGGCTCAACACAACACACATTTATTCTTTACTTAGAGTTTGGAGGTCAGAAGTCTAAAAATGAGTCTTAGAGGGCTAAAATCAAGGTGTCTGGAGGCTGCTTCCTTCTGGAAGCTTCAGAAAAGAATCCACCCCTTGCCCCTTCTAGCTTTTTGAGGCTTCTAGCATTCCTTGGGTTAGGGCCACATCATTCTAATCTCTGCTTCCAACGTCACATTGCCTTCTCTCTGACCTCTTTCCTCCCTTTTGTAAAGACTCTTGTGAGTCTTATCTGGGCCTACACAGATAACCCAGCATCTCCTCATCTCAAAAGCCTTACGTTATCTGCAAAGTCCCTTTGCCATGTAAGGCTAACATAGTCACAGGTTCCAGCGATTAGGACATGGAACGATTTGGGGGGCCATAATGCAGCCTAGCACAGTACATAATATGTATTTTGGAGTTGGGCGGGTACATGCCACCAACCAACCAACCAATCATCTCTCGTTGATATTATTTATCTCATTTACTTTCACTGCCTTTGCACCTGAATATCTATGCAGTTAAGAGAAGATAGGGGCTTTAAAAACAGCTGGTTCATTTTTAGCACTGAATCCTGTGTTGATTCATGATATCAACACAAGTAAGTGTTTTTGACTCAACTGGAAAGGAGGAAAGTTGAGCTCAACCTGGAGCCTGGCATTTGCCTGAGAGGGCATCATGACCCCCTCCAGAGTGATATCTGCATCAGTTCTGAACAGGGTAAAACCATGGCAAGGGACATCCAAGTCATAGCTGTATGGAGTAACTCAGAATCATAGATACAGTATTTAGAGAGATTAACCTTTCTGGTAGTTTTTAAAAATTACTATTAAACTTAATTCTAAGGAAACTGTAGATTCCCATGTGGTTGTAAGAAATAATAGACAGATCCCATGTACCTTTTACCTAGTTTTTTCTACAGCAACATCTTGCAAAACTATAGTACCATATTAAAATCAGGATACTGATGCTGATACAGACAATATACAGGACATTTTCATCACCATCAGATGCCTTCATGTTGTCCTTCCTTTTTCTTTTTTAAGATTTTATTTATTTATTTCAGAGAGAGAGAAAGAGAGGAGGAGGAGAGGCAGAGGGGGAGGGAGAGAACTGCAAGCAGACCCCACACTGAGCGTGGAGCCCAATGCAGAGCTCGATCTCACCACCCTGAGATCATGACCTGAGCAGAAATCAAGAGTTGGACGCTTAGCCAACTGAGCCACCCAGGTGCCCCCATGTTGTCCTTCTATAGCTATATCCATCTCCCTCCCACATTCTTAACCTCTGGCAACTACTAACCTGTTCTCCATTTTTATAATTCTGTCATTTTAAGAATGTTATATAAATAGAATCATACAGTAAGTAACCTTTTGGGATTGCCTTTCTCTACACAGCATAATTTTCTGGTGATTGATCCAGGTTGTTGCATATATTAATAATTGTTTCCTTTTTATTGATGAGTAGTATTCTGTAGTATGGATATATCATAGTTTGGTTAACTATTCATCTGTTGAAAGACGCCTAGGTTGTTTCTATTTGGGGGCTATTACAAATAGAGCTCATAGGAACATTTGTGAGCAGGGTTTTGTGTGAACATAAGTTGCCATTTCTCTGGGATAAATGCCCAGGAGTGCAACTGTTAGGTTGTATAGTAGTTGTATGTTTAGTTTTTTTTTTTTAAAGATTTTATTTATTTGACAGAGAGAGACACAGCGAGAGAGGGAACACAAGCAGGGGGAGTGGGAGAGGGAGAAGCAGGCTCCCCGCAGAGCAGGGGGCCCGATGCGGGACTCCATCCCAGGACTCTGGGATCATGACCTGAGCTGAAGGCAGTCGCTTAACCAACTGAGCCACCCAGGGGCCCTGTTTAGTTTTTTTTTAAGAAACTGCCCAGTTACGTCCCAGAGTAGCTGTATCATTTTATATTCCCAGCAGGAAGGCATGAGTGATCTGGTTTCTTTTTACCCTTGCCAGTAGTTGGTATTGTCACTCTTTTTTTATTTAATGATTCTGATAGGTGTGTATTGATACCTCATTGTGGTTTTAATTTGAATTTCCCCAATGGCTTAATGATGGTGAACATCTTCCCATGTGCTCATTTGTTTATTTCCCGCATGCCTTTGGTGTCACTATGAGGTGGACAGGACAGCCGAGAGAGCCAGGCTCAGCGGTTGTAACCTCTGCTTCTGCCAAAGCCATTCTGTTGTTTTTATTTATTATTATTTTTTTAAGATTTTATTTATTTATTTGACAGAGAGACAGCAATTAGAGAGAGCACAAGCAGGGGGAGTGGGAGAGGGAGAAGCAGACTCCCCTCCGAGCAGGGAGCCTGATGTGGGGCTTGATCCCAGGACCGTGGGGCTTGATCCCAGGACCCTGGGATCATGACCTGAGCGGAAGGCAGACGCTTAATGACTGAGCCACCCAGGCGCCCCGCCATTCTGTTGTTTTTAAACCTATTTACATATTAGGGTTGTAAGCAAGATTTCATTTTATTTTATTTTTCAAGATTTATTTGAAAGACAGAGAGAGAGAGAGTGCACAAGCGGCAGAGAGATAGGGAGAAGCAGACTCCCCACTGAGCTGGGAACCCAATGTGGGACACGACCCAGGACCCTGGGATCATGACCTGAGCCGAAGGCAGACGCTTAACCATCTGAGCCACCCAGGCGCCTCACAATATTTCATTTTAAAAAGGTTTTCTTTGCTTAAAAAGATATGAAGTCAACTTCACCTATTTTGCAGATTATTTTATATGGAAATGACTTGACTACCCAAAATCCTAGACAAAAACTAAATTCAGAATTAGAAATAAATGACTCAACTACATCTATATAAAAATGCATTCAAAAGCCAGCACGTGTTTTTTAACTGTGTTACTTCCTTACAGTGAATGAATGCAAACTGACTCTAATTTTTAAAAATGAAAATTATCTCCTACTAATTTAAAAATGGCTAAAACCTCTCTCACCTGAAGTCTGGACCACAGTTTCCTTTCACGTAGGACCAGCATGTCCATTATCCTTCCACACGTCAGTCAGGAGGGACTCTGGTGTGGAAGAATAAGAAGCAAAAAGAAGTAAAGGCTCTCATCATTTGGTTGTAATACCTTAGATGTAAATATAATATACTTGTAACATCTAGGAGTGATGACGAATACATGCAAAATGCTTACATACGGTCCGATTTTGTGATTCTATAGGTTCATTATTAGAAAATAAACTGTTCCCAGGGAGCATGAGTCCCACTGTGATCTTGAATTCTTCTGGAGGAAAATTCCCCTGGAGACACTAGTATTTTAGCCTTTTCTTCCCATACTCAGACCCTCTTGCTTTTTCATTAAGGAGAGACTTTGTGAGCGAGGTCAAAAAAGTGTTATCTAAAAAAAAAAAAAAAGGTATCTCTACTTCACTTTTCCTAGTAGTTTCCACAGCCCCGTGGTGGCAGTGTCAGTCTGCACCCCCCGAGGGGAGACACGCGAGGGCATTATGGAACCAGGCTGACGCGAACTTGCTGGTAACTCCAGCTGGCCTCAGTGAGGCCATCTGAGGTGACAGCCTGTGGCAGGACATGAGCCAGCGTAAGCTGCATCCTCCCCGGGGGGGATCGAAAGACAGAGGTCACTCCATCCCAGGTCCCAGGGAGCGGCGTGACCTCCCCACCCACTATGTGAGCCAACTGGGGCTCTTGGCGGCCTCTCGACATGTGTGCAAACAGCTCTCCAAAAGAACACGAGCTGGCCACAGTGGAACATTTTTCTCCCGTATTATCATCCATCTCAATTCTTCTGCTGGGAAATCTGTGAAAAGTCAAGGATAGGTCTGGTGAAAAGAAAATCAAAACAAAACAGATTCATGTGTGTCTTCCTTCTGCACATGTACCTCCCCAAATATTGTGGTCCCCACGGCTATATTTGAGGCCTTCAAACATGGTGGTCAGAAGGCTCGCTGGAGAAGTTCCATGCTGTTGGCTTGCGTGTGGTTTTCTTTCTCTCCGTGTGTGGCAGAAGGAGTTAGTTGGGGGAGTTATGTCTTTTGGAATAATATATTTTATGTTCCCATCGGACCTTGGGTTTGAAAACACAAGTAAATGTTTAGGAGGAGTGTTTGCAGCAAGGGAGAACAGAGGCCTGCTGGCTGACTGGACCCTGGGGAAACTCTCGTACTGCATTCACTCATGCTTCATTGGATTCCCCTCCCCGGGCCCAGTCGGTACCCCAGCAAAACTGGAAGGCAGACACAGGGTGCCGGCCAATTCCATCATTCCCATGAAAACGTTAATGTCATTCCCACCAAACTCACTTTAACGCCAGCCAGAGGATCCAGGGCTGGTAAAGCATTCCCCCTTTTTCCTAGAGGAAGTAGGAGGACCTGGTGCCTCAGAAAAATGTGAGACTTGAGCCCATCCCCAGATAACTATGGAATCAAGGCAATTATCATATCTGTCTGGTCCTGGCTATTCCAAAATCAATGTGGCTACGAGTTTCAGCGGAAGAGCAGTGTTGTTCTAAAGCAGCATTCTCTCAATTTGTGTCCTGGCTTCAAAATCATCTGCTGTACCAGCAGCCAGAAAAGTGAGAGAGACACCTTGAAAAGATTGATTAAAAACTTGGATGGGGCATTGACAAATATCCCAATTAGTCTGCAGAGCCACCTATTAGGAGGGTACTATCATGAGCCCCCATTTACATACATGGGAACTGAGGGGTGGTAAAGGTTAAATAATGTTCCCAAAGTCACACGGACAGCAAGCTGGAGTGCTGGGACTTGAACATAGGGTTTGGCTCCATGCTAAACTGCTCAGCAATACCGCCAAGAAGAATTCCAGAAAGGGCTATGGGGGCGTGTGGGAGCGACACTAACAGATGGACTAGGTATGGGGGCTGAGATGGAGAGAATTCTCCTAGGAGTCAAAGCTTGTGCTCAGTCCTGGAGGACGGGAAGGAGCTGGAAAGGGGAAGAAGAGTCAGAGGTGGGAAATGGAAAGATTAACCCAGAATGGGAAATGGGATATGCAAATATGCAGAGGCAAGGGAGAATATTGCAAGGTCAAGGAAAACTAAGTGGGGCAGGGTGCTCATGTCATTGAATTTTGGTTGAACTCATCAAGGGAGTGGGGGTGGTTGCGGGGTTGAAGCAGAAATAGGAATTAAGACCGGAGAGCTTTCTAAGTCAGGCCAAAAAGAATTTAATTTTGATAGCGAGAGTAGTTAAAAGACTATGCCTTAATCCTGTAAGAAATGATGAAGGTATAGACTAAGAGAGTGGCGATGGGGAGGAAGGAAGGAATGGCCCTGAGGAATGTTAAGGGAAGTGGGAGTACTCTGATGACTGATTCAGTGTGGAAGGTGAAGGACAGGGGTGTCAATGGTAAAGTAACATTTATGTATTCCACATATACGTGATGGTGGTATTTATTCAGCTGGAGAAGGCAGGGTGGAAGAAGGGGACAGGCCTGGGAGGAGAATGAGAGCAATTTAGAGTATGGTGACTTTGAAGTAACTATGGGGCATTCAAGTAAATACTCCAACAGGGTGTTGACTGAATGAGTCTGGGGCACAAGGGCAAGGCTTGGGTGAGGGAAATAGCTTTTTGAATTCTCCTGTAGTTTTTGAGGCTATGGGGTTGTGCCAATTTCTATCTCTCCATCCAAATTCACTCTCTATGATCATGTTCAGATGCTAGAGATGGGACTGGGAAAATCACATTTCTCTTTTGCCTGTTGCCTCCTTCTTAATCTCTGCCAATGGAGGGAGGCTCCGAACTGGAGCAAGGAGAGGGTATGAGCACGCTTGACCTCACTTCCTCACTCCAGCAACTGTTCATTTCAGGATCCAGTGTGCAGCTTGTTTAACACCTGCACAAGGATCTTCTTCTTATCCCTACTTAGAGACCCTCCAACGCCCGGCTATACCCTCCATCCCTGCACCTACCCCCCTGCCCCACCGCACCAGGTCTGGGTCCCACCCCACAGGAACTTTCTCTTAGTTTTAATAAATCCAACCTCTCCCTTTGTTCCTTCCGCCCAACCTCTCCCTTTGTTCCTTCCGCCCTAGAGGTGGAGTTGCTTCCTGTGGGTGCCATATCTCTGCCATATCTTAGGATTCTCTTTTCACCCTTACAGTTTCCTAGTTAACAACTTTATGCCTAGTTAACAATTCTTTATATTAATTTCTCATGGTTAAAATAACTGGCGTGGTTCCATCTCCTGACTGGACCCTGACTGGTGTAGGGTGAATATGAATACCCAAGGAAAGTATAAAGAGATATGAAGAAGACAGCTTTGGAAAGAACCTGAAACCACCTACATTTCAAGGGCTTTCAGCCCAAGGAGTGGACCAGGGAGGTGCTAGGGGATCCAGAAGAGTCTGTGTCTGGTAAGGAAAAGACTCAACCAAGAAAGAGAGAGAGAACTCCAGACCAGAGCGATAGTAATGGAGCAAGAATCCCGAGAAAGGAAAGGAATGAAGGTGGGTGAGAAGTAGATAAACTTTTGAGTCAGGACGTGCTGAGAGCCCAGGATGTGGGGAATTGATGGGGTCTGAGGGAGGAGGAGAAGGAGGTTTGCAATAGTCTCTGAAGAGGAGGGAAGAGAGGGTTGGCCAAAGGCAGCCTGTAGGACAGAGCTGAGGGCGGGGGAAGAGGGGCACTCAGGGAACTGGAATTTGAGGGGGCTCTAATCCACATGACTGGGTGTGTTCTTTGTTTTATATTATCAGGGCATAGCAGCACTTTGTAAGGCATTGAAAAGTCAGACAATGGGTTAATCCAAGGAAGAAGTTTGCCTGGAGCTCAAGGGAGATGTGGGTATCAGCAAGAGAGGGTTTAATATGGATGACCCTGGGCCTAGGTTGGTAAGAAATGAAATGAAGCTCATGCGGGGGTGATGTACAGAAACACACAACTCTATGTGAGCTCACGGGGGGTGCTCTGTATTTAACTCTCTGTAACTAAAGCCATAACAGGAAACATTTTCAAATATGCTCTGGCCAGAGAGAAGAAAATCCCCCACAGCGACTGGACACTAGTTTTAATCTTAATAAAACACGGTGGTTCATCTTTAGGCCCAACCTAATTTACAAATTACCATTGTCAAATGGCTTATAAATCTGTATAGTTTAATTTTTTATTTCAGGCAAGGAACTGTTTTTTGAGAAGTATGATAAAGAGCTTAGAAAACTTTAGAACACCTCAAATATGAAGATCAGGAATGTTGTTTTAATGAGGTAGGTCTCCTTTGAATGCCACTTTTTTTTTTACTTTACTTTTTCTTAGGGCTGAGATCAAGTCTGATAAGCACTTTAACTTAGGCAAATAATGATGGCAATAAAATATTATGCCACTGCAAAATATACTAAGTGCCCAGGCTTCTGAACCTTTCCAATTTTTTTTCTTGTAAATGCATTGTATGGGGGTAGTTTTCCCCTAAGACAGACCATAATTTTAAAAACTTGTATTTACTGCAGCCCTATAAATTACTGTTTCCCCTTAATGTTGCCAAGTAGTGATTTATTTTAGTAAAATTGCAGACCTCACTAAGCATGCTTTACTGTGTATTTACTTCCCTAGAGCCAAGTGAGACTTTTTTAGAGTATTGTTTGGGGGAAGCATAAAAGGTATTAAATTCCTAATTTAATTTACACATGAATTCTTAGTTTGCTCTGATCTGTCATATATTTTGTACAAAGTGTTCTTATATTCTTAAGAAACTGAAATATACGACTATTAGTAATTCTTCCATGTTTAGAATAGAGCTTTATTGAGGCTAAGTATTTTCAAATTCATCTTTTTCATTTCTGCAATCCTGATTATCAAAGGCATTTATGTAATAAGTTATATCTAAGACTCATTTTTCCATTGATGAGATTTATTTTAACCCTTCTCTCATCACAGATTTATCTAAGAAAGGCATAGAAAATAAAATTAACCTGAAATAGGTATAGATTTAATTCAGTTATAGAGGCTTTTGAAAATAAAATGTATCCAGAAAAATACATGGAATGGTGAATGTAGCATCAAATGGTAAAATCCTGAATGATTTCAGGGGGAAACAATTCAATATCCATGAACTGCAGCTACTCCATCACCTGAAGAATCTGAGTATTGCTGCGTCAGGGACCCCAGCAAACACTGTAGAAATCTTCAACACGTCTGACAGAAGTTATGTAGTAGAAAAAAACACTTGAGCTAGACAAACAGAGGTTCAATTTCCAGCTTGGCCACTTACTAGATGTTGACCTTGGTCAACTTTAACTTTTTGTAGTCACAGTTTCCTTGTCTGAAAATTAGAGATAGAGTAATTACCTCTCAAGATCCTTGGGAGAAACCATTGTGATTACAGGTGTTGAGTGCTTGACCTCCTGTCATTATGGTCCCTGACTTCCTCCAGCCTCAGGGTCTGACCTCCCAAATGAACATCTGGGGAGACATCAAGTAAGATTTCACTATAACTTAAGAGGCGGATGCCACCAATAAGCCATCATCCTTTGACTGGTTACAAACTTTAAAACGTGGAAGTGTTTATGCTTCAAAGACTTGATACAAAACATGTGATGGAAAAAAAATGAGTTTATTCTGGAAGTTGTCTCCAACAAAGAAAGGGACGGTGGATAGAACCACTGAATCCTATACTAATGCCTTGTCATAAAAGCCACCGAGCATCATGACTTAATTTGGACACATGGCTAAACTGCAGACTCAAGAAGCAGTTAGAATGATGAACACAGTTATTTGAAGTATACAGGAACAATTATTTTGTTAAAAAAAAATAGCTTGGTTTAAGGAATCCTTTGCTATCTCATCTGATCCAAGGACTAGCAGTGTGATTATTTCATTTGTTTATCAGAACTATCCAAATAATAATAATAATCACAATTGTACCTTGGTTCAGGAAAGGACTCCCGTGACCTTCTCCACAGCAGCTGTTCGTTCCTCTGCTTCTCATCAGCTTGAGTCTTTGCAGTACTCGACAGCTTGTGAAGGGTTTTCCCGTTGGTAACCTCTCCAGACACACAGGACTGGTTTCATCTCTCTCGTTGCTTTCTCTTCTTCTCTATGGCAATCTTAACTCTTCTGTGAAGATCTGTCACCCACACCCTCACTTCCATCAATCGTCCCTGGCAGGGAGCTCCAGGAACTCTCGCTTGCCCTTCTCTTCCGTGCCCCAGTCCCTGTTCTACTTGTCTGCCTGTCACCTTTGCCCTAGTGTCTCATGTGTACCTTGAACTCCTCAGAGCTCTCCTCTGAATGTATTCTTCCTGGTTAACAGCATTACTATTGACTCAGGGACACAGGCTCAAAAATACTGGCTTCTCTTTTGCCTCCAAAATGTAGGCAGTTGCTATATTCCATATAACCAGCCTTTCTAATTAATGCATTTAAATTTCTATACCTCCTGCCTTATCTCAGGTCCTCATTACCTTTCCCTAGGACTATGGCAACAGCGATCTAAAGAGTAGATTTTATCCCATTCTACATGCTCTGCCCAAGCCCAGGTCCAATGATGGTGCTTCCCTACTCCAAAATCTTTGCAATTTCTTTTTGCTTAGGGATTTAAGTTCTACATTCATCCCCCATCAAAGCTCACTGCCTTATGGATCCAACCTACTTTCTGCTCCTCTGTACCTACCTATATTCCAACCAAAGCACTTGAAACCAACATTTTATTGAACGCTCCTGTTTTAGACATTGTGATGAACATTTAAAATATATTATGTTGTTTAATCCTTAAAACATATAATGGTAGGAATGCCTGGGTGGCTCAGTCTGTTAAGCATCTGACTCTTGATCTCAGCTCAGGTCTTGATCTCAGGGTCATGAGTTCAAGCTCCACACTGGGCATAGGGCCTACTTAAAAAAAAAAAAAATAGTGGTGCTTGGGTGGCTCAGTCAGTTAAGCGTCCGATGCTTGATTTTGGTTCAGATCATGATCTCAGGGTTGTGAGATTGAGCCCCATGTCAGGCTCCATGCTCAGCGGGAGTCTTATTGAGATTCTTTCTCTCTCTGTCTCTCTAAAAGAAAGAAATAAATCTTAAAAAAAAAAAAAAAGAAAGAAATCTTAAAAAAATATGTACATATATAACGATATTATTTTGTCCATTTCACAAATGAAGAAACCAAGTCTTGGGAAATTCAGGTAAATTGTCCAAAGCATTATGGTTGGTAGGGAATAGTGAGAAAATTTAAATCTGAACTCTCCACATACACCTTATATTTTTTTGCTTATCTGCCTCTATTCATGCATTTTCCTTCATGTGAATTTCTGCAGTGTCTTCTACACATAACATTTGTGTATCAAAAACTTATTCATCCTCTAAGACCTCTTCTTTGAGGTCTCTCCTAAGGTCCCAACTAGTGGTACTTTGTCCTACATCTGCATAGTCACGCAATAATACAGACCTAGCATCAGTGATTGGTGAGCTCATCTCTGGTGCTGTGGGCTTGTGAGGACAGTGGCCACGTCTTAGTCATATTTTTATCCCCCTCCCCTGCACTGAACACAAATACTGGCACATTCTAGGTATTCAGTGTTGGAATGAATTGTCCCACAGATAAATAGAAAAGATGCAACACTAGTGTTGGGAAAATAATGGCAAAACATCCCTCCATTATAGTCTCTGTGTCTTCTCTGGAAATCATCGTGTTCTATCTAGCAATTGAGCAATTAAGTTATGACACAAAGGAGGAGAAGGTTTCTCACCGAAAGCTTGAGTTTTGACATTAAACATCTGGTTTGTGTAGTTTGTATGTCTGAGTAGCATAGAGGCTTTCTTAATCAGTAGACATGGTTACTGACCAGCTGATTTGTCTTAAGTCAGCACTGAGTTATTACCCAGTTCTTATTTCAGCCAGAGAATTATGTAGCAATGTTGGCAACAAAATGAACTCTTTTCTATGTCCCTGAGAAGAGCATTAACCAATACCTTCCCCTGTGTTCATCAGTTATGAAATATGGAGGTGTCCTCATTTAACACTGGAAAGCAGTCAAATTGATAGGACCCCGAAATTCCACTTCATATGAAATATATGAAAACACCTGTCCACACAAAAACTTGTGCATTATTCATAGCAGCCAGAAAGTGAAAACAACCTGATGTCCATCAACTTATGAATGGGTGAACAAAACTGATATATCCATATAATTGAGTATTCAGCAATACACTTAGCAATCAAAAGGAATGAAATACTGACACATTCTCCAACATGGATGAACCACGAGAACATGCTAAGAAGCCAGACACAAAAGACCATGTATTATATAATTCCATTTATATGAAATGTTCAGCAGAAGCAAATCCATAGACACAGAAGGTAGTGTTGTCTGGGTCTGGAGGGGAAGGAAGTGGGGAGAGATGAGGAGTAACTGCCAAAGGGCACAGGGTTTCTTTGTGGGGTGATGAAAATGTTTTAAAGGTGATTGTGGTGATGATTGCACAATTTGGTGAATATACTGAAAGCCATTAAAAGGTACACTTCAAGCAAGTGAACTGTATGGTATGTGAGTGGTATCTCAATAAAGCTGTTATTTTAAGAAGTAGTCAAAATGATATCAAGGATTATTATGGGATGCGGAGATATGCTAGTCAGTGGCTACATAAGCTGCAAAAAATTCTGTTTGAAAGGGGAAATTCAACATTTGAAGAGACTCCTACCAAACTTTTTCTTTCTTGAAACAGATTACAAGGAAAAAGAAGAGATAAAAAAGAAAAAGGCATCTGGCTATTGGCTCAGTCCCCTGGTATATTTTACTTTAATCAAAGATTATGCTTTGGCGTAGCTCAGTCAGGAGATACATTTTCAAAAACAATTTTTTTCCTCTTTTATATATTGAAAAGGTAAAAATGAATAGTTTATCATTTGGGTAATGGGGAAGGTTTATTTTTGGCTTCGATATTAATTTTGAAAGGCACCTAACACAAATGAGCATTTTTACCCAGCTGGATATATGTGCTTTCACACAAGCAGTTCTAAACTTATCTAGGCGCATTTAACAACGGGCTGTCCACCGAGACCATAAAAGGAGCAGCTGTAGTGTTAATGGCTATTACGCACTCCCAGCCAGCTGGGACTTGACAGAACGCTGGACCACAGAAACCCCGTAAGTGAGTAACATGGGAAAGAGTCTATAAATAGGAAGAATATCAGCTATTTGCCAAAACACACAGATTCTGGTGTGACCACACAGAAAGGAGGAGGAACGCCATCAGGATCTCTGACAAGCTGAATGATCCTTGGACACAAGGACAGCAATAAAGACATTATGTTCTCCTGAGCAGACGTTAGGGGCTAGCTTAAAGGTTCTCTCTGATTTTGGTTCCTTTTCATCTCCCCCGGAAGGGGAAAGTGGGGCCTGGGAACCCTGATTGCTTGAGAGTGAGAGGTAGGACTGCTGTTTTGCTGGGCTCCTCGTGTGCTTAAGAGCCAATGCACAGGAGTGGGTTTGGCTGGTTCTGGTTGGCGGGGACCGTCCACTTGTTCCAGAGGTGCCGAAAGAGTCTGAGGAGATTGGAGATCCCTCCTGACCACTGTGTGCTAGGCAGAGTGGTTTTGTCCTGCTCCACCATCCTGAGGATGGTTCATGTGGCCACCTGACTTTCTCTTAACAGCCCTACCCTTGAGCCCCACTGAAGTTCTCATCATTTCCTAACATATTTCATTTGATACTGTTGTGTTTGGTGCCTATTATTCCTTTTCGTCAGAATCTCCCTCTTTGTCTGAAACCTTTTACTCATCCTTTTAATTTTACCTTTTCTGTGAAGCGCCTGCCCCCAGCTGCCCCAGGCAAAATTGGTCATTCCTGTCCCTATTGTCCGAAAGCCATCTCCATCACAGCCTGGAAACCGTGCATGGCTGTCCCTCTCCAGACAGTGAGTATCTCAGATAAAAGGATTACAACTTCTATTTTTAAATCACTATCACTTGGCATATCTGGCATATATAAGTACTTAGTAAATGTTTGTTGAATTCCACTAGATTGAGATCTCGATATGTTGCCTGAAAATATAGAGATGAGGAAGTCAGCTGCCTGGTCCAGAAAAAGCAACAAGTGTGTGTGTGCATGTGTGTGTGTGTGTGTGTGAGAGAGAGAGAGATATTAATATTAAGTAAGAAACTATTAAACTGACCAGAGAAAGCCAAAGGACCGACTGTCTCTAATGGAGGTATTCCAGGCTTGACCAAGGGGAGAAAAATGTGTTGACATCATACTCTAGTGGGTGTATTAGTTTGCTCTGCTCCCATAACGAAGTATTTACTGAGTGGCTTCGACAGAATTTTCTCATGATCCTGGAGGCTAGAAGTCTGCAATCCAGGTGTCAGCAGGGTTGTTTCTTCTGAGGCTTCTCTTCTTGGCTCCTTGGAGATGGCCATTGTCTCCGTCCATCTCCACATGGTCTTTCCTGTGTGCATCTGTGTCCCACTCTCTTCTTATAGGGACACCAATCATGTTGGATTAGGACCCATCCTAGTGACCTCATTTAACCTTAATTAAGCATCTCCAAATACAGTCACTTCCTGAGGTACTGAGCATTAGGTCTTCAACATAGGAATTTTGAGGAGATGCGATTCAGTCCATAACAGTGGATAACTACCTATTTTGCCTGAGGTTAAGGCTTGTCTTATACATCAGTTCTGCACTAATCCTCTTTGAACTGATCTTCACATCTAAGCAATGTTGACAGAGCCCCTTTAAGCACACACGGAGATGGTAATTGAAACGGGCACATGTGGAGTGTGGATGTTAATGCAGATTCTGTCTTCCCAGTACAGCAGGGCTGCCAACACCTAGCCTGGGGGTCCTTTCCTAGGATGTCAAAAGGCCCACAGTCCCTGACTCTACACACACTGCAGCCTTCGTTCACAGACTACTTGTCTACCACAAATGAATGTGCCATTGGAAGTCTCTGTCCGCATTTGCTGTAGTTGCTCTCTGGTTAGTGCCAACCTAATACCAAACCCAAACCAGGTTAGGGCTCATGAATGAGGCTTGAGAGGAAAAGAAGACCAGCTTAGGCTTACACACGAGAACTGTGTCCGGCTGAAGAAACTCAGCCCCAATGCTGGACTGAAAGCGGGGCTGGTTGTATAGTGCATCATTCAAGGAGTCCCGCCTTTGAGTGCAGGTGTCCGTTTCAAAATAGTACAAAAGAATCATTACAACATTGGGAGACTGTTCAGAGCAGATTCCTCCTGGAAAGAGCAGTACTGGAGTAATTTCCTGAGATAAAATAAGTTTGGGTTTATAGGGCTGGCACTCCAGAGATGTTCTCTTCCTTCAGTTTAATATTTCTTCAAGTGAGGTCCCTGGGCACCATGTGAGGTGGACTCACATGGGTTGTTTTTTTGTTTGTTTTTTAGATTTTATTTATTCATTTGAGAGAGACAGAACAAGTCAAGAGGAGGGGCAGAGGGAGAGGGAGAAGTAGGCTCTCCACTGAGTGGGAGCCCAGGGGCTCGATCCCAGGACCCTGAGATCATGACCTGAGCCAGGGGCAGATGCTCACCCGACTGAGCCACCCAGGCGCCCCTCACACAGGGCTCTTAATAAAAATGTAAATTCCTCTGTGCTACCTCATGCTGAGTCAGGATCTTTGGGTGGATCTAGGAATCTGAGTTTTAATCTTGCCTTGTGTAATTTTTATCCAAATTGACATGTGCACACCACTGTTTAGTAACCGCCTGGAAATGTAGGAGAGGCACTGCCAGGTGCGTGCTTCTGCCTGGACTGCAGCCTCGTGATCCATGCAGCCTTCCCATGGGCGTGGTTCACCGAGACCCAGATGGACGGACAGTCACCAAGTCCAGGTACCATGCATCCAGCTCCCAATTCATCCTCTCCAGGGCTCTGCCCACAACTCTAATTTCTTTCTCCTCCCTGTCCCTTTGTTATTTGAAGTCACAGCTTGGATCACCCCTAACTTAAAAAAAACATTTTCCAATCTTGTTATTACTCAATGTTGATGACGGTGTGGTTAGTAGAAGGGCACACTCACACCCAGATGCTGGTAGTGCAAACTGGTACAATCCATCTGAGGGCCTTCTAGCAATCTGCAGTGAGAAACTATGAATTCTATTTCCAGGAATGAACCCCAAGGGAAAGTGAGAGATCCTGGCAAAGGCTGATATTGAACAATATTCATCAGAGCCTTGTTTATAATACTGATAAATATTTAACAGATAGGGAACTTGTCAGAATCATAAAATTAAAATGTGAGGTAGTCATTAAAAATTCTGCTGTCACAAAACACCTACCAGGTTAAAAAGTACTTTTATCTATTTTTTTTAAAAAGATGAAAGTCTCTCTATAGAATAATTCTAATGTTCTCCCCACCAATTTCTCAATTTCTATCTGCAGAGAAATAGATCTAGTGCTTAAAAATAATTATCTTTAGGTCAGGAGCTTCCACAGGCAGGGAAAAGAGCAGGAACCCCAAGGATGATGTAACCTAAATCTTCAGCAAACTCACATTAATTTATTGCCTGAGATCAGCCTGCTAGAATGGATAGAAGTTTGGCTTTGTGGTCAGATGGAAGTCGGAAATTAGAAACCGAAACACGTACGGCAGTGGCTTTCAAACCTCAGCATGTAAAAGGATCATTTGGGGAGCTGGCTAAAATGCAGGTTCCTTGGCCCCACTTCTAGAAATTTCTATGTAAGAGATGGGGCTTAATAACTTCATTTTAGTAATCCCCCAATGTAGTTTTGTTGCAGGGGACCAGAGGGTAGTAGCATCTGGGGGGAGGGGGTAGTACAAGCTGGAGAGAGAACCCAAGGTGAGATCTAGGGAAGCGAAGGGCCCTGGGAAGCTAGGGGGAAGGGCAACAAAGGGGGTGTCAAACTTTAACATTGTTCCTGTATTTTCCATTATAAACTAGGACTATTTACTATAATACCAGGACTACTGAATAGTCTGAAAGCCCTTTGTAGGCTAAACTGGAGAACATGGCTATCATTTTAAACATGATTTTTCGGTGGAAAATATGTTTCAAGTTTTAAACAACTAACTCCCATCGGAACTTTTAGGATTCAATTTGTTCCTATACAGGCAACTATCTGTTACAGTTTCCATGCCATGAGAACCACCCCAACCCTGATATAACAATTTAGAGGTCCTTCAATTTTTCACATTGACTTTGGCTCATTTATCAAAATAGAAAGAAAAAAGATAAACCTAGTTTTGAGGGAAAAGGACAGATATCCACTATTAAATAGAAGATTACATCCAATCTCAAGTTAAAAGAAAAACAAATCAGCTTTTTGTCCTTATGTGCTTTACAAAGAGCTTTGGATTCTTAGCGTTCTGGGGGAGGGATAGCATGAGGAATAGGGGTAGAGCTTAAATGTTCTGTTCAGCATCCTGAGATTTAGTTTTGAATTTGGAACGGTCCCTTAAAATTCTATACATTTCAAATTCAACTACTCTGAAGAATAAATGCTTGAACAAATCTCTTTTGGCAAAGCATGGAGTAGGAAACCCTGAAGAGCACCAATGCTGAGTATGTACACAAATGCGCTGTTGTACATTTATAATTTGAAGATGATGATACGTTGTTTAAAAGGAAGTTCAGATGTGAGTCGGAACCAAGTTTGAAAGCGTTGTCAACAGGTGAGCTGGGTTGGTGGTTGTTTCCATGTCTCTACTGGTTAGTTAGGTACAAACAGTGGCAAGATTAAAGAGGCTTCAAATAAATAAATAAGTAAACTCTCTCCTCACATTTTAACTCATTTGCAAAATGAATATAAAAGCCCAAATTAAAAGCCCCAAGAGCTGAGCTGGTTGGTCAGTGTGAGCTGCAAAGGACTGAGGGCGTTCGGACTAGATACGTGATGTTTCCGACTTGAATAATAAAAACCTTGGTTCAAACAGAGTCGTTTGCTGAAGCAGAAGAGGAAGCCTAGTGCCTTGCTTGCCTGGCCCCTCGGTCCCTTGACCACAAGGAATTAGACACTTACATCAGTCAGGAGTCTTCAGTTCCAAGCAACAAATTGGGCCAGTTTTCCGATTGCTGGGAAAGCTAATGAACTATGCTTCAGAAAAGCCTGGAACCTGGGAAGCTCCGGAGCTGTGGGTAGCCAGAACGCAAGGGCAGTCTCTTCAGGGATTGTCACCGGAACCAGACTTGTGCTCCTCAGCTCTGGTCGCCTTGCTTGGCTCACATGTCCATCCCTTGATCTAGAGGGGTGGGGACATCTTGAGGTAGCAGAAGAAGGGGGAAGTTGATCACAGGAAACTAAAACATGTGTCCCCTCCAACCCCAGGACCCAGGATTCTAGGACTCCTGTTATTATTACTCTTTCCATTTGCTCTCATCACAAGTAAAAATTTCTGTAACTATGCTTGTGGTGGATGTTAACTAGACTTATTATAGTGGCCATTTTGCAATACACACAAACACTGGATCATTATATTGTATACCTGAAACTTAACATAATGTTGTATGTCAAATAGGTCCCAATAAATAATGAAAAAAAAAAGAAAATGTTTTTTAAAATGAAAAATCTGTACTAAGATACTGATTAAGATGGGAAAAAATTTGACCCGTCTTTCCCCTGCCAAAAAAAGAAAAAGAAAATTTCCTCTTGCAACAGCAAACCAAAGTGGCCCCAGCAAGCTAGCTGCAGGCTCTGTCTGAATTTTAAATTTTAATCTCAGAAAACAGTAGCACCAACATAGAAGTGAAAACGAAATTGGGAGGATAATAGCAATGTTTTTGCAATTGCTTGTTTATTCAACACGTGTTAAGGGCTTAGATTTTTTGGTCAGATTATCTTGAATTTGTGTGACACTAGGTGCATTTCTTAATCTTCCCAGTTTCCTCACCTGTAAAAATGGGAGCCATAGGGTTTTTATTGGGTCGTTTTATGGGAAATGCTTTTTACAGTGCCTTGCCTTCTTAAACGGGAGTTCTTGTTATCTCAAATGTTAATCATGAATATTTATAGTCACATTTTAACAAGTTCATTTTCATAAGTTCATTAAAGCTTGGAGACAGAATGAACAGATAGATATCCTCGGATTCTTAACAACCAAGCCCAGGGGACTTAACAAAGTGAATGGTGGTAATTCACCGAAGCTGCAGATCTGTGTTCTGTGAACCAAAGACACAGTCACTTGTGTCCAGGTACATAGCTGGTATTTATATTTGCCAGTAGCTGGGGCAACGCTGTAGAAAGAATATTACACACGCTTACTTCAAAAATTTACCCTGACTTTTTCTGGAACAGTTTCCTGCCTAGTGACTTCCTCATAATGGCACGGAGTCCGTGTTTCTGGAGGCTTGTGATGTAATCACAATCGGTACATCCTCCACCCTTTGGCAAACAGGAGCAGTTGCTGTGACTCTTGGTTTCATCATCGTGATGACTCAAGTACAGATGAGGTTCAGGCCAGCAGTGTGGACCGGGAATTATGAAACCCAGGCTTCCGGAAGGAACTCACTAAAGGATTTTAAAACAAAGAGGGACTGAAGTCTGGAGAGAGAATTCCACTCACTTAGTTTATCTTAAGCACCTTGTTAGGAATGGGAAATGGGGAAAGGAACTGCTTCTAATGCAGATTTGCAAATTATCCTGGTGTGACCAGAGTTATGTCTGAGAGGGAAAGATTTCTGCCCCTCCATTGACAGAACACACTTCCTTCCTTTGGAGCTTGGGAGCTGCAAATGCCAGAGTTCCAAAACTCGATGCCAATTCTCCAGAACGTCCCCCTGTCTTATTATTTCTAAAACCAATGAACCCAAAGCATTTGTTTACCTTTTGATTCATCACCACACTGCTCACTGGCACTCTTAGAAGAAAAGGGCGATTCAGTACTTCTAGACTCTACCTGGGGAGACACGTAAACACATGAAATACTAAGACCAAGTAGAAAGCAGTGTGACATGCTCGCTCATTTTTGTGGCTCACAGGCTGGTGGGGCTGGACAGCTTTGTGAACTCGGATGCACACTTGGCAAAACCCCTTGCTCAGCTGGAGGAGATTTCAATCAACAAGCTTATCTCTGCTTAACGGAACAGCGCCCACATTTTTTACCAGATCATGTTTGAAGGAACAGGCAACTTGTTGAAATCATTTCGGATGCAGGAAATCCTGTGTTTACTACCTAGGAAATACTACATAAAGATTTGGATTTTTCCCCCCTTGTAATGCTCTTTCCAATTGAAATTCAGCAACAGAGCCACTGCTGATAAGAAGAACATTGGCCAGGAAATGACAATATGGTGATAGCCAATTGTACACAATAGGCCTTACCTCTTTGTTCCCATCCTGGTTCTCAAAATTGCTTGATAGAATCACTTCCTTCGGGGAGTCCAGTCACTCACAGGTTCATGTCTCTTGAGTGCTGATGCCTTTAGAGAGGCATTGAAAGCTCCCTGTAAATGTGTAAAAGGATGGATGAGGGAAATGCCTAGAAAACACTGGACTCATCTGTAAAGATGCTGGGGGATCATGTATAAGTGGGACAGGAAGATTCTTTAGGTCTCAGTTAACCTAACTAAGTCAACTAAATGGGCGTGAAGTAGGCCCCTTTTGAAGTCACCAGCTTAAACAATAATATCTCTACTTGTGACTTAAGAGCTTCCTCTAGTCAAAAGACCAGGGGGACAAAATCTGATGGACATTACACAACATGATGAAAATAGGAAGTCATATATTTAAAGGAAAGAGACATCAATAGAAGATGTTGATGGAGCACTAGAAGAAGGGTGAGCAGATGTGGAGCGTCGTTAGAATGTATCCAGCACTGTCCAAGAGTCACCAGTCTTAGAGAATTATTGACAAGGCTAGAATGGGCATGATTCCTCCTTCAATTTAACTTAGCTGTGAGATAGACCTGTACTTGTTTTTTTTCCTTTGTTTGATTTTGGTTGTTTTCTCATTTTTAAGTCAAACTTTTAGTTCATTTTTAGTCATTTCTCTTTTTAAGAAATGAAGGCATCAGCAAACATGCCTTTGCCTTTGAGTACAGTTTTTGCTATATTCTGTGTGTAGTGGCTATATTTTTATATGTAATGATGTTATATTCATAATTTTATGAATAAGACTTGACAGATTTAGCAAAAAAAAAAATAAGATCTCCAGTTAAATTTTTAATTTCAGAAAAACGTTAAATTTTTAGTGTATGTCCTAAATACTGTACAGAATGTACTTGTACTAAAAAAAAAATGATTTATTATCTGAAATTACAAGTTAACTGGGTGTCCTGTATTTTATCTGGCAACCCTTATTATAAATAGATCTTAGATGTAGTTTTAGTTCACTCTGACCCAATATTTTTTGGAGGATGTTCCTCTCAAATGAGTATGATGTTTTTTGCTTAAACTTTTATTGTTAAATTCTGTTCTTTTTGTGTATGTGTGGTTCATTTTTGGGAATGTAACCATAGGCAAGTGGGTCCCAACGAGGGACAATTTTGCTCCCCAGGGTCACATCTGACAAGGTCTGGAGACATTTTTGGTTGTCAGAACTCGGGGAGGTATGCTAATGGGTAGAGGGTAGTGATGCTGCTTAGTATCCTACAATGCACACAATAGCCCTCACAATAAAGAATTTTATTTAGCATAAAATATAACAGCTACTGTTGAGAAACACTACCATAAACATTTGAAAGAGGGGTTTATCATTTCAACTGTATCTTTGTTTAAAATACATCTATTGATCAATTTCATCAATTGCATTATTCACATCAACTCTGTTTGTATATTCGATTTGCCAGAGAAAGAGAGTGATCATTTATTGAGATCCTCCAGTATGTTAGAACTTGTTCCTGGTGCTGCAAATCTTCAGTGAACACTACAAACTTCTCTGACTTTATGGAGCTTTTATTTTACTGGGTTGGGTAAGATGAGGTGACATATTACACAAATGATTCACAAAATATATATAAGTCTTATGAAGAAAATAGAACAGAGAGTAGGGAAAGGTGCTGGGAAGGGTGTGAGTTGTAGTTGTAAAATGAGTGGCAAGGAAGTCATTACCGAGAAGGTTATGTTGGAAGAAAGGTGGGGAGGAGGTGACAGCGAAAGTGATGTCATAGCTAAGGATAGAGTGGTTTAGGCAAAGGAAACAGAAATGCGAAGGCTCTGCTGTAGGCCCCTCCTTGGTATGATCAAGGAAGAAGAGGAAGCCAGTGCGGCTGGAGCAAAGGGAGGAAGAGGGAAAGTAGTGAGGATGAGGTCAGAGGGGGAACGGTGCTGGCAAGTGTCCAGATCATTTAGGGTGTAGGAGGCCCTTGTGAGAACTGTCACGTTGACTTCTAAGTGAGATAGAAAGCCTCTGGAGAGTTTAAGTAGAGTGATAAGATTTTACATACATTTTGAAAGCATCACTTTGGCTGTTGTGTTGAAAACAGACCGTGGGGTGTGGGGAAGTGGGGGAAAGGCTGAAGCAAAGAGACCAGTTGGGAGACCATTGCCATAACCCAGAAGGGAGAGGATGGTGCTGTGTCCGGGATGGTGACAGCGGAGACTGTGAGAACGGATTGAATTCATCAGGCACACATACACACTGCTGGTGGGAATACAAAACGGTGCCATCCCTACAAGGGGAATTTAGCAATCTTGAACAAAATGACCTACGTGTCTATTCTTTGACCCAACGATCCCACTTCTAGGAATTTAGACTAGAAATAGAACTTCAACAACAAGAAAGATGCAAAAGGTTATTCACTGCAACGACATATGTAATTGGAGAATACTGGGGTTGGTTGAATAAGCAGTGTTACCTGCAAACAATGCAGTAAAAAAAAAAAAAAGAGTGAGGTTGAAGATCTGTATGAATGGATAGGGAGGGTAATTTCCAGCAGGTATTACGTGTAAAAGACTCACTGTAAAAAAGCACATGTGGCATGCTATCTTTTGTGTAAAAGAAAAAAAAAGGGAAAAATAAGTAAACACACATGTATCTGTTATTCATTACAAAAAAAACAAAGGAAAGGTAAACCAGAAAACACTAAAGTTGGATACATACAAGGAAGGGTAGGGATAGGGAGTGGGGTAAAAGGATACAGGAGGGTGACACTTCAGTGAATATACCTTTTCATATAGTTTTGGTTTTGAAATTGTTAGTAGCCTACACGTTCAAAAATAAATAAAAATTAAATAAGAATGAGGAGACAAAATCCAAGTAACACTGAAAGAAAATGGGCACAAACGAGTCAGAGTGTATTTCAAATGATTACTATAACCACACCAAAGGGAGAGAAAAAAAGAATGAACCCATCCATGTAACTTATGAACACAGTTTTTGGTCATACATCCTCAGTCTGGAACAGAGTAGGATGTGGGGAGGGGAAGCAGAAGAGGGCAGAATAGATTCTGTATCCTCTAGTAGGTTAGGTTTTTGTCGTGTTATGTAAGAAGCAATTTTGAAACAAACATTGTGTGCCTCTGGATGGGATTCTCTGATTGTGCCCATGCTGCATTCCAGCACACAACGGATAACCTCAACATAACAAAAAAGAAACTCAGACAAACACAATACAAAGGAAGTTCTAGTTAAAAAAAGGGGGGGGGGGGCCTTGCATTCCTTGTCTTGTGGTACCCCTCCATCTTCAAAGCCGGCAATCACAGTACTCCAACCTCTGCCTCTGTCCTCACATCTCCTTCTCTGTCTCTGAGGTTCCTACCTCCCTCCTCAAAGGATGCTTGTAATTACACTGGGCCTGCCTGGCTGATCTGGCATAATCTATGTCAAAATCCTTACTTAATCACATCTGCAATGTCTTCTTTGCTGTGTAAGGGGACATGTTCACAGGTTCTGGGAATTAGGACATAGGACATTCTGCCTCCCAGAGGACTACTGTTCAAAACTGTCACTATCCCAGCACACGAAGATCAGAGAGTTTAAGAGTCTGGAAAATATGACAACTAAAGCACTATCTGATCTTGGACTAGATCCTTTTCTGGAGGGGAGAAAGGCTATCAAGGATATTCATTATTCTATCAACTGACAAAATTGGAACTTGGGTGGTTAGTTAGATGCAAATATCAATATAAAGTCATGAGGTCGGTCAATGTACTGAGGTTCTGTACAAGAGGTTTCCTACTCTTAGGAAAGGCACACTGGAATACTCAGGAATTTTAAGGGCCATGATGTAAGCAACTTGCTCTCAAATGGTTCAGAAAAAAACATTATCTGTACGCACACACACAAAGGGAGAACAAGAGAAATGATGAAGCGAACGGGGTAAAACGTTAACATTAAGTGAACCTGAGAAAAGGGCATAAGATATTCCTTGCGCTATTTTAATTTTTGCAATTTTTTTCTAAGTTTGAAATTATTTCCAAGTAAAAAGCTTTAAAAAAAATCATCTATCCAACCTGTCACTTAGTCCCAAACTTCTGAGTTTACAGGTTTGAAGGTCTCTAAGGATGGGTGAACTCATTATCGCAGGAGGCAGCAGCCTGATGGCCGGCAGCTCAAGGAGTTTGAAAGTTCTCTACAAGATGAGCTCTAGGGGAACCTGGGGGGCTAGATCAGTTAAGTGACAGGCTCTTGATCTCAGCTCAAGTCTTGATCTCAGGGTGGGACATTCAAGCCCTGCATTGGGCTCCACGTTTTTATAAAAAAAAAAAAAAAAAAAAAAAGATGACCTCAATTTGTTGGTGACTTTCACCAATTGGTTGTAGCCCTGCCAACTGGTGTAGGCAGAATAAGTCTTCGCCCTCTTCAGATACGAGGCCAGCTGCCCTGTCGCCTTAGTAATGGGTTTTGCAGGCTTCAAGTTTCTTGTCAGTGGATGCTTCTGAGTCAGTTTCCAAACCTCCTCACTGGGATGCATTTTCTTTTGTCGGAGTTGCTCTTACAAGGCAGTACCTGTTAGAACGCGGCATTCCGCTGGGGCCCATCCACTCACTTTGATTTGTTCCTTCCTCCTCTTCCAACCACACTCCTCCTGGGTTACCACAACCTCTCCAGGGAAAAGCCCCGTTGATGATATACATTGATTTTCTGACTAAATAATGCACGTAAGTGGTGTTGGTGCAGACCCGGTGGGACTCTAGGGATCAGTGTTACCAGTTACCTGGTAAAACAAAAGGAAGCCCTCACGTGAGCTTCTTCGCTGCTGACATGGAATCCGCCCTCAGCCATTGACCTTCCACCTTTTCCTTCCACGCAGCCAGGGCAGAGGCTCTGCTTTCGGCTGTGGCTGGGGAACTGTGCAATTAGGAGAAGTGGGTTTAATTTCAGCGAGGGAGTTGGCTGCCACGATTCCCTAGCTCCCAGGGACTTCGGGCCTCAGAGGCAGGACTACAACATCCTGCAGCGGAACTTTTGGAACTTCCCAAAAAAGGTGTTTGGGAGACGTGCCTAGGGTTACAGACAAACTCTGGAAGTGAGTTCTTAGGTTCTGGTGTTGCTCAGAAATCAGCGCAAGGGAACTTGGCAGTCGTCTTCCGCGGGGAATCCTTTAATGACTATAGGTAGTTTCAGGATTGTTCAGGCTCACCTTTGCCACATTCCTGTAGGAAAGTCCATGATGAGGGTCACCTTTGGCATGTTCTTTTGAAAGAAAGTCAATGCTAATTGCCCTCGAAGCATCATTTCCCCAGGTCATGTAAGAGAATCTCCTTTCCTACGTGCATTAATCCTTTAGCAGGGACCCCCACTCCTAACAACGCCTCTAGCAGACATTAGAAGTCCAACCTTTTAGTGTGAACTCACCAGCCATAAAAATGTCAGGTCACTAAACAGCTGTTGCTTTTCAGGGTGAAATATCTCATTCAAGGCAGTAGGAGAGCTGTTTTCTGCAAAAGGTGTTTTAAGAGAATTCTTAATAATGAAGTCTTTATTACGGTGGAGGTTGGAGGGAAGAAAGACCGAGAGAAAAAGGACAGGCTCTTCCTGTGAGCCTTCAGATGACAATCAACTTGCAGAAACTCAAACTGGAAATCCTAAAGGCTTATAATCTGAACTGCCTAAGTGTGAATTAGATTACTAGTGATTTTCTGACCCCCCACCTCCACTCCCCTGCTTTCTAAAGAGTTAAGGAATGGACAGCAAGATCCTTTGGGTGTAAGAGGTAATCAGGAGGTTTTAGAGACAGGGCTGAAGTCTCAAAGGGTACTGGTCTGAATGGAAGTCCAAGGAAGTGTGAGAAGCTACCCTGTTGGGCTTTACACATAGGGTGATACACACGGATGTGAATGAACTGGGGAAGTCAAAGGGCACAATAAATCATCAAAGGGAATTTAGCTAAGAGGATTATGTAAAAGGGAGTAAGGCAACTTGACTTAATTTGGTAGGGAAGTGTCTTGGCCATCCACACACAGGCTTTTCTCTTTTTAAGCAGCTGGTGGAGACACTTCCTTCTCTCCCCTGTGCCCGTCTTCCTGAGTTGCTGCTCAGCATTACAATCACTTCCTCTCCGGGCACCCCTTCCCATCCCAGGAAAGTCAGGGCAGTTCCTCTACACTGGAGGTGGGGGTAGGAGAATGGGGTGAGGACACTAACAAGAGATGCTTACCATCCCATGGTGGGGGGACTGCAGGTTCCTTTGCCATAGCAATGTCCCCACATGACCATAATGGGTATAAATGAAATGGGAGATGGTACCGAAGACCAATACAGAACTGTTTCTTCCTCCTTCCAGTAGAAGAAACTGTAGGCATAGAAGCATAAAAAACAAATACTTTATGTAAATGACATGACAAAATTATACTTGGGGATCTCTCTTTTTCCCATGGGGAAAGAAAACTGTATCAAGGTTTGATAAAAATAAGGATCTCCTTTGTCAAAAACCCTTAGTGTGCAATCCTATGTTCATGTTGTTTGTTTGACACCATGGAAACATAGTTGATTGCAGTAGACAAAAGTATGTCAGGGAAAAGACCAAAGGTTAGATCGAGGTTTTCCCCCCAAGACCAGTGAAAAATAATTCTGATTGGTCTTTGCTATGAAAAACATGAAAATCCTTATAAACAGGAAACTCCTTCCTCCAGGGGTTCTAAACTTTCTCCAAGATAAAGAACTATAGATTTTAAGCCATCTCTTAATGGTAGACTCACCAGGTTTTTAGACTTCATTAGAGTTCATATTAACAGGGGCACAGGGATATAGAGACAAACCAATATATACACCACTTTGAAAAAATGGGCACCTAGCCCAACATAGTGATGGTCTATAAATGACTTGGATGCAAAAAACCCTAGAACCCTGACTTTAGATCTACACACAGTCCAGTGGTTCTTGAAGCTAGCTAGTGATCTGGAACTGAATGGTATCAAGTAGCTGTTAAACCTTGGGAGTTCTTATTTTAGGTTTACTACGTGGTAGGAAACAGCTGATGTTATTAAAAAAAAAAAAAAAACCTACTCAGAAAACTCAGAACTTGATCTTTTGAATAACTGCGTTTAAACTAGTTTAATAAAGATTAACCTTTTGCGTCACATAAACCCATGTTACAGAAAAGGAGCAAAGTCCTGGAGGTTTCAAGTAGCTTCGTCCCTTTAACAGAAGTACATTTTCCCCCAGCAATGATTTTTTTAGGAGAAATTGAAGATGTAAAAGGAAATGTAATGATCTGAAAGTTTCATATTTTTCTCTACTTCTATCAATACTCCATGAGCAACTGAGGGTCTAGGTGGTTTTGTACACAGCTCCACACCCAAATGTACAAATTGGTAATTGTACGTTCAGTTTATGGGATGGAATAAAAAAACTGTCTACCATGCAGAAAGCTCTCTCCCATCTGAATGCCCTCCATAAGAGAAAAGTAGTCGTCTTTGAATACCAAGCAGTGCCCACGGACTAGATGAAATACAAGATAGTTGGCAATTTTAAGACCATCATGAGTCCATTCCAAAGATCAGAAGTGCTTAGGTCCTCTATCAGCCACCAGGACAATTTGTTTTTAGCTTGACTTCAAATTGGGTTGAGGATGGCCAGGCAGCCAAAGCAATGTGGGGCCAAGAAAAAGCCCCAATTTTCAGAGGATATAATACACATCCCTTGTTCTGCACAGGTGATACTTCTCATCTTGACCTATATCATAAATTAATTTTAAAAAAGGAAATGCTTCAAAATGTAAACAATTTTGATTCTCGAGACCAGACATTCTTATCACCAGTTGAATAATTTCACCAGTAGCCATGCTGAGAAACTGTAACTCTATGGAGTCATACAAAGAGGTTATAGAAAAGTGACAGAAAGAGGTAGCATATATCAGTCTGTGAACATACTGAATGCTACCATAGCAAAAAACTGTACAATTCTAGGTCCAGTATGTACAAGCTAAAAAATATGTATATATTCTTGACTTAGCAAACAATTGTCAATATTTAATAGTGCAAAGTACAAAGAAGTTTGATAATGCTGTTTTAATAACTCACAGAGAGCATATACATACACCCAATGAATTCGTCTCTTTATTGCATATTGCTTTTTAAAAAAAAAGTACAATCTCATAGCACATACAACATTTTTTTTCTTGGTACTATAACAACAGTCTTGCACCTAAAGACTAAGAGGTTCCAACTACTAAGCTAATAAGATACAAGACATGTAATTAAGTTTACAAATTATAATGCTTTCTTTTTGGCATTAATTTAAAAAAACAAACAAAAAACTTTAAAATACACACCCAAGAGAGAAAAGTGGCTACTTACACCAGCACCAATCTAAAAAGTAGATTTTTTTTTTCAACAATGGCACATGGAATTACCTGCACAAAGCTTTTGGGGAAAGAAACCAAAAATGGATATGGTAAGGCCTACCAGGATGGCCGTATCAAAATGAAGATGATTACAAAGGGCAAGAGGGACACACTACACGGGCTTGCTCCTTTATGTGACACTCCATCCACTTGTCCATTCCTTAAACTGTAAAACAAAGCCATTTTCAAAATACAGTTCCAAAATTGAGCCAGACCAAATTTCTCTTGCTATAAATAGAAAAGAAAATAGAGGCACTTTTGTTAAGGAATAGACACATCCACCATCATCTCCCATTCCTAATCTTCAAGCCTTTTGGAGCAAAGTCTCTGTCTGCACCTTTAACCCGGTGCATTTGCAGACCTTGGTTACTAGGGGCTGGGGAGCACAACCTCTGCTGTGAGTTTATGACCGCCTTATTAGCTAGAGTCATTTACTTCCATAAAATGGGTAGAAAGTCTCTAAGCTTGCAATGAGGGGGAAAAAAATGTAAAACCACTGCTCTTGACAACTCTTAGAGCACTATTTCACAGCTTTCACATAGTGCAGAGACCTTGCCATCTGCACTAAGCATTATAGTTTATACAGATCATTTTTAAATAGCATGATTCCTGTACAGCGCATATTGGTATTCTATTCACCCCTTTATCCCCATTAGAACATAAGCTCCTTGGGGGCAGGGACTTTGTCTTGCTTATTACTGTAGCCCTACTAAGCCTGGCACATAGTAGGTGTTTAATAAATATTTGTTAATTGACTGACTCAATTTAGTGAGTAAATAATGTTCTAGTGCAACAGGACAAACTACTCTCTCCACAGGAAACCCAACCACAACAGGATTGATAGAAAGAAAAGAGAGAATCTTAGCCCCCCTCCCCCACTACAAATAAATAAAGCAAAGCCAAAAAAAAAAAAAAAGTAACAGTCCTCTTTATATATAATTTAAGGATATTAAGAGTTGGTAGGTTAATGGTAAGCATCTATATTTTATTTTCTAATGTTCATTGTTTTTATTCATTTCTCCCTGAGAGCTTTATCTTTTGGACTGAAATTTTACAGGTAGCTTTATTGACACACAATTTAAAATGACAACATATAAACAACAAACCACTTCAAACATACTTAGAGATAAATAGATCTTGGCATCTCTGTTGGTGTTGTTGACATTCTGTGCATTCACTAAGTGTCCTTTAGTCCAGACCCATATAGACAGAAGATGCAGCTTGTCCTACAAAATAGGAAAAAAAAAAAAAAAAAAAAGAAAAGAAAAGAAAAAAAAGGCACCCCATAAAAAATTTTAAATAATTTTTATCCCTTCAGAGAATCCCTCCTTTTAGGTCTTGGGTGGGAAATTTTTATTTTTAAAGTTTATATATCTCTATTGTTATAACAACAAGCACATTCTGGCAACCTTGTTCTTTAACAAGAGCATGAATTGCATTCAGATAAATAGTGTTCTTTTCAAAAGCAATGTAAAGAAATCTTCAAGAGCGCTTGGCAGAGAACTCGATGAAATTAGGGGAAAAAAAATCGATGCCCAAGTTTTAAATATATTAAAAAAAAAAAGTCTGATTGACATTCTACATAATTCAGATTGTGTGCAAGATGTTCTCAATAAACATTTACAGACTGCACCCCCACACCAATGTCGGAAATTCTAAGCTGGTCCTATCAGTCACTGATGGGCTACACCAGTGTCACATTGTCAACTATCAAAAACCATTTTAAATCTATATTTTTCCAACACCAGTTTCACCAGTGAAAATAATTTCAAAGTATACCAAGCTTGGAAACCATAAAATATTTCTCAAGCCTTCTTTTTTTTTTTGCTTTTGTTTTTCCTTTTTACTCTAGGGAATGTCTCTGTCATCTCTTTCAGGAGATAGCATTGTGCTTCTGAATAGCCGTGGTGTTCAGGGGAAGAAAATGAGCCATACTCATTATGAATGCATACACAAAGGGTTTCTGAGCACATACATTAACATAGATTTTTTTTTTTAACCATACATATAGGTCTCCAGACAACACTCAGACTTCTATATACATTTTTTTAATATATATGTACACATACATTTACATACACATACATTCACGCATTCACTCACAGATGAAGGAAGAAATTGCCACTGTTTGGATTGCAAGGCAGTGTAATGAAAAGTTCTAGTCACTTCAAAGGGCTGCTAATGAGCGTTCTAAAAAAGTATCCAAGGAAAATTAGAAATTAAGTTTTGTGACTGGTCTCTCTCGGCTGCTGTCCGTCATCTGGTTGGTAATACGCTTGCGATTCCGTTTCAGTTTAGAAAGGTCTTTGTCAAATACTTCTCCTGAGCGTAGAGCTGAAACCAGGTCATCGAACTCTCCACCCTCTTCACTATTCTCTTTTGCTTTCCTCATTTTACGTTCCCTTTCACGTTGTTCTTTGAGCTGCAAATAGAAAGCATCCTCTTACAGAAGTGTCAAAGTGTTGTTTTGTTTTCAGTGGAGATGAAGTCTTTGAAGTATGGCCATACTCCAGTCACATCAACCCATGTGCATCCAATAGCTGCTAAGCCACTCGGACCTCACAAGAGAGGGGGAACTGGGACTTGAGGTCTTATTGTAGAAGCAATGAATAATGAAGAAAGACGACCACTACTTTGTAATTAGACACTCACCATCTAGAATCTAGGTAAACCTCATGATATTCTAGTTAAAACAAGAGCAATCGAGGCAATTCCTGTTGCTACAATGGAACCAGGAAGTTATCACTGAACAGACCCCAAATACTGGTTTCTTTGATGGTACAGACAGACTAAAGCAAATGCTCATCGGGCCACTGTCCTCACATCAAAGGCTCAGCTTCTATCTCCTGTGGATGCCTGGAGCCTGCTACACACGAGTTTATGGAAAGCCAAATTATACACGTACATTATAGAAAATTTAGATAATTCATATAAATAAGAGTGGGAAAATCATCGTTAATCCTACTGTTAAGAGATAACCATTGTGAACGTGCTGGGGGTATACCCCACCACTATCATTTTCCTTATTAACACTTACCAAAAAAAAAAAAAGATTTCACATAGAAATAATTTTGTTAGCTTTCTTTTATTACTAAATATTCTTTGAAAACATGACTTTAAAGGACTGAATAAATATTCCATTATGTAGCTATTGTACCATTTGAAGCTAATGCCTGGTTGGTAAATGTTCAGGTTGTTTCCATGTGAGGGCTATTATAAAGACTGCTGTTCTCTTTGGGCAAACTTATGATTATTTCTTTAGAATAACTTCTAAGAAATGAAACTCCAGGTCAGAGGATGTAGAAATATATTTTTTCAGGCTTTGGATATACATTGCCAGATTGCCCAAGAGAAACTTATACTGATTTAAACTCCGAGCAGCATTCTAGAGAGCACCTTGATGCCCTCCTTCCTGCAGGCACATCACAGCTCCATCTACACACCAAGGAGAGGCAGCACTGGTACATGGTACTTCCAGGAGATGGAAACGGCTGACGTCCTCATTCTCTTACCTGGGCTTCCATGCGAGCACGGCGTTCCTCCTCCTCCTTCTTCTTTCTCATGTTTTCGTTCTCTTGTTTGGCTTCTGACACGGCTTGAAGAAACTGATCAAAAATGCCAAAGAACTCATCCGGCTGGATTTTGCTAGCCTCTTCCCCAAAGTGTTTCACTGCTTTAGTAAACTGGGGGGAAAAAAGTGAGTTTTAAGAAGTTCAGGGTTCCAAGGGAATTCTGTGATCAAACAGAAATCTCTCTAGAAGTAGTGAAGCTCAAAAAGAGTCAAATATAACTTGCTGGATTTTAGTGAGCCTGTATTTATCTTTGGTTGCTGAACAGGCCCATCAATCACCACTAAAGTAAAAAATTTAATACTCCTTGACTTTTGAAACCATTTATTCTTTTCCACCTCATTTCAGCTTAACACCATTGATGACCTACTCTGACTTTTTATTAACTAAACAGTAGTAAAAACAAGAAAGCAAAATATCATAGGGCAGAGCACTCAAGACATAAAACTAATAGCAAACTCGGCAGGGGTAGGGAAACTTGGACTTTTAACTTTTCTTTGAAGTAGTTTAATATCATTTATTGGTGCCATATGGTTAATATCAAAAGCAAATGGGATCCAGTGCTTCTTAGCTGCTTTTCCTAATCCTAAGTAATGCTAGTATTGTGATATTTCCTGGGCCTCAGCTAGAAAACAGTCACGGACTACGGAATCATTAATGCAACACCGAATTTATGACTGAGAATACAATTTTATTCCAAATCCTTTGTTAAGAGAGAACCTTCTTGGTGCAAATCCTCTCAAAATAGCTAAAATGCAAAATATTAAGGGAGAATTTTAAAAAAATTAATACAAATATATGTATATTGTAACAGAATAGTTATTTCCAGTCTCCTCGGTTTTTCTTTTTTCCTTTGGATTGGTGAATGTATCCATTTATTTAATATATTAATTCTTTAAATTGAAGTATAATTAACATACAGTGTTACATTAGTTTCAGGTGTACAACACAATGAATCAACAATTCTATACAGTATGCAGTGCTCACCAGGAAAAGTGTAGTCCCCATCTGTCACCGAATGTTATTACACTATTCCTGACTATAGTCCCTATGCTGTACTCTTCTAGTTTTAGTTCTCCTGGTAGTTATCTTCATAACTCAAGATCGCATGCTTTTAGGAGTCTTAGTGGTATCATGACTAGCCAAATAATGTTCAATGCCAGTCACAATGTTTGTTAGAATTTTTCTTCCCTCTGTAAGGATCTAATGCTGTTACTCCTAAGCTGCTAAGGAAGGTGTTTCCAGCTTCAGAGTCAAATGAATTCTCATTCCCTATGCCTAATCAACTACTTAACATTTTCCAGATCTTTAATTCTCTTCATTTAGACTATGAAGTGTTTGTGCAGTGCCCCCAACCCAAGATTTCCTAATTGCTTTTATTTTTCTTGCATTATTTGCCTTTATTATATTTTTTTCTGATATTTCAGTAATACTATCTCCCTCTAGTAAATGTTTTCAGCATTTATTCTCTTTTATTTTTTCGCCCTAGTTTTACTGAAATATAATGGACACACAGCACTGTATAAAATTAAGGTGCACAGCGTAATGTCTTGACTTCAATATATTGTGAAATGATTACCAAAGTTTAGTTAACATCCATCACCCCATACAGATACACACAAAAGGGTCTACTCTCCTAATAACTTTCAAACGTAGCATGCAGCAGTGTTAACTACAATCATCATGTTGTACATTACAACCCCTATACTTATCTATCTTATAACTGGAAGTTTGTACTTTTTGACTATCTTCCTCCAATTCCCCCTCAATATTTATTCTGAGATAAAACAATTACAAAGTTATATGTGTGTGTGTCTTATAGTTGTCATGTCATATCTTTAAATTTATAATAAAAATGTTCTTTTGCCGTTTCTCTCTTCACTGAGGAGTTGTTCTCAATGTTTTACTTATTTGGAAATATTCTATTGGAAACCAGAGTTCTTTAGGGACAAATACATTGTTCACATGCCACATGCAAAGCTCTAGCTTGCCTTCATGGCTTTATAAGCTAATTTCTAAAAGTTCTGGTATGAACAAAATGGCATTAGACGGCCTACAACTGAGTCTCTAAAACATTCAAGTTCATGCACTCCAAGCCATCCTGAATGATCTTTTTATCTAGGAATTCTAGTGATGATGAAGTCATGTATATTTTAGTCTTAGAAATCTGAAGAAAACTAGTCCCAGACTAAAAGTTCCCACACTAAAATTAAAAAAAAAAAAAAAATAGTAGGTTGTGCGTAAGTGTGTGTTTTTACATCAAAAATCAACTGTAGGGTGGATTCTTATAAAAATGTTTGAGCCCTCAAAGCAGTAGATTCTGTACTGCCTGGTTTGGGAGGAGGAGTCCCCTCCTTTACAGATCTGTGTCATCCGAAGTGGTGAGGCACACCTCAGAGACGGGTGGGGGACGGGGGGATGGCAGTGGAGGTTGCTGACATCAATCATGGGACAGCAGAAGCTGGACTTTTAACAGCAGTCCTCTGACCACACATTATCTTTCCATTTATTTGATCATGTTGGAGGTGGGGTTTATGGTTGAGACTAGCTAATGTATCCTAATACAGTCTTCTTCTGAACTGTAAGCAGTTGTGTATATACACTCTACATAAACAATCATCCATTTCTATTACTAAACAGATGATTACAGGGAAATGACATCCATTACTCAAGTTTCAAAGGAAAGTTAAAGCTAAAGACTGTTGTGGCAACTGAGAGATGAGCATAGTGGAAGAGCTCGACAGGTTGGGGTAGGGGCTTAAGATCACTTATTAACAATGAGAAGGCGGGGTGAGAGAAAGTGAGCGAATGTGTACATGCACATGTATATAAATGTGTATGTATTTTGGAAGAGGAAATAGTGGGGAGGGGGAGGAGCTAAGGTCCTAGTTATTGCCAATGAAACTTTTCCTTTAGAGGAAAACAAAATTTTGAAATAGCAAAAATCATATAAAGTGCTGTATTATTAAGACATATGCCTCTTGCCATGAGGCTGTGAATTAAAGTGTATCTCCTACCATGAGAGACTATGGACTCTGAGAAACAAACAGAGGTTTCTCGAGGGGAGGGGGGTGGGGGGATGGGTTAGCGTGGTGATGGGTATTAAAGAGGGCACGTTATTGAATGGAGCACTGGGTGTTATCTGCAAACAATGAATCATGGATCACTACATCAAAAACTAATGATGTAATGTATGGTAATTAACATAACATTAAAAAAAAAAAGTGTATCTCCTTTAATAAGTTCTGCTGGAGATTTTAAGAGGGAATCTCCTGCCCTAAGTCTCTATCTTGGGAGAGCATATAACTTACAGGTACTGGGACACGTGGCCTTGGTCACACCTATCTCACATTTTATCCTGCCTCTGGTCTTCGTAATCTACTCTTCTGGTTCCCAGAGGTAACTTTAACCCAAAATCAACCATAAGAAAATTGCAAAATCTTTACTGGTCTTACACCATCCAGATACTCTGAGGTCTTGCTAACCTAAAGGCGACACAAGCCAGTCAGACAAAAAGGGTGTATTTCAATTGATCACAGCCCTGGATATGAAAATGTTGAACATCTGCAGGTATCAGCCCTGTTAAACAACACTCAGTATGCAAGGGGCAACTTACCAGGTCTTTAGCTTCTGCTAGAAGGTCTTCCACATCAGAGAAGCTGAAGCTGGCCACTGTGATGAACTGGCTGACAACAGACACAAACTTGTCTCCGTGTTGTGGGGGCTGAGACTTTTGATATTCCAGCTCCTTAAACACAGGAAGTGGATAACGTCAAGGAAGCCTGCAAATGCGGACTCACCTTGTCTGATTTTCCATATACCTCGAATTTAATAAGTCAGAATGACGAACACATCAAAACCTACTCTAAAACACTTTGTGATACCCTAGGTCCCCCGGCCCTTCTGTCTACCATGCCAGAGCCATGCCCACGTGCACCCACATATTTGCAAACAGCAATTTAGCCAATTATCTGAGTACTTTAACAGTGTGATTTCTTACACTAGCTTTAGGACGTAAGTAGATTAGCATTTAGATAATTAATAGAAGCTAAATAAGGAGAGCAAATTGGATTCCAAAGGTGTGTGACTGAAAGCAAGGTAGTTTGATTATTGATATTCTATGCTCAGAATTCTGGTTCCTTGATTTTTCCTTCTTTCCCTCCTGCCAAGTCTAATGACTTTCTTCTCCATGCGGATATCTGGGTCAGTGGAATTTCAACTGTAGTGTTTGGCACCATAATCATTTACCATTTTTCTTCTTGTCTACACTATTTTGTTTTTGTGAACAGACAAGTATCAGTGTCTTATTAATTACCCATATTCTCCATTACCAGGGTGATGAACACACAGATGATTCAAATCTAATTTTAGTAATTAATTTCAACCATTGCTAGATGCACTTTCTTAATCCCACCCTCTGTGAGTGAGGGATTATTGTCCTCATTGTACAGACACATAAATTGAAGTTTAGAGGGATTAAATTCTTAGCTCAAAGCCAAAGCTTAGCTCAAAGCTGATAGGTGAAAGAGCTAGAATTTGAACTCAGATCTGTCTGACTCCACAGTCTCAGCAACAGCTACGCTGGGCACCAACTAACTTAACCTGCACCTATTTTCTTCCATAACTGCCTTGGCAGAGGCACTAACAAGCAGGAGTGGAGAGGTCACAGGCTATGGGTTCTGATTCAGCTCCACCACTGATTTGGTTCTTATCCGTGACAAGTGGCCTGGGCCTCAGTTTCTTCACTTGTAAAAAAAGCAGGCAATATCCACATCACCATGAGAATCGAAGAAATAACACAAGTGGAAAGTTATAAAATATGGAACTTGCTCTGGTTGGAATAAATTGCCACAATTCTAGCGCTTTGGCCTTAAAAGTGAGCATGTATGTATGTGAGGCACAGAGATATAAAATTTTAAAGTGTTTCATTCATGTAAAATCTTATTCCATTCAAATTAAGAACTCCATCTTTGGTATCTTCAAACAATATAATCCATTTGTGTCAAGCACAATTAGGATTCATGAATATTTAGACAGGCCAAGGTTTGCCTCCCATTATTTCCTTCGGGTGCTCCATCTTGACATGTATGCTCGGGGAAGGGAAGGTTTCTGTAGCCCCTTTCCTATGAAAAATGTGTTACAGTGTACATGACCCAGGTGCTGGAGAGATTTCAGCACAACTACTTTTAATAGACCCCAAACCCAAAACTTCCTCCCCACCAGGACCCCTCCCCATGCCTTGCTCTGAACTAGCTTAGATGCAAAGGTCAGAGCATCCATGACCAGGCTTTAGGGCTGTTGTAACTGCCACACTAGTCTCAAGAAAGCCTTCCACTGGGAGGAAATGGGAACCAAGAGAAGGCTATAAAACAAGTCTCATCCCAAACTGCCCTTATCCAGTTGGGCCTCTGAAATCTGAGAAGCACCATCCTACTTGCTGCTCACTCAGTGTCTTGGCCTACTGGGGTTGGCAGAAAAAGACTTCATTCAGTTCATCTCCTTTACTTTTGAAAGAGCATTCCCGACCCCCAAAAAAGGAAAAAAAAAAAACCAAAAACCAAACAAACAAACAAACAAAACCTTACATGCTCCCTATTAAAAATAAACAGAAAAAGATTAGACATTGTGACTTTAACTTTTATTATAGAGTTCTGTCTTTAGTGACATCAACTGCTTTTTTTTTTTTTTTAAAGATTTTATTTATTTATCTGACAGAGAGATAAAGAGAGAACACAAGTAGGCAGAGCTCGATCCCAGGACCCTGGGATCATGACTTGAGCCGAAGGCAGCCGCTTAACCGACTGAGCCACCCAGGCGCCCCTGACATCAACTGCTTTCAATGGCATAGTCTTACTATTTAAAAAAAAAAAAAAAAGGAGGAGGGTCCTCATGACATTGCTGATAAATGATCTGAAAGATACTTAAGAGAAGGGCACCCTTCCAAGCTGCCTGCAGAGCAGTGTCCTTTGTCTAGTGCCAAGCCAGAGCTAGGACCACTCTCCTGAGCAGGTTCCTTGTCCTGACCTGCCTCCTGGCTCGAGGCAGCACTGGGTGGTACCCACGTGGCGCTCGGCCTCCGGGGCCATGTGTAAGCCCACTGACTCCTCTGCCTCCAATGGCATGGCCTGTTCTCCTTCCACAGAGGCCTGGCCCTGGGACAACCTCGCTCTTGTGTACCTGAGTTCACCCCACCCTCCTCCTAAGTCACAGCTCAAAGTTCATCTCCTCCAGAAGAGAAGCTTCCTCTAATAAATGCCAATCATTCCACAAGCTTTGGACTAACCTAAATCCACCCTTCTTCCTCAAGGCATCTTTGTAATCACTGTGCTTATCTGGATGTGTTCTCAAGAGCAGACCTACTGCTCTCGGCCATTGCAACACCTGGAGGGCAAGGACTCTGAATCATCATGACTCCTGGCCTTGAGAATGGACCGTACACCCAAATGTCTGTCTGTCTGTTCAATAAATACTCCCCAAAGGACCAACTCCAAGACAACAGAGGTCTTCCACTGCTCTTCTGAGAAAGAACATCACTTATTAATAGAACGTGGACACAGAGAGGATCCTTGAAGATTATCTAGCCCAATCTGCTTTAATGAGCCCTGCCTTACAGGTAAGAAAACTGGTGCAATCTTAGGCCTAGCTCCCCGGTTCCTGCTCCTGGGATACCCCCAAGACGTCCTGGAGCTGAGTCACCAGGGTGACACAACCTGCCTTTGCTTCTTCACTGCTCTTGTTTTCTTACTTCGTTATTTCTTTAATCAATAAATGTTTCTCCTGGGCATACCACCATGCTGGACATCATCAGCACTAGGGGTAGTGAAGAGACTGGGGCTAAGAAAAAGAAACACATACTCACCATCTCTACTGCTTTCAGGCCACTTCTCAGGGTACTTATTTCTTTGTCTAGCTCAGTCATGCTGTTGTAAATAGTAACATTTTAGTAACCAACATGTGACTTAAATGTATTAAATAGATGATGGGTTTACATATCTCCTGCTTGGAAGTCCACACTAGTTTATTTTAAATGTTTAAAATTCCCTTCCATGCTCCGATCTCACAGAAAGATAACATTTTAAATTTAGGGAATTTAGATATGGAATTATGGTTTCTGTTTCCCACAGCCAGCAGGTATATTTTATAGATTAAAAATAGCAAAATAGAAATGTCTCCCTTCTGTACAAAAATACTTCAGGTTTCAATCTCACGAAAATCTGACTTAAGCAAATTATTATACGTGGAAATAAGTTTTTTGCAATTCACGGCTCCCTTCGAACAAGTAAAAGAAACTCTTATCCACAATCATGCTCATATTGTACTCTTCATAATAACTGCATTGCTCTTCACTGAAGCTCTGGTCATGTGAATATTATAAGGTGATGGCTTAAATTTATTTTTATTTTAAAGGATCTATTTTTAAGTAATCTCTACACCCAACATGGGGCTTAAACTCAACCCCAAGATCAAGAGTGGCATGCTCTATTGCCTGAGCCGGCGGATACCCTGGTGATGGCTTAAATTTCAATCAACAATGATATTTCTTAAAGTTGTACTAACTAGATTTCACTGTCTTTTTGTATAGAGAAAGTTTCCTGGGCTTCTCCTATAAAACTTTCCATTTGATGGCTTTTAAACATCAGAGATTATTAACATAATCCTCTCAGATAATTCAGATGTAAACAAATTCACCAATATTTCAGTTAACTTTTTAATTTCATGTCTCACATTTCTATAAATTCTACAAAAAGAGGGAAAAATTAGCCTGCTCATCATACTTTTCAAAATCACTGCAAAAAGATGCAGTTTTAAATACACACATACACACACACACACACATTTTTAAAGGGCCAAAAGGAGGAGGGAAGAACAACAAGGAAAATTGCCTGCTCTTCAGTCTCTGAAAAGTGGTGTGAAGTCTTGTGGTGAAAGTTTGGCAAATTTCCATTTTATTTTTAGTTTCTTCATTTGCATAAAGACTGCTTTCCATTAAAAGGTTGCCTTGGTTTCTGAGAGTGTGTGCACATGTGAAAATTACTAGCAACGTCCTGACATTTAAGTTCTATTTGCTTAGCTTTGTATCCTCGTTGACTAAGGGTGCTCCTACCTGTATTTAATAGAACTACCTTTCAAAAGTACTAGGGAAACCACATTCCTTTCTTATACTCTTAATAACTCAGAAAATTAGGTTTTCTGGAAGTTAAAAATTACATGCAGGAGTAGTCCAAAAGAGCTAGAAAACATATATATTCAAAACCATGTAACATATTTCAGTGACTTGGATAGGATTCAAACTTTACTTCATATGCTGTTCAGGGGAAAGCAAACAGAAGGACCCTCTTCATGCAATGCCAGCTAACTACCTCAATCGCTAAAGCACAGTTCAAGTGATTTTAAAAAAACTAAAACAATCCCTGTAAGTACTTACTTTACTTTTGCTGCTTGAGGAATGTCCCGCAGTTCTTCATTTAGATTGAGGACCTTGGGGTATTTATTTTCCACAATAGTTATGAGATAGTGCAAAAGTGTGATGTTCCTACAATTAAAAAACGGAAAAAGTATTAAACATGGTTAATATCTGTATATGATATGTATATTCAAGTGGCTGAACCTGCAAGAATGCTATATTCCTGCATTCACTTCGAAATTTGGAGATTCCTCCAAGGCAGGGATTCTCAAGAGAAGGGAATAGGGGATAGCCTACATGAGATTTACGTAACCATATGACAAAAGGAAGCATGTATCTTCAAAAGCAAAGGGGTCAAGATTTACTACTTTGCCTCATAACAAGCATCCTTCAAAATCTGGATGATGGAAATGAAGTGGAACCCCTGCCAGTGGGGACATACCTACCAAAGACAAGGTGTGCCCTGAGGCTCACAATAAGGATGGGGGGGGGGGGATGGGGACAGAGGGATGCTTAATTCACTAAAAAGGACAGCTATTTTTCACATCTAAAAGTACAGGGCAGCGACTCACTGATAAGAATTTATTGATAATTCTCATTTAAGCTTTTTCAACTCTGTGATAACTTTTCCCCCTCTGACTCATTTATTTTGCTAGCTTTCGTCCCCTCGGACTCATCTGTTTTGTGGTTGTAGCAAAGGGTGGTCAAAAAGTTAGGAGGTCCCCTGCTGTAGGGCTGGGCCTGGAAGTGGGCCAGGACTGTGCCATCATGACTATGACATCCTTGCAGCCAAGAATCCACTTCCTAATTTTAGCAACACTTCAGCTCCTAACTGTATAACCCAGCTCCCTCTTTGGTGGTGACAGAACTGAACCCTGACTGACCTGGTCTGAAAAAGTGGATGCCTGATAACACCGTCTGTTAGGCCAAGCTGTGGTAGTCCGGTCCCGTTGTCCCTGACTCCAGGGCACATTACAGTCACCTGGATCCCAGATGCCTGGGCCAACCCGAGATTCATTTCATTGGAATGGGGGTGGGGCTAGGCACGAGCATTTTTAAAAACTCCCCAGTAATTCTAAGAGCCAGGATCAAGAACCACTAGTCTACTGAAAGTTACCATAATCAAGAGGACGTAAATGTATTTCTTTAAAGACATGTTCATAATTTTTAGGCAGTTTGCTAATTTACGAGGCTAAGTCATAACAGCCGCACCCACCCCCAACTAAAGTGAAGCAGAGTTGTCAAATAATTTCCTTTCCCATAATAATGAAATGGTTTTCATTTCTGGTTGCCCCTGCATCTTCACAGAAGTCAATGTGATCCCATTCTCTGAGTCAACTGGCCCACGTATGAAAAAATTTTTTCCTTCCTTTTTCTTGCTTTCAAGAAGTAATTAGAAAACAATAGCTCAGACAAGTAAAGCAGTGGCTAATGATTCTGGCCATTTACTTTGCAGATATTGAGCTGTTATCCTTCCATTCCAATGTTGCTGTTCACAGAATCTGAGTGTCGGCCCAAGTGCCTCCTGCAGAAGGGACCAAATCCCAGCTACCATTATGAGAAAGGGTAGAGCCATTTCTCTTCATTCTTTCACAGAGATGCTTTGTTGTTTAGAGAAACTAAATTTAATTAACCACATATACTTTTCTTAGTGTAGAAAGACTTCATACTAGATCAGAACATTCACCTTTATTTGCTATCCAAATAACACCTCATTTGACTGAATATAAATTCTTGAAGAATGAAAACAGCCACACATTTGATTATTTGCTGGTATGACCGGAAACAAGCATTTAAAGCAGAGTGAACGTACCCTGCACTGCTAACTGTTCCACTCTCATACGGTCTGATTAGATTCAACTGAGCATTTACTGAGTGACTGCTTATAAACAAGGCACTCTGCTAGGCACTATGGGTTTATAAGACACTGGTACTATTTCTAGGGACCAAATATTCACAGGAAGAAGAGGAAAAAGAGATCAGAAATGTTTTTAATTTATTATTTTGAAAAGGCTTGTGTATTAAATTCTATGGTAACTTCAATAAGCAGATAATTACATAGTAAGTGCCAGGTTATCAGTAATGAGGGGGCGGAGGGTATCAAGGGAAAGAGAGAGAAGGAAGAGGGGGAGAGGGGGTGAAAGAGAGGGAGGGGGATGGGGGAGGGAGAAGGAGAGAGAGGACTAACTGGTAGTGAGGGTCTCCTTCCTCTCCAACTTGCAAGCCGAGTTGAAGAGAACACCCTTCCTTAAAAAGGTGACTGCTCTTTAAATGCAGCTAAGATGTTGCAGCGATCTACTACAACTTCCGAATAATCCATCTGTTGTTGGAGTAGAGCTGAGGGCAGCAGAACAGGCATCAAATACCTGCAGAGGCCAAATACCTTGCTTGTGATCTTAGGCAAGCTAAATGAACCACTTGACACTGCCTCGGTTTCTTTATCTGACAACAGGCGATATAGCACTTTGGCCCGTGTATGCCACACAATCAAATGCAAAAGCGCTCTGGAAGGATCAAGCGCTTACATTAAAAATAAGGTGGTGATCATAGCTGTGCTTTGTTAATTTCTCTCTACATGAGGCAAAAAATAAGCTTTAGCCCTACAACTTGACACACGGCTTATTTCTTATGGGATGGATTCAGGGTTGCCATAATGCTATGCGTCACTAATTTTATAGAAAATATAGAGTAAAAAGCCTTACTAGTGAGGGAAAATTAGGGTGAACAGCCCATATTTCTAAAAAGAATTTGGATGCAGGGAAATTCACCTTAGAAACAATTATGCAAGTGGCTTTGAAGTCAGTAAGAACCTTAGCGAAACAGAGCTTCCTGGGAAACTAGTGTTGTTACGCCTAATGATCCTACCTGTTAATGACACCAGAGCATTTTTCACCTCTCGGTGTTTCTAACAAGAATCCATTCACCTAAAACACACTTTCTAGGAAACATTTTGAGGAGTCTTGGAAGGAGCAGCTTAATACCAACAGCCAAAATGCATTTATACCTCATAATTTTTTATAGCTGCTAGCTTCAGTGCATAAAGGAAGGAAGGCATATCCTAAAACCCCAACAAGCTTCACATTCTCTCATCAGCTGTCAGTTTTTTTTTTTCTTTTCCCTGGAACAGAGTTCTCTGTGGAGGGGTCATGACTGGGAGAGGTCATGAAGAGACCAGTAGCATGCGGGTCACATTCTGTCTCTTGATCGGGGCACTAGTTATATAGAGGTTCAGATTGTGAAAATTCATCCAGCTGTACATTTCTGACTAGTGGACTTGTCCTTAGTGTATTACACTATAATACAAAGTTTATCCAAGAAAACCCAAAAACTTAAGACTAGATGCTATCCCTGGGGACTGAAAATGGATGAAGGATAATTGGTCCGATGGGAATTTAGGGTTATTTGTGATTAGGAGAGAAGAGAGAAGTCAGTGCTGGAGAGGGAAAGAACATGAGTGAGAGACAAGCAAACCAGGGGCTGCAGTATCAGGGAGGCCCAGGAGGCCCAGAGGGGTCTGACTTCAGCTCCTGGATCCTCCAAGTGTTGGAAGATACCGTACTTACTTGTCAATACTAGATTTTGTGTCAGCAATCTTGTTTAGGCTGGAGATCTTGAATCCATATGCATTGCCCCTTTGGCCTTTATTCATGTAATTTCCAAATGCCAAAACCACTTCCAGCAACTGCTTCAGGGCGCGGCTCCGAAACACCTCTTCTGAGCCAGAACGAATTGCTTCAAAATAAAGCACACACAAACACAACTACTACAACCAAGACTCTTCAGTGATACCCATCCTAAATCCACACACCTGAGAGCAGATATTGAAGATGTAAGACTGGGTCATTGGACTACCAGGGAGCACTTACAAAACACCTAATCCAGAAGCAGAGAGCGAGGGGACAGGGCTCTAGAGCCAGCTGACCCACAGGTAGCTGCACAATCCTATCCTTTCTTAGTCCTTTTCTTGGCTGATTCATCAACCATAAGCAGTTAAGAACACACAGAAAGTGACTGCATTTCCCACATTCCTGTGCAAACACTTTCTTGCCCAGTGTAAGTCAGATCAACAGGATTATTGATCAAATCTATTGACAAAAAAACCTGGCCAAATGTGTTTCATGTTACAGCTTGTTGTTGTCATCAGGGATTGGGGCTTGAGCACAGTCCTGAGTCCAGTTTGCACTCTGTGGCTGTGCTCTTCAGCTGCCCATGTTTCAAACACTTAAAAATTTAATAGCCTTAAATCTTCCCCGAGAAATATCTAGTAAAGCACCACTGTGATAAAGCTAGTTATAGATTTAACGCTAGTAACAGTCAAATATATTTCTCACCAACTCCCAGGAAGTTAAAAGCCCACTTCTACAGAGGAGCCCAGGAGATGTGCTGTGAGCTCCAGAACCCAGGCTAGACCAGAGGGCCAAGTGTGGACCTTAAGTAATTACCCATCAGCATACCAAAAGATTTTAAGCAAAAAAAAATCACCCAACAGATCCTGTTTACTATCTGCACTTGGATTGTATTTGCAAATGGGCACTTATGATGAACATCATTTTCAATCTGGAGGCCTGACTTTACCTTCTACTTTAGGTTTCACTTCTGCCACACGCTCTGCAAACTTCTTTTTGAAGTACAGTGATTGTAGTCTTTGCTGATAATGATTAATTCTGTAAGAGCAAGCATGTATTGATGAACATTTATTTACTTAAGATGTCTATGTTCATTCAATGGATATGGAGGTACCTTAGAGCATGCCCCCCCAAAACACACACACACACACACACACACACACACACACACACACACCCCTCACCCTCTCCTGGACAGGAGCACAGGAAATGAGGCCACTTTGTCTGGAGAGCCCATTTCCCTTCGACCAACAGCGGGTATTTGGGCAATGGCAGCTGGATCCTTAGCTCTAAACAGATCAGGCAACTGCTAAAAGAAAAGGAAAGTTGCCTCCTCCCCTCCTCAGAGTCCCAGGAGCTCTTGTGAACAGAGGAGATAAAAAGGAATGAAAATATAAAGCCTCTCCCCATACTGCTGCAAATAAGGGGCTGTTTCCTAAGTTTCTCCCATGCTTAACTTTCGAGAGTCTGCCTTTGGCAAAGCTGCAGAGTAAAACTTGTCTCCATCATTCTCTCCTCATATCATACACTCCCCACTCATGTCCCCAAACCATCCTCTTTCTTTACAACTAGCTCCCTATCTGCTTTCCTCAGGGCTGGCAGGCTCTGCCTTCCAAGACAGCAACCAGTGACCAGAGATAACAGGATGCAAACTGGCCCCTGGTCACACTAAGTTGCTGCTGCTGAAAGGATGAGGGCAGGCATTCTTGCCAAGGCCTTCTGAAATCAAATCACTGCCTTATCTGCTCTCTATTGGAAACTTCAGTCCAGTAGCCCCATATAATCAAACAGACCTGGGTTTGCAGCCCAGGTTCTCCTCTTGTTAGGTGACCTTCAATAGGTAACTAAACTCCTCCATTAGATGGAAGAGAATACCTCCCTACCCAACAGCCCTCCTGGCGGGGCTGATGGGAAGATCAAGGGGGAGGATGCATGCACAGATCTAGACAACTACAAAATGACAGCAGGTGATCGTCTATTTATCTACACACAGGCTTGCTGGGCACACCTGTCAAAATTCCAAAACCAGCCTTTGTCCTAGAGTAGTATATAAAATGGCAAGTTGAGATGGAACAACAACAAAAGTAAGTCTGGATATGACAGAAATGTAGAGTGAGAGACACTTTCCTCTTGGCTACACTCGTAGGCCTTTGGTACTCGGGGGAAGAGCTCTGCCCTGGGGTTGAAGGACAGTCTCAGGACCACTGGTCCTTGTCTAATGCAGAATCAATTTTCCAGGCCTGGGATGGCAAATAGACTCAGCTCACATGCCAAAGAAAATTATGAAGCAGTGGCTGCCTCTGGGTTTTCTGGAGAAGGGTTGAGAATGCTTGCCAAGGCTCTGTGGGAAGTGTGCCATGATTGATTAGAGATGTCTGCATGTGTCATGATTTGACATCCAGACCCTAGCTGTTCATGTATGTGGGCTTCAGGTCGACACTGCTGAGTCTGTCCATTTTTTGAGATGCTGAGGTACAGAGAGGAGTGAGATACAATCCCATAGCAGTCAAAGTGGTGGGGAGAATGACACCATCTGGAACCAGGAAAAGTTATGAGTTGTTTAGGTCCAGAACCAGAGGTAATTATGAAGAAATGCTAACACTGGCTCACCCATGGGCAAGAACTCACATAAACAAATTCCACACAACTCAGACTTAAGAAGATTCTGTAATTTAAAAAGGGTTTAAGTTAACCCAAGTTACTGGCCCAAATAATTCAAACAGAATCGGAAGTTTAACTTCCCAAGAAAGGTAAGGGGCATGTTCACATTTTATGCATTTTCAAACTTACCGGCTCATTTCAAAAAGGAATCTATCAGCCTTGGCCATCCGATCCAGTTCATGTTTATGTTCCTCCAACAGGTCAATGTCACTTTTTTCGGGAACAAATTTCAAGAGCTAAAAAGTACACACAAATATTAAAACTGAGGTTTATAACTAAATTCTTGCAGTAATTTTTCACTCTTTCAGTTAATTTGCCCCAAAGATGAGATTGTAACTTTGTTTAATTTATAAACTCTGCTACAGGTCATTGTTAAGATATAATACAAATGACTAATCTTTCCAGTTAGGTGGTCTAAAGGTACCAACTTCCAGTTACAACTAAGTTCTAGGGATGTAATGTACAGCATGAGGGATGTAACACTGTTATATAATGTACAGGAACGTTGTTAAGAAGGTCAATTCTAAGAATTGTCATCACAAGGAAGAATTTTTTTTTCCTTTTTTATTGTATCTATAGGACATGACAGATGGTACTTACTAAAATTATTGCAATATCATTTCACATTTGTAAATCAAACTACTATGCTGTATGCTTTAAATTTATAGTGATGTTGTCAGTAATATTCAATGAAACTGGGGGAAAAATCTTTTCTTTTTTACTTACAAGTAGTTAAACTGGTATAAGATTCATTCCTGGCACCTTTCTATTCTATGTTGTCTCTCATATCAGATTGTGGAAGTTCTTTACCCGGATCCATTTTGCATAGACCATTAGAGGGATTTGGGAGATTCAACACTCTCATTAGAAGATGATGCAAATGAGGTCCAGAGAGACAAAGCCGCTTACCCAGGATTACAAAGAAAGTTCATGTAATCGTCAGAAATAGAACTTAGGTCTCCTGACTCCCAGCTCAATGCTTTTTTCTATTACATCATGCTGGAATGACTAATTCTATGTGTATTTTCCATTCAACTTGTTTATTTCTCTGCTTATCTAATTCCATCTCATTTTTTTGCTCCATGTCGAGATGGATGAGAAGAACACAGTAGGATTTAGTTTTTGATTCTGTATTTTATTTTGGCGGAAGAAATGAGCATGGATTGTGGGAGAAATAGCAATAATATTTAAAGTTGAAAAAGTACTCTGTGTCTGATTTCCTTTACAGTCACAAATATGTGTATATGTACCCACAGCCTTGTCCATGTGTGCTATTTTCTGGCAGATGCCCTTGGATATACACATTTTTTAATGACACTGACACTCTGGACCCCAAGATCCTCCCCAAAACTTGAAGCTGGCATTTGGATGGTTCATTTAGTAGGTTTCCAAAGTCTGTTGGATTTAACGAAGGGACCTCAGAAAAGGCAATCAGTCTGGGTGCCATCAGCAGGGAAAGAGACTTAGAACTACAGGTGAATGGTGTGCAGTTGAAAATATATTCGAGGCAGAGTACACAGCATGTGCCAGGGTCTGGAGTGGGCGGCACAGCATTTATGCAAGTAGAACAGCTATAATGGCAGGGGGGAGGGCAGCAGTGGTCAAGGTCAGGGAGTAGCAAGGACCTTATAAGAAGTTCAGTCTTTACTTTGAGGGTTCTGTGATATAACTTGAAGTCTTAGGTAGGGGAACGAATTAACATTTTAAAAAGACCACCACGCTCACAGGATGGAGAAAGAATTAGAAAAGATCAAAAGTATTAGGGAGTTGTGATTAGACTGTTGGTACAATAATCCAGGTGAGAGAGGACAGTGGCCTGGATTGGGTAGTGGGTAGATTCTAGAGCTATTTAGGGAATTGAACAGAACTGGCCTGACTTGTTGATGGATGATGGATTATGGTAGAGGGTCAAAAGGATAAGGTCCAGGCTTCTGGCTTAGGCAACAATGTATACAGAGCATAACAGGAAACCCAGGAAGAAATGGCTGGAGGAGAGTGGGTGGGGAGAAAGTGAGTTCAGTGTTTGAAATACTGGCAAGAGAACCAAGTAGTGATTCCTAGTCGGCAGGTGGACAAATGGGTCTGACATCCTAAAGAGACCTGTTTGGAAGACAAAGCATCGATACTGGCTGTAACATGCAAGGATGTGAGTGAGGTAACCAGGGGAACCATCAAGAGAAACAAAGCAGGGCTGGAAAGAAGTCAGTGTTTGAGGAATGAGGACAAGAGGAGGAACCTTCAGAGGACACAATGAAATGCCAAAGAAACACATTTCACCATGGGGCAAGTGGCCATTGGTGTCACGTACCAGTAGCAAATCAAGGAAGATAAGGACTGCAAAGAGCCCCCTAGCTTTGGCAACAAGGAGGTGGCGAGTCCTTAGTGAGAACAGCTTTAGGGAGGTGAGGAAAAGTGAACAGGAGGTGAGTGTGGACAAGCTTTCAAGAACTTTGCTTGTATCAAAAAAGAGAGAGGACAGTAGCTAGATGGGCATGTGTGGTATTAAAAGGTGTTTTGTGAAAGGTTGAGACTCGAACAAGTTAAGAGTCAAGAGGAAAAGGTGTAGGATCGAGGAGAGGGGGATAGGGTGCTCTGATCTGGCTGGGTCCCTGAGCAGAAGGAAGGGCTGGGCCAGAGCAGAGGCCAGAGACACCCCCTCTTTCCTGATGGGATGTAATGGATGTGGATGCCAGTGGACTCGCTGGTCTGGTGGCCTGATAGATTCTAGGCATTTATGTTCCTGTGTTCAAAAGGTGCCAGTGGACAGGACAAATATCTTTTTGCTCTTCCTCAGTTCAAGGAGGAAGGGAGGAAGGTAGTAAGGCAAGGGGAAGGGAGAAGGAAGAGAGAGAAAAAGACTTGTTTTCTCCCCTTGTTTTTATCTACTGTGCAAGGAAATTCAGTTCTAGTCTGAGGGACTCCCCCTACCCCCAAGACACACACAATGGTTTGTGTGTGCTAAGCCCATAGGCCCCTGTTCACGATAACACAATCACTAGCTCTCTTTGGTTTAGGACACTGTGAGAGGCACATGCTAAGGGTTCAGTCCTTCCCAAAGCAGAGTCAAGTGATAGACTATGTATGGATAGTTTTAAAAGAGGAATGAAGAGTTAGACAAACACCTGGGAATGAGGAGAAAGGTATGCATTCCAAGAAAGAGGAGGGTATCAATCTCGTCTGAGTTCTGAGCTCAGCAGCTAAAAGCAGGAGAGGAGGGAATGATGTGGTTCAAATGCAAATCATAACTAGGAGTAAAGAGATGCTAGCTTCAAGTTTGTCTGGGAGAAGTACTGTGTGAAGGAAGAGGAAGCAGAGGAAGAAGAGTAGAATAAGGAGGAAAAGAAAGAGTATGGTAGATGACCAGAAAGTAAGACACACAGAATTATCAGGGTAGACCAGGTCAAAAGTTTCCCACTTGCCCAGATTCTGCTTCAGTAGATTGATTTTCTTACTTGTATTTATTTGAAGTACATTCTCTTTGCACTGTAAGCCCTTTTGGCAAGATCTTGAAATCCCTTCCCTCAAGGAGGAATTTTGCTGGATGCGATTTCACAGTAAACAGATCTTGTGGAATTTTAAACATATGACCTTGTCAACAGGGGCTGAAGGCCTAAGGACCAAAGCAGCTTTCTGCATAGTTCCTCCCTCCCGTGTGAGCAGCTTCTGATGCAGGCAACCAGAGTGCAGGGCCAGCTGGGGGCTGGAGAGGGGCATAGGGGGTCTGGGCCACACTTCCGGGCAGAGACCCTTGTTAGGACTAGTTGCAGACGGAGAGGGAAGGATATGCAGAGAAGCTGTAAAATGCTCTAAAAAATTAATCTTCAGTTTAGGAATTATTTTTAAACTATTTGTACACAAAGTATCCTAACAGGCTTGGATACAGTGTCATGGACTATTGGTAACGAAGTCAAACCTCAGAAAGGACAGCATGACAACTTATTCCATCGCTAAGTGTGAGGGTTTCCCCCAGGACGACTGCAGCTGCAGGTTTTAGGTGGGGCAGGTGCACTGGGGTGTGGTGACACCGCACACATCACTCCTCCCTTCTCTGTCAGAGGCCTTTTCGGACAGCAGTGAGAACACTATGGAAAATGCATAAGCAGCCATGCCACCCAAGATCACAGTTATCAACACAAAACAGCCTCCTCCTCTGCTTCTGGGAGCTGAGCATGCCTACAGCTGAGACCTCAAGTTCAGCCTGGCATCATGATCTCTGGGGTCCACAGTCAGCCTTCAGTGGACTTGGCACTAACAGATGTGGACCTCTAAACCAAAATCATGCAAAATAGGATTTTGTACCAAGGACAATGAGACAAGCAGACAGAACAGTCTCAGAAAGTGGAGATGATCTCCACAAAGCACAGAAAAACTTAGGGCCAGACCGAGAGACAGGTAATAATCCCTGAACCAACTGCTAGTTCAACAACATTGTCATTTAGGGGACAACTGAACAAAGCTGCTGAGAAACACATAACAGAGTTGGAACAGCTCCACAGAACGTGTTACAGGAATACTGCATGAAGAGAGGCTAGGTCGCTCCATTCAGCTTGTCTGGCCATGGTTAATATGAATTATTTTGATGCAGATGATAGAGCTAGGGGGTTTAACAGTAACTCCTGTGGTGTAGGAATGGTGAGTCACAGCCAAGACACAAACTATATTAAGGATTCAGTAATGAATCAGTTTATGTAGTAGTCTGTGATCTCATAGTGCTAGTGAGATGCTCCATATTCCTGTCCAACAGACTTCCCTAAAGCTAATAGATTGTGCATGACCTATGAAGGCTTAATAACTTAATTGCAGTACGAGGGACCGAATCTGGCATTGTGGGTCCCAGGCATCTGACAAACTTGTGACCTTCTTTTTCACCCAACATTTTGAGGAGCAACAAGAGAATAAAGTCTCTTAAGACAGCCACATTCAACTTTGGTTCAGAGATGAGGAAATTATCCACCAGCAACAACCAGATTTTCTCAATATCCCACTCCCTGCTGAAAGCCAGTTGTCACTTATGCTCTGAGATATGTCTGGCAGCTCACCTGTTCCAACATGTCCTTGGGCAGATCTTCCTGCTCGTCCATTGTTAGAATTGCCCGTTTGATTTCATCATTGGACAGTTTCAACCTGGATAAAGAATATTTTATTTTGTTGTTAACAATATTGGCTTGAGTATTAAAATTTAATGCAAGATAATTCCTTCTGCTACTTCAGCTGCTGATTTTCAAGAACTGTTTTTCTCAAAATCTCTTAAGGAAAGCTTATTTCCTGACAATATCACACCTAAAAATAGTATTTTTAAATTGCTTTAACATTCTTTCAGGACTCCGTAATGCTCTGCTGACACAGAGAACAAAGCTGTTATGTTCTATTGTTTAGTTTCCTTAAGTAAGGGGTTGGAGGATGAGAAACAGGGAAAACACCGATACACACTGATTTCTTTAATATATAGTATCCATGAATTGTAGATGACCGAGAAAAACTAAATTCTTTTTTTTTAAGATTTTTAAGATTTATTTATTTATTTGAGAGAGAGAGAGAGAGTACACACGCAAGCAGAGGTACAGAGGGAGAGGGAGAGAGAATTTCAAGCAGGTTCCACGTCCAGCGCAGAGCCTGATCTCACAACCCTGAGATCATGACCAGAGCCAAAATTAAGAGTTGGATGCTTAACCGACTGAGCCACCCAGTGCCCCAAAAAACTAAATTCTGAACTTGATTATTCATTAGGAGTGCTTAAAGTTTGCTTTCAGATAGGTGGAAATCTGTTATCATTAAAAAGTTCAATAGTTAATATGCAGGCTAAAATGCATAAGGCACTTCATGAGGAGTTTTCACATACATAATTTCATTAGAGGTTTAAAATAACTGTGATGCTCATTTTTTTTTTTTAATGGAAGGAGAAACTGAGGCTCAGAATGGCTAACTGATTTGCCCAAGGTCAAACATATGGAAAGTGGCAGTATCTAACACAAACGCGAAACTCTTTTTTTTTTTTTAAGATTTTACTTATTTATTTGACAGAGAGAGACAGAGAGAGGGGAAACACAAGCAGGGGGAGTGGGAGAGGGAGAAGCAGGGTTCCCCGCGGAGCAGGGAGCCTGATGTGGGACTCGATCCCAGGACCCTGGGATCATGACCTGAGCCGAAGGCAGACGCTTAATGACTGAGCCACCCAGGTGCCCCAAACACGAAACTCTTGATTCCTAACCCCAAATTCCTTTTACAAATCTGCTTATCTAGTTAATATCTTTTAGGGAAGAATTTATGCAAAACCACAAATCTGTTTTCTGTTTACCATAAATTTATATGATTTACTAATTTAAATAAGGATTTATGTCTTGTTTGTGTCAGCAAAACAAAGTGTGGGCTATAAAGAGGCATGAAATTAAAACATACTTGTAAAAATGTGTTTTTATTAGACACAACCAATAGTCTTAACCAGGGGGAAAAGTCTTAATCAGATTATTAGCTAGAACAACAGAGTCACTCTTTTGTTCTATTTGTAAGCATTAGATCCAGACTTACTTAAAAAAACAAAAAAACAAAACTTACTTCCTTATTAAACTACCACTAAAGTGGCATATTAACATTATTTGGTCTGTTCTAGTCTATGATCTTCAAGAAAAAAAATCACATTTAGGCCTAGAGATAAAGACATAAACACACAAACACAGAGCAAGCCTTCACGGGGAACATTTGAAGGCGGGGGCTTTGGCATCAGGCTGGGCCCCAGTCCTGGCTGACAATGCCGGGCCAGTGTGACCTTGATGAAGGTTTTCTTAAGCCTAGTTTTCTCATCTACAGAATGAAATACTGCATGTAAAGCATTCAGCACCCTGCCTGGCCATGGATAAGGCTCACTAAACTAGAGGTATTACTCTACCGGGGACATGCCGCAGCAGGACTTTCGTAATGTAACCTACACATTCACAGGCAATTACGTGATCGTTACACCGTGCTTAGTAGGGTTATCACGAACACTTCCCAAAGCACTCTCACACCCATCATTTCACCAGTTTCCTCTCTGTACACAACATCGATTAGGCCCAGGAGTATTAACCAAGAATTAGAAGACAGGGTTCTTATTTTAAAGGTGGTTATAGTGTTTGGGAGAATCAAATAATAAGCTGAAACACTTGTGTTCTCACAGATAAACGAGAGGGCAGCCTGAGTGCAGGGGTGGACACAAAGGTCACAGAAAGAGGAAAGAACCCTGGAGTAGAGTGGGACGATGCACACCCCGCTCTGGACAACTCTGGCTTGTCCCTTTCTCTAGATTTTGACATGATCTTGTTTAAACCAGCCATCTTGCTAGTTACACTGAATGCTCTTTCATATGCCAATAAGTAGGAAAGGGAAGAGACAAATTCGTGAATCTTATCGTACTAGTAGCATTCTCTTTTATCTCATGTTTTCAAATCCAAACATAGCATCTGGCAATATGTGAAATTGCCCTTTTTTTTTTTAGGGAGAGAGAGAATGTGCGTTGATCAATACAGGGCTAGATCTCACGACTGTGGGATCAAGAGTCTTTTTTTTTTTTTTAAAGATTTTATTTATTTGAGAGAGAGAATGAGATAGAGCATGAGAGGGGAGATGGTCAAAGGGAGAAGCAGACCCCCCGCCGAGCAGGGAGCCCGACGCGGGACTCGATCCCGGGACGCCGGGATCATGACCTGAGCGGAAGGCAGTCGCTTAACCGACTGAGCCACCCAGGCGCCCGAGATCAAGAGTCTTAAGAGGCGTAACTGACTGAGCCACCCAGGTGCCCTAAAATTGCCCATGTTCTAAAATGAGACCCATTCTATCACCTAGTCGGAGGTGTGGTGCCATCCTAATTCCCTGGACCTGCACAGACTTCAGACTATTTTAGTCATTCTTGGGACAATCATCACCCCGCAAACATTTTCACCAGAACATCATGATGGAAAACCCCCCAAGTTAACGGGAACAATTTAGCCGAACTGGCATGGGTAAGACATATGATAGAATAAAAACCGTATCCTGGCTTCACTGAACAGGCTCTGGGTAGCCCTCAATTCCAGGACACGGAAGGCTTTGAGGCAGTTAGAGCAACTACCGCAGTTCAGCCATGCAAGGCCAAGGAAGAGGAACATTAAGGAAGGTTGAAACTGCCACTAATGAAAACCAACTGGCTGTGGAAACATCCAGAGTCGTCCTGAGAAAAGCTCCACTTGTCAGAAAAAAATAAATTAGTTCCGTGTCCTTTTCACACTGAGCCGAAGAAACTACTTTACGTGTGGTTCTGCTGAGTCCTTCTGTTTTGCATTTAAAAGGAGTTGAAAATCGGAGTGAGAACAATACTCGAAGTATCAGATTTGCATTTCATTAGCTCCCCATATGGAGTGCAGAAATTCTTGCTTTTGAAATTGTATATATTTATGCTTCTCAACCCCCAGAGGCTGTCTGGACTACACACTGGCTCTAATTCATAACAATTTTGGTTTCTCTTTATGTGTCCCACAAAGAGACTCGGGACTTTAATGGATAGTACTTAAGAAAATCTACCTGTCAACATACTGCTTTGCATGTGGCCTGTTGGAGCAGACAAAGAAACTGTACCCCCGGGGAAAGAGGAGAAGGGGACTCCGCCCTCTGGGATGGTTCTGTAGGTTGCCGGGTTCTTAATATCATCTGTCATCCACAGAATGAGTTGCTAATCTCTGTAATTTAAGGACTCTACCAATTCTAACGTTTTAATTGCTGTTAAAGCTTGGCAGGATGGCAACTTTTGAGACATCCACCTCAACTTTCTTTACAAGGCAGGAAACAAACCGGCCATTTAAAAACAGTATTTAAGTCTACCTTGCTCCACTCAGGTATTTCAAAAATTTGCCAAGAGAATTGGAACATTCAGGCATAATTAAAATAAGTTAGGGATGGATGGCTCGATCAGCCTTAGGTCTGCTTCGGTGGATGTAAGCCAAATCTCCCCACTTTAAAGTAGCTTTGTGTGGTTTACTGCACCCCGGCTGCCATGTTAAGTGAGCATCTGGAAAACAAGAACGACACCACACTTCATAAAAGTGTATTTTAGGTGGGTTCATTTTGCAGTATAAACCAGCTTCCACATTTCTTTTTTTTTGGGGGGGGGAAGGGAGAGGTCTGTTTTAGGGAATAAAGCAGAGTGAATTTTAAATTGCCACATGCCGGGGTGCCTGGGTGGCTCAGTTGGTTAAGCGACTGCCTTCGGCTCAGGTCATGATCCTGGAGTCCCGGGATCGAGTCCCGCATCGGGCTCCCTGCTTAGCGGGGGGTCTGCTTCTCCCTCTGACTCTCCCCCATCTCATGCTCGCTCTCTCATTCTCTCTCTCAAATAAATAAATAAATAAAATCTTAAAAAAAAAAATTGCCACATGCCGCCTGCCTATACCCAGTAAGTTGTTGCTCGCTCCGCCTGCAGCCTGAGGCAGGGGTTCTTAGTTTGAGGAACATCATGTCCATTCCACTCGCAAGTCTGTGACAGGCAGGGTCCCTCGTGGCCTGGAGCTTTTGTTTCAAACTCACACCTTCCAGGCAGTCTCTTCCTGGGAGCTGCAAGTGATCCTGGCCACTCAGGCGGCGAGTTCCATGTATAGGGCCCGCATGTCCCTCCCCCACTTTGCCTGTGGGACAGGAGGGGCTTCCTTCTGACTCCCTTCTCTGCTCTGGGCAGGGCTGTGGCAGGTGCTCTAACCAAAGGGTCCACTAACTTCTTCAGTGTGGGAGGTAAGGGCCAGCTTTTAGGGATAACCAAACGCTGCACACATATGTGCTCATTAAAATATTCCCCATGGAATACATCACAGGCTTATACTGTGGTAGAATATGGGGAGAACACGGTGTTGCTGGGAATTAAACTCCTCGTCAGCAAGGTAAGAAACAGACAGGGTCGCCAGTCTCGGGGAATGAAATACGTAGAAAAGAAGAAAGACAGTAAGTGTGGAAAGGAAGGAAATCTTGACATCCACTTGGAAACACTCCTATTCATTGTCCCCATGCACAACACCGGTGTCCAAGTCCTACTGAGGGTCGTGTCTCTTTCAATTCTGTCTCTCGTCAGGTCTCACCTGGACATAAGGGCCTCCTATCTAGTGGCTGCTCTCGCGGCCAGCTCTCGACCCCTTCCAACCTCTCCTGCAAAACCTAGAGAGCAGACTTCAGACCTTATTAAAACAACTTGCACCAATTCCTGATCCCATGGGATCACAGGCCACTGACTGAGCAGCGACCGCATGCGGGTCCCGGCAGCAACTGCTTCACACGCACCAGGTCTAACATTCCCACACCGAGAGCCCGCCGCAAGGCCAGTCCTCTGCCCATCTCCCTTCTACAGATGAGGAGGGCACGACTTGACCCTGGCTCAGCAATGCCCTCACCAAGGCACCAGGCATGGGTCCCGGGCTCTCTTGCTCAGTCTCATTCTTTATGACTGATGATCGCTACAATCGCAGGGCTCTCATCAGCTGTGCGCTGACCTGTCGGGTGCCTTGGCTTCTGTGGTGCCCCTCTTTGGAACTGCCTCCCCCCTCGCCCCCCCGCTCCCACCCTGTAACTGTTATCACTCTTTGAGGCCCCCTTTCTCTGGTGAGCTCCGTCAGTGTCCTTCTCACTTGGCTGAGCTCCTGGCTCCTTCTGGTCAGATCAGCCTAGGCCTGAGCTGTTCCCAAGCCACCGTGCCTGTCGTTTCTCTTCTCCAGTGAGCCATGAACTTTCAAAGTCACAGTCCACTCTGTGGCACCCTGCCTAGTGCCAGGAAAATAAATGCTCCCAAGTGGTAACTCTAAGAAAAAAGCATCGCACACACTTCCATAGATTTCTTTCTTCCTTCTAGCCCCTAGCTCCTTTTGTGTGTAGTAACGCATTGCCAACGAAGAGAGGGGAATGAAAGCAAGGTGAACTGCTGACTGGTTAAACAACTAAATATAACCCAAATTAAAACTAAATCTGCTTCGGGGTGCCTGGGTGGCTCAGTTGGTTGGGCGACTGCCTTCGGCTCAGGTCATGATCCTGGAGTCCCGGGATCGAGTCCCGCGTCGGGCTCCCTGCTCAGCGGGGGGTCTGCTTCTCCCTCTGACCCTCCCCCATCTCATGCTCTCTCTCTCTCATTCTCTCTCTCAAATAAATAAATAAAATCTTTAAAAAACAAACAAACAAACAAAAAAATGAAATCTGCTTTATTTCTATTACCTTTACCACATAGCATATTACAAGTCAGTTCTGTGCTTTCCTGACAGGAGTAAACCCATTGATCATGGAGCAGAAAAGCATGTAGGGCTGAATCCTCTGTGGGAAAGATGGTTTTAGAACCCGATCCGTAAGGTCTAATCGCTATAAGGTCAACTGGGACTTAAAATTACCTTGTTATGTACAATACACTTTTTAATTATGCTCATTATAGTAACACTCATTTGTTAAATTGGATTTTAATAGATAATTTAACAGATACAAGGCAATTTCTCAAAATTATCTTCCAGAGAGAGTTTAGATACACACAAGTTCTAAGTCACCTTAGGCTCTGACACTTCTGAGGTAACAAGGAAATTGGCACACTACAAATTGGAAATAATTCCTTCAATAATGAGATGGGAAATTTGCCAGAAAGAGTTGTAACCTTATCTATAACTAGTGTTAGTATTATTATCCTCACTGACATCTCATGCTGAGAATAATCTGTCTATGAGGAACTGGGTCACAGATTTTACTGCGACGAGCACTTAAGTACTATAGAAATTCAGAGTGATAGCTCCCTTTGTTAAGCTGTTTAAAAGTGTTCCTCTAGACTGCAAAAGCAGAAAATATAGGCAGAAATTCCAGGCTTTAGGGGGAAAAAAAAACTTTCCCCAAATTTTCATTTAATGTCACTATTAAGAATGTGACTTGTAAAAAGAAATTATAACAAAACGAACTGTACATACCATTGAAGATAAAAATAAGGAGACCTTCAGATTTTTCATTAGTATCTTCCTGAGCATGTGTTCAGGGAGAAAAACTGCGGCTAAGTAGAGGGCCTGGCCATTTACACAGCTTCCAGCCAGAGGCACAAATGAAATGCTAACCTGGGATGGGGCCCTGCATCAGGCTCCCTGCTCGGCGGGAAGCCTGCTTCTCCCTCTCCCACTCCCCCTGCTTGTATTCCCTCTCTTCGTTGTGTCTCTGTCAAATAAATAAAATCTTTAAAAAAAAAAAAAGAAATGCTAACAGGATGGTTCATGTTACCTTACTGGTTGTATTAAAACTCAGGGATCTCACTAAGCTTCAGTTTCTCTTTTACTAAAAGAAACACTTGCTCCCTAAAGTCATATATATCTGGCTAATAATCAAGCTCCATGCTGTAAACCAAGCAGCAGTGCTTTGTGTTAAAAGAAACTCACTGTAAGACCATCTAAAAAATAAAGACCGCCGGGGTGCCTGGGTGGCTCAGTCGGTTATGTCTGACTCTTGACTGCAGCTCAGGTCATGAACTCAGGGTCGTGAGATCGAGCCCCACGTCAGGCTCTGCGCTCAGCAGAGAGTCTGCTTGAGATTCTCTCTTTCCCTCTTCCTCTGCGCCTCCCCCTGCTTGCGCTCTCTGAATAAATAAAAAATAAAGACTGCCACCTTCCCTCTTTACTCTCCCTGAAAGCGAAGCCACCTTACACCAGCTTTAATACATATACAACATTCTTTCCAGAACGTGACCAATGCGACATATACTTAATGCCCCCAAATTCAGGATCTTCATTCACCTCATAAGCGTTAAGTATCTTTGCCTGACAGAAAAGTCCCTTCTAGAGAAAAGAAGAAATTAGATACAGAAAAGCTACTTGAAATGCCCAGGATGACCTGACACAGTGCCTGAAGCTACAAGCAGATTCCAGCCTCCCAAATTTCCTTTCTTCTTTTCAAGTTCCAAGGCCGTGATGGTTCGTTAATTATGAGAAAGATTTCTGAACAGGGCTGAAATGAATAAATTAGCATTTCACTGGGGTTTGAGATTTACGTATCTCTTTAGTCACAAAAATGTTCAAAAAGAGCATGAAATCAGAAACTTGAAGTATAAAAAGGTGACACAGAAAAGCAAAATGAAACAAAGAGCTGTCATCGTTGTTGCGGATTCTGGGACAGTGTTACTCAACAATCAAAATATCTCTAAAGCCAGGAAATATAAATAAAGGTAAAGTCCATTTTACAGGCTCTCTGGAAAATAAACAAAACACTGATTTGGGATGTTCTGCTCTTTAACTTCTGGAGTCTGTGGAAATTAAACCCTGAGAAAGGAAGCATCCAGCTCTGATGCATTCCACACAGGGAAAGTGAGGGCCACGAGTTCTCCTCACCTTAGACAGAAGAGAATCCAAAGAACGGAATCTCAGCAGAGTCTAGTTAAAAGAATAAGTACAAACATGTGGTTTGGAGCCACAGGAGAGGAAAGCTGGTCCTACCAGAAATGTTTATTCAACACCAACAATACCTCGACAGAAGGATGTTGCAATTCTGAGCTCTCCGACCATCAATCACTGAAAGTTCTTTGACTTTAAGTTTGGAACTCAGTGTGTCATCAATGGCATCTGCTTCTTTCTATAAAGAGCATGAAAGAAATCCATCAAAGTCAAACAGGGACATTCCAACTTCAGATACACACTTTTCCTTTGTATTTTGTTTACACACACACACACACACACACACACGCACACAGGCGAAGCGGAGATGGTGAGGGAGGGAGCACAGGGAAGTGGTGGAGTTGAAACGAAAGGCTAAAATCGAGTTGACAAAGGGAAATAGTAAGAAAAGCTGACCACCCACATTTGAAAAAGCAGTTTTGGAAGAACAAAGTGCATCTCTAAGTTGAAGATGCTAAGCGTGCATAAATTATCAGTGAGTGGTGCACTCCTTTTGTCTCCCAAATCCCTATGGATAGCAGACAGAAGAACTGTCACTATGAATCAAGCTCGGCTGAGGCTTGCCATTGCTAGTCCCGGCCATTTGCAGGGCCCATTCACTCCAGAACCATTTGCATCCTGACCACTCAAAAAGCTGAACAATAAAGCCTCCCAAACGTCCTCATGTGCAACAGGAAGCTCCCAAGCCTAGATGGTACCTTTCATCACCCTGGAGTCTGATGCATAACAGACAGGGGGCAGTTCAAGGCATTAGTTAAATTACTTGAATTAACAACAAAACACTACTTTGCATACTCTGCTGCTGCTGTACGAAAAGCTGTAAGCAATGATGGCCAGTAATAATTTATGGTGGAAGAGGCAAAAAAACCCAATTACTATTTGAGTAAACTGGGCATCAAGGTGAAAAATACAGACTAACTTGATAAATAGAAAGTTTAATTTTATTAGAGGTCAGAATCAATTTTAAAAATGGATCGTGGCATTTTTAAAATGTAAGAAAACCAAAGAGCTCTGGAACTGTGTAACAGTTTAGTTAAACAAAGACAATATGGAGTTTATAGTAAGAGGCACCATGTGATCAAACTTCAACTGTCTCCTGTCAGGCTGAGATTTCAGGCAGACCTCTAAATATCAGTTAAGGATTGAAACCCAATGCGGAATTACCTAAGCCCTGCGTTATACTATCTGAAAAAAAATTGGATAACCAAGACATTCTGAGCTTATAGTGAGCCAAGAAGTTATAGTAAGCAAGGTTTAGGTGGTTGCTTACTTACCTGCTTGGAGTTACTGTTCACAAAGAAATCCTACAGCCATGGCAGAGGCATGGAAAAGGCAAATCAGACACATGCAGTTCAGAAATCACAGCAACAAGTGGGAGAAAGTCAAAGCAGTCAAGGAAATCAGTGACACAGGGTAAGAGAGGATTTATGCCCCAAGGACCAGCAATGAGAGTTGATGAAGATGGGGGAGGCTGGCTGAAGATACAATGAAGAGCATGGAACTAAGCATTCTGGGGAAAGAGAGAAAACATGTGCTGTACACAATTTTCAATGGGGGCAAATCAAATTCAAAGAAGAAAGGACTTAGGATACTCCAGAAAGACCCAAGCTGGGAAAGGAACAAATTCTCTTTGAAAGAGAAATGGGCTCCATTTATTCAACATGATGATTTTCACTTGAAGCAGAAAATATCCATCAATTCCACCAACTTGGGGAAACTTCTCCCATGGTCATGTCTACTAGCAAAATATGCTTTTTTTTGTTTTGGGTTGAAATAATCTCCTGTCTTCTTGTGCCATAAGGAAGGATTAAGAAAATACACCAGACAAATTCAACAATATACGTCAGTAATATTAACCCTCAATATCCCAAGAGTCCAAACAATGCCTGGTGGCACTGGGGGTAGGTATGAGGAAAAAGACCGTGCAATTAAGAGACAGTAAGTGATCATGTGGTGTGCAGCCCCTTCGTGGCCCTGTCCCAGCTGCCTCAGGGTTGTTCAAGCACACGAGGTCAGTAGCCTCCTCCTGAAATGCTCCAGACAAGACTTGGAGCGAAGAAGAGCAAGAGGAAGAAGTAACTGACACATTGAGAGAAAGTTAACAGCTTTCTTTACATATTTCTGCCATGCTGGAATGAGTAAAGCTTTGGTGTGCAAAACACACCCCAGCTTCCAGGCCAACGGCTTGCACAACCAGCAGTTGCCCAGCAGATTCCTCAAGGCCTCACTGGCCCCGGCTGCACAGCTAAGGCCAATTTTACACAGATGAGCTGTCCCACATCATTTCCAGCAGGAAACAAAACGTGTCCCTCTTCTGCTCCACCCACACAAGGAGGGATTGCTTCTCTAGAATGGCATTTAAAAATAAGTGGATAACCACAAGAAACCTTTCTTCTTCTCTGATGCCATGGTTTTCTTTTGTCCTGGTTGTAACCACCAGGTTTTCTACTCTGAAACTCCTTAGGACACTTGCCCTCGGAAAGCAGTGTCTCTTTCCAAGGGCAGGAAGGGAATTCCAGGAAGTCATCTTATCCAACTTCTCTCTCTCTCAAAGAGACAAGTTGCTAGCTGAATTTAGATCCAGCTCTTAGTGTCTGGCTTTCAAAGAAGAAACTTCTATGAAGTTCTCTAGCAACTTAAGTCTCTGTTAAGTTCCCACTGTCAGAAAATTAAGACTTCTGACCTTTACCGTTGTGGGCTATGGAATCAGGCAACTATCATTTATTAGGTGTGAGGCTTGCAGCTCAGTCTTACTATCTGCAAAATGGAATTAACAACTAGATTATTACTGTGATGATAAAACACGATGATTCGTGTAAAGCATTTTGTAGAGTACATGACACATATTTATGAGCTCAATACTTGGAAGCTATCATACAATACAATTATCTTTCAAGCTGTTGATCAAGCCCATTTTTTCTCCTATTGCTCTCTTTTTCACAGCTGGTCAAGATCTCCCATTTGTTACCAGCAGCAGCAATTAAGTGTAACAGTTAAAAGCTAAGTATTATATCCTATCTTTCCAGAGGTGAGGATGAGGAACGCCATGGGAGACTTTAGTTAATTGTTAGCCTTGAGATTTCCCTTCTTTAGGGGCCCTTTAACCAACACATTTTAAATGAAATCACAAAGCTTATTAGAGGGGGTATGTTAAAAATAATGATGCTTCCCCAGGTCTCTTTCCAATAAGTTATCATTCTTTTTGAAACTTTAAATTATTCACTAATTGGCTTGGGCCAAACAATGCAGGATCACCTATATTTGGTTCTACCTAACAGGATGTCTGATTCTTTCAGATGATTTTTGATGTAGGGCTTTGGTAAATAGAAAGTTGGGACTTGCATTTTCAGGAACCAGTGATGATAGATTCTTAGAGATAAGGTTCTGGAATGACATAATGATAACACTTCACAGATAATAATAATCCTTACCTGAATGGTTCTTAATCTTTTTGAGGTTGAGGTCCCTTTGTAAATCTGATAAAAGCTAGGGATCCCTCTCTAGAAAAATGCATACTATTCATATAAATACATACTATTTATACAAAACCCTGCCTTTAATTAACTCTTACCATGGAGTCAATTACAGAACCTCTACCTTATACTTGGTTTAAGAAAAACCATCATTCATAAGTTTCTCTTCTTTCTTCATGTGCCATGGCTAAGGGCCAAGATTATTGAAAATATCCTAATTCATAATTTTTCAATGTGAAATCTAGATCTACAGAATAATGAAAATGTAAAAAGAATAAGAAAAAAAAAATTCTTTGACCATTTATATAAAAAAAAAAATCAGAAGATAGAATTGAATGTTCCAAATGGGAGCCCAAGAATGACTTGTCTTTTACATATTAGCAGGAGAGGTCAGATTCTGGAGCTTGGGATAACAGTTATCCTTTGTTCCCTAAATCAGAGCTGAGAGGCTTTCAAATGTTATACTATATGCTGATAAAGAAGGAGTGTCCTCAGGCAAAGAACTGGGAGAAGAAATGGAGATATGAGCTGTTAATTTATTGCTACAAAGATATGACTCCCCTTAGGTATATAGGAAATTCATTTTCCTCTACCCAACTGCATGGATAGGGAGAATGAATTTATAACATCTCAACATGAAAATTTCCCACAAAACCAAAATGAATATTGTTTAACTCTATCTGAAATAGTACTACTATGCAATGCACATTATGTATTAAGTCTTTTGTGGTTGGCCTGGAAATCACGCATAATATAGTTTCAACGAGAAAGAGAGGTTCTGAGATAATTGACTTGCAAATGAACTTCTGGAATGTAAGCAGGGGAATAACTGCACACTATTAAATTCCATTTCATGTGGCACATAAGCTTACATAATCAGCTCTGTACACCTTTGCTAGCCACACTGGAAAAAAAAATCCTGAATAGAAATGGTCTTATTCTTAAAATTGGGATTACAGAAAATCCTTTACAAAGCCTGATTTTCATCATGAACAAGACCAGGCATCAGAACAAAGTGAAACTGAAAATTTACACCACTTTGTAACCTGGCTGTGCCACCTGTTCAGACACTGAGTATATGCTAAGCCATATTTCTATTATTGATGAGATAGGAATAATACCTCATAGAGCTGGTGTGAGGGTTAAATAAAAAGTAAGTATAAGAGCGCCTTGAGAACCAAATTTTGGGGTTGATGAGATTGAGACTGTGCATTTCAGACTCGGCACCAAAAATGTAGTAGATACTTAATATCATCCTTTTTTAGTCTATATTATGGTTGTTTGCAGATTGTCGTCCTCTTTGCTTTTATACTGCAAGTTGCATTATAAGCCTGTGTAACAGTTTAATACATTTGCAACCTTTGAAGTATTTCATATACAAAGTGGACATTATAAATAATCTGCTTTGATTTTAATGATAAAATATTTCTCAGATCAATTGGGCATATGTTGTGTATGTGTACATATTTTATTAAAATCTCTCCTAAATATCATTAACCAGAGTTCACCTAAATTATATTAATCTCATACCTGAGATTTTGTTCAAAATCTTACTCTGTGTAGTGTTCTTGTTACAGGCATGCAGGTAATGGTATTCATGTGTTCTGCTTCTCTGAGATACTAACTTGTTCAAACTGGCTGAAGTTCAGACAATCTGACCAGGGTTTTATAACTGGAGGGAAGAAAGAGGAGATACCATAGAAAAAAATAGGCTCCCAGTATTCATTTGGGAGTGGAAAAGAGAGCAGTTCAAGTGTGATGATAATTACATAGTGCATTGCCAAGATTAAAATGAAAATGCACGGGTCTTAGACACTGCCATTAGATAGGAGACTAGGGAACACTCAATGACAGGCACCCCATTTCCTTTACTCTGTCCTACATATTCCTACTAGAATGTCTGCATCTTTGTATTTTTCTTTTGTCTCTTGACATTCAATAAACTCAATAAAATGGCTCCAATTACCTTCATTTGGGAAATATATCTGTGGTTTAAAAATCTCATCTCAAATTCTTGCAGCAAGAGGGGAAACATACTTCAATTAAGCTGAGCCAAGTGTGTTGAAATTTTTTTTCCAGGAAGTGCTATTGAAAATATCACAAATGATTCTACTTACCCATCTACTTAGTGTTAAGTACAACTGAAATGTTCTGGTCTATACTGACTGGAATGACTACTGATTACTTAAACAGAGATTGGTTGCTAGGAGACAATTACCCAATTGCTAGGCTTTCTGCAACCCTGTCTCCCAGAGCTCTTGAGAACTGTCCACATATTTGTCCCAGAGCACTTTGGCAGCATCCTTCTGCACCTTCTGCTGAAAGCCTGTTAATTACAAGTCTTGTAAACTTGGGCCTTTTAACCACCTGCCTTCATAATAAATGCAGCCTACATGCTCAGACTTGGACAGCATCATTTGGAATAACTGCTGTTTTTCCTTCTTTTAATTTACTTTTCTGAATTCCCAAACCTTCACCTTAGGCAACCAGAATGGCCCAGTATTGGTGACTAAAACTGAAGTGGGAAATCACTTGGATGTGTAATGAGGTCAGAAGATCATTTGAATCTACCAGGAAATTTGTTAAATGTCCTATGACTTCATGTCAAGGCCCAGAGAACACCTTCCTGGGTCAGCAGAGAAAGACAGAGTGAGGAGGCCCATTGCAGTCAATCAGGAATGAGTATGATCCAAGCACCTGCCATATGAGGGCCCTAAAACATACCCTTTGTCCTTTGAAAGTTAAAGTGTCTGGCTCTCTACTGGACATGTCTTACCATCTTTTTCTTTGTTTTCCTTTGTGTGTACAACCGCTTCATACTTATGGGGGAGGGAGGGAGGTCCCAGCTGAGGGCTCCTGTTTTAGGGTCATGCTACCATAGCAGACAACTACCTGCATTTTTGTACTTTACTAACATAGTCTAAAATGCACTGCGGAGAGGCTTTCCCTCTCAGTGAAAATATTCTGGCTAAAAGGCATACACTACCTCTTCTCTTCAATTTCAGATACATCAAAGGTTTTGAAATAAAAACCTGTCAGCTTTTGCTTCTCCCCAGTCTCAGTCCATCTTCTCCCTGGTGCTTGCTCGTTCTGTTCTGAGACACTCTTTCTTGAGAACCAGGCCCAGCCTAAGCAGACCAGGAAGTGTGCAGCTTGTCTGAGGATGCCCCCCCCAACCCCCGGGCATGATTCATGCAGGCATTAAAGGTCTCGCAGCAAAGCCCAAGGAAAGCCCCTGGGCAGATGCCTGGCACCCATGCGTTCCTAGTTAAGATGCGCTCTGCTCTCTGCAGCATCTCTTCAGTCACCCTGAAGAATCTTTCTGCTCATACTCTAGGATACAATGTTGCCCTTTCCAGGTGTCTGATTGACTGGGACTCTACTCCCCCTTTTCCCTGTTCTTCTGAAATTCTCTGTACCCAGCCACCTTCCTGTGACCTCTTCTGGTCTACCGTTAGGAGGATCTACTAAGATGCCCTCTCCAGGAGTAAGAGGTACCACCCAGATGTGACCAGGGCTTATGGCGTAATGCTCACTACCTGGCCACATCGACACGGAGAGCCAGAAAGCACCAAGTATCACTAGTATTCTCACTAGTACCACAAACGCTCTGTTCATGTTTCAGAAGCTTCTCTGGTCCTCTCCATATCAGTGCCATCCACCAACTTACTCTGCCTTCCCAGCCCCACTTCTGAGTCTATCATGTTCATGACATACAGTCAAAACTCCTCTCCGAGTTTCTAGCTAGCTGCCAAATTCTAGTTATCTACAAGCTTCTGCCCTTCTAAAGATTCCATCTACTTCAGAGCAGTCCACTTCCGATAATAACCACTTTGATATATATATTTAAAAGCCAGATAAACTAAAATGGCTTGAGAAACAAACCCTGTGAGGGGGCAATACAAGTTAGGTAGCTCTCCTAGTAGTATATGCTCCTGGTGACCCATCTGGGCTAAGCACAAGTGATAACAATAATATACAGAACTCCTTCCATCAATGGAGACAAGGGTATGAGCTTCAACACGTCACACACATAACTGACGGGCACCTAGACACACATGTGGACACATACACACCACACTGCTTGGCAGGAACGTACCAGGGTAGACCCAACAGCCTAGAACTAAGATGCCTATCACATCATGGGGTGGCAGATGGCCCAGGGACCGTGCACAAGGACATGATTTTTTTTTTTTCCTCTTTTAGCATTTTGGAGAGCACATGTTGTTACCTGCTGTCTTTGGTAGGCAGAGAAAGTTCTTTCCAGGTCTTCAAGATCTAGAATTTTGAAGACTTTTGTATCATCAATTTCAGTCCATACTGTGCCTTCCAGTTTATTCTGCAAACAACAAGTTAATAAGTTCTAGAGTTTATAGTTTATACACAAAAAGAACAGACGTGGTTATTTATTTATTTTTCTTCAAAGTGCTGCTATCCCTAATTTTTCATTCTACCAGATGCTCAAAGGGGGCTGGCTTCAAACAACACGTCATTTATTTCAGTTTTATCACGTAAATATCTGAGCTAGTGAGAACTCGAGTCCATACTAGAAAATGAAATCATTTAATAGCCAGGGCTGTTTCCCTTTTCAGGCACAACATAGTGAGCTGCTAATGCTATCCATTAGAGGGAAAATTAGAACAAATGGCTTACCTCGGGCAGCTTAGACCAGTTGAAGGATTTCAGGGCATTTGTGGGCTGAGGAATGTTTTTCTTCTTGAGTGCCAGACCCAGTGGAGCACCAGGAGGTGGCATGATCCCCCCTAAGGGAGGCGGCCCCGGGGGAGGGGGAGGGCCGCCTGGAGGAAGGGGAGGGGGCGGAGGAGGAAGCATCCCACCTGGCAGGGGTGGAGGTGGTGGGGGCGGAAGGAGGGACCCTGGTACAGAGGAAGGAAAGGGCCCCCCTGGGGCTCCAGGTGAGGGTCCACCTGGGATTGAAGCACAGACAGCTCTCTGAAAAGGTAAAAAAAAAAAAAAAAAAAAAAAAAGACAAGAGAAGATCAGTGGAAGACGTAAATTCATTGGATGATTCTGAGAGTCTGAAACTTTGCCTAAAATGTGTGTTATAGAGAAATTCACATTTCTGAGAAAATGGGTTTAAAGGGGCAGTAAATCAAATGAACTTTAGGGTCTTCATGGACGACTGAGGCAGCTCTTTGTATTTCGGACCTCAGTGCTTATCTGTAAAGCATTCATTCATTCATGTATCTCTCACTTCTTGTAACATCATGGTTTGGTTTTCACAGAATCAGTTTTCATTTTAAGAAGTCAATGTGATTTTGCTTTGCTCTGATTAGAGGATCTGTATTAAAAACGCACACCCCACACCGCCTCTGCTGCCTAACCCACACAATAGCAGAGGGAGTGAGTCTTATAACCACTGTGATAAATCACAAGGATTTATTCCCCCAGGCAGAAGCTGTCTGCCTAAGGTGAGGGGCTCCAGGGTAAGTGAGGCCTCGGCAGCTGCCCAGGAACGGAAGACCCGGCCCGCGGCCCCAGCCCTCACCCTGTTGAGCTCGTGGAGCTGTGCCGTGAGATCCACCACCTGCTGCTTGACTTGCTTATGCTCGCTAGTCTCCTTTTCAAGTTTCTCTTTCATTTTATTTAAGGTCTGCATCATCTCCTCCTTCTCTTGGGTCTTGGCATCACATTCACGCTCCTTCTTTTCCAATTTCTGTTGTAACTCATTGTGCTCTACACAAGAAAACAATGGGACATGAAAACAGGGGACTCTTCAAAGCTGAAGTGCTTTCTCTAAACAGAAAATTGGCTGAGGATGATTGTGAGGCTCTTTATTGGGTAAATATTATTCCTCTCCTCCATCAAAGGGAGCGACTTGCAGGCTCAGTGGTGTTCGCCCTTGGAGGGGTCCTTAGATGAACAACGTTATTAGCTACATTTTGTAAAATACGGAAGAGACCCTAAAGTCACAGTTCTGAAGATGGACACTAGTGTGAACACCTATTTGTGGAGGAGAATAGGGCTTGTTTGGTACTTACTTCAGGATCCTGTCATAAAAATGGCCCTTTAACCACTCTAGGGAAAACAAATATTAAAAGGGCCTCTTTTCACAAATTAGAAATGAGAACCAGAGAAGCCATTGTTTATTAGCTAGTTTGCTGGCTCGTGTCCAATGAGCACAGGGCTGAAGGGGAGGATCTTGCTCTGTGAGGAAAGGCTGATACCAGACGGCATCTGTCCCAACACGGAGTCCCCTCTCCCATTCTCCTCTCAGAAGGCTACTTGGACTTGAAGTATTTCATGCTTCTGATAAATAATTCTTAAAACTTGTGAAAGCAAATGTTATCATCTTAGCATTAAAAACCTTAAGGGCAGGGCATGAGAATCACCATAATCTGGGGAGAAAAATATTAACTCTCTGCTGTAGTTTTACTGACTTCCCAATCCTGCTCTAATGGAACAAGGCATCCAATTTAGCCAAATGCTTATTTACATTGCCAGTATGTCTGCTGACTCCAGTCCCTCACAGGAGTGAGGGGCTTTGGGAAGAGGACTGATCAAGTTTAGGCTGCAGATTTTCATTTCAAATACTTGGCCCCAATTCCTACTCTTTTTATTTAGTAAACCCACTAGAGATATAATCCACTGGGGCAGAGCTACACAGAATTGGTCTCTATTTCTGAATCTGATAACACATTGAAATTCTTGCTTTCTCCGTCTCTTACTTTGAGTCCCCCCAAACCAGTTTACAGAGAAGAGTTCAAGCCTAAAGCCTTGAGGTTAAAATAACCATCAGCCCACTTCTACCACTCTGCGAATGCATCCCCAACTTCTTCAGAGATGTGTCTAAAAACGACCTCACTGCACCCCATTTTCCTTCTATCTCCATTTCATTTCTCTTCCTCAATTTTAAGACTTGCCTCTTATCATTGGTCCTGAAGCTTTGACAAATCCAGCTGTGCTTCAGAACCACCTGAGAGATTTTAACATTTTGGGAGTCTGTTCTATGGGTTGGGAGGATAGGGCTTAGGAATTTGTTTTCAAATGCCCCTTAGTGGATTCTGATGTAATACAGGTCTGGTAAGCTGCTGCTGAAAGGATTCTCTCCACAATGGACATCCATTTATCTCCACTTTTCAGGTCCAAAGAACTTCCCATCTCCTCACAGCCTCCACACTCTGATTCATCAACGTGTGCCCTCTTTAATACAGCCTTGCTACTTGAAGCTTTCAGAAAAGAGTTCATTTTATCTACAGCACCTCCTTTCTTACACACCCCCTGTGACCTTACTGACCTTGGCCATTACCTCTTGTACACCTCAGAATCCTACCACAGTCCCTATCATTTACTGTGCAACCATATGTGCCAGGCACTACGTTGGAGTCTCTGTATTTGTTTTGTCATTTAATCTTTATAACAACCCTGTGAGTTGGGTGTAACGTGCATCTTACAGAGGAGAGTGGAGAAGAAGACATGACTCCTTACGCACACACCCAGAGCCCAGCACAGTGCCTGACACATACAGGCATTCAACAAGCATCCACTGAACAAATGACTGAATGACTCCAAAGCTTCTGTCCTAGGTACTCTCCTCAGCTTGCACCCCTGAATCCCCATGCTCTACAGTGTACCCCTAAAGTACCACCCGACCATTTTCTCTTCATTATAATCTCTCTTTACCCCAACCTTTTAGTCAGTGTTTCTCTTCTTTCTATAGCAGTTTCTGGAATCTATTAATGAAAATGTATGTGGCAACCTCACTTATGTGAGAGCAATCTGAATTCACGTGAGGAACCTGTAACAGAAGTGTACTTCACATGCGGTATTTTCTGCTCTCAGTGGTGGCCCTGCTTTTCTGCTCAAAGGAAAAGGACAAATGTGATGAGGGAAAAGGAAATGCTTTGGCATCTCTTGGACCCTCTTTTCAACACACTAAATATCGGGGTGAGTGCTATTGTGTTTCATTGGCCGTGGCTAAATAACTTGGACAAGGAAAAGGAAATCAGTTAACCAGCATAGTGAAAGAGCAGAGGCCAGGAATAGGACTGTTTTTACAAAAGGGCCAACTTTAGTTGCTAGTATTTTGAAGGAAGTGGGGCAACTTATGTCCATTCTCTGAGCTGGCACAGTGATGGGCACAAATGACCCTCCTGGCATTTGATGCTGAGTGTTAATACCCAAGACATATTCAAATACTCACCAAGAGCTGGTCTAAGAATGTCTCATAATGTATGTATCGACAATGGTCAGTAATTTCTACATGATTTTTCTGTTCATAACTGGTGCCAAATAAGGTCACATGGTGAATGGGACTGCTGAAACCAAGTGGCCTGGGTTTCTCTTTTAAAATTCTGGGTCATCCCTGGTGTTCTTTATGACATTTCTTAAAACATAGTGTGACTTGACAAACAGTTATGGGGCGGGGGGAGGGCTGGAAGGAGTAGTAGTTAAGAAAATTTGTATCAATGAATACCAAACAGCAAATGCTACAAACTCTTCCAAAAAAATTTACATAATTATAATAAAAGGAAAAAATATTTGGCAATCAGCAGGACAACTAAAATAGCTCGATTCAAGAGAAAACAGGGCAAAAACGCCCTTAAGACATAGAAAAGGAAAGACTTTTTGATGCACTAAAGTCAGTAAGAAGTATCAGCACAAATTTCTAAAATATACAGAGAACAGAGTTGCCCAATAACCAGTAACATGGCCTCTTCTCTTGTCGGGGCCTCATTATTTACCTTTTCTCATCTTTTCCGCTTGTTCTTTCCACTGCTTAACTTCATTTTCATTAACCAACCTGTATAATAGTTAAAGGAGTATTCATTACAAAAAACCATAAAAGGCCCACTGCCAAAATGCATGCTCTCTAGGTACAAAAATAGTCCACTGCACAGAAAACCCTCAGTGTGCATGAAAGCCATTTAAACCCGGACGTTACTCAGATATATTACATATGTATATATAGGAACTCATATTTGACGTCTAGAACATTTCAGTTCTCCCAGCTGCTATTTTAAAGTAGGATAAAATAAATATCTTACACAGTGACTATTATTTCACAGACCACAAAATAAGAAACTTACATTCGTACGACATTCTTAATATTAAAGTTTTCCAAAGGTGTGGTGTCGGGGTCCTGTCCTTTGTCATTTTGAATAACTATTTGCTGTATAATTCTATCTAGTAGTAGCCAGTACTGAACGGTGTTGCCACTTCTCTTGTCTAAAAAAGAAAAGAATGGAGGAAAAATACTTGAAGTTGTTTCTAAACTAGGATGAATATTTTTCAATAGCGGTCACCCACTGGAGCCACAGAACCAGAGATGTTTACAACATCTGCACCAGCACTTCCCAAAGTTTCTGGAATTCTGACATGCAATGATCATTTATGTGACTGAGAGGCATTTTCTATCCCTTTTGAAATGTGTTGCAAGGCATATATTTATTTTTAAAATCAAAGTAGGTTATAATTCATCTCAGTTTTGGAATGTCACAATACCCCTTGAGCTGTGTGACACTTTGGACTGTCACAAAACCAAGGTTGGAATCCCTGGTGTGCACCCAAACTAATCAGCACTGTTCAGAAGACAGAGTCCTTTGGATGATGTCCAAACATTTGAAAACACACATGTAAGTCACAAACACACTCACAAGGCATTTGGAGGCAGTGGTGCAGGATGGACATGAAGTGAGGGTAAGCTTCACTATGGGTCAGCCTCTTCCTGGTCAGCTCAAACATCTGAGTCGCACTTTTTGTGTCTATGTGAACCTATTCCGTATGAAAAAGAAATCTAAGTCAAACACCCAATATCCTCAATACCTGCAATGCAAGGTAAGCAAATCCAAGGTAAACAGAGCTAATCCTCCAGGTATACCAAGTCCATGTCAACTCAACACACATTACAACAGGGAAATTCCTTGAGTTGATGAGTTAAATCAGAATAATTGTGAGCATACCTACCAGTTCAAATCTTTTGGCAAATTCTAGTTCATCTTCATTTCGGAGCATTTCAAAAAAATCTAAATGTCTGAAATCCAATAAAAGAGAAGCTATTAAAAGTAGAACATCCTACAAACATAAGCACATGGGAATCAGGACATTAATACTAAGACCTTTCCTGAATATTCAGATTTCTCTAAAAGAAATAAGACAACAAAATTTGAATGCCTTTGCTTAACTATGTTCTAAGGAAAAAGACATATTCTGACTGAAATGAGATCACAATAAGAGACAAATTTAAGAGCCTAGGATGCCTAGTACATAGTAGATAATAAATGTTTATCAAATCCAAAAACAGTCAAGTCCAGATTCTGCTCACAGACTCCCTTTATGGAAAAATGAGCCCACATACCTACACTTGCCTGATTGATGAATTAAGACCACAAAAGAAATATTCATGCCATTCACTTATTCATTTATTGAACCCCTACTATGTATTTTAGATACTGGGGATGGTAAGTTCTATGAAGACAAACACATCAGGGTAAAGGGAAAAGAGAATGATGGGAGGTGAGGTGAGTTGTGTACACACACTGGCTGGAAAAGGTCTCTCTGAAGGGAAGAAGGAAATAAACAATTTGGACATCTGTAGGAAGATCTTTTAATGCTGAGAAAATAGCAAGTGCAAAGGCCCTGAGGCAAAAGTATTTTGACATGTTCATAGACTTCCAAGGAGAAGAGCATGTCAGAGTGCATGAATGAGGGAGGGGAGCAGTAGAAGGAAAGATCTGAGAGCTAGTGGGATATCTTAGAAATAGTGAAATGATTGCAAACAAGAGCAAATGAACAAGAGAGTGAAAATTCACATTCACAGAATGCCTATCATGGTGCCAAGTGATTCCATGTTTTATAGTTAATCTTCATAACAGCCCATAAAAGATAGTGGTCATCATTATCATCATTATTATCACTATTTCTTGGGGGGGAAAAAAAAACAACCAGTAAGATTCAGAAAGATTGAGTAACTTGACCAGAATACATAGCAAGTTAAGGGGTAGGACAAGGATGTGGATTCAGTCTGATGCCACAACCCGCATTAAGTTCTCTGTACGCTGTGCTGCTTCTTTCACTGACAAAGTCTTAATATAAAAGCACCATTCATTGAACTAATATTTGGGGGCCAGCTCCTTATGTTACAGAAAGGTCACATGCAATTCACAGGCACTGCGTACACGGAAAAAGCATGAATTAGATGATAACAGTCTGACTTACCTATCTAATGTTGAATTTTCATGTTCCCTTAATTTATCTATTACAGGCTGAATTCCTAACATCAGAAATTCATAGCGAAGATGAAGTCTAAAGTCCAAACTTTCCTGAAAGTGAAAGGGTGATAAAACACATATTTATGCTTTTTGGACTATGTACATAGAAATTTTAAAAAAGATTATTCTTTAATAATGCATGTTTTCAAGAGTAGTACGGAAGGCTCTTACCACTCCTGCACCTTGGCTTAGCACTGCATTGATGAAGGACATGATGGCAGTCTTGAGACTCACTTCATCTCGATACCGCCCTGTGCTTTTATCCAAGTCATTAATCAACGTCTATAAAAACAAAGGACTGAATCATCACTAATCTTACGCTCATTTTATTAATTTTTATATTCGGAAGTAAATTTTTTAAATCTTGTGTTTAGTCAGAATTACATTAATCCATAGAAAGCCACCTTTTATTTTTCCTAAAATTAGTTCAAAAAACTCTTACTTTCAAACTTCCTACCTCACCTATGTTCATTTATACATGTATACAAAATACAAAAGACTGCGCTTTGTAGACTTGGCTTGCTTTTTATATTTGGGTATAAATACGGTGACAGGATCTCACTGTTTATATTGATACTAAATCAAGAATGGCAACCTGTAAGACTTTCAGGGAACACTGCATTTAGTGAATTCAAAAGATACCTGCTACAGCATGTGTAGGAAGCAGGGTCATATTTTCAAATTCAGTAAATCTAAAATCCCAGGTTGATCAACTATTGAAAGCATATTATACTCTGGTACTAAAACCCAAGAGGAAGGAAACACTTGAGTCATCACCACAGAGGGAAATCTCAAGTTATGTTCCCCCCCTCAGGGCCAGGAAAGCACCTGTCAGAAGGGGTGGATGACAAAGCGTAGAGCGAGCATGCCCACCTGAAAGCGAGTTCTTTCACTGGCATACTTCTGGTAGTGCAGCATGGCCTGCAGAACCTTCTTGTGGCCCCCGGGAACCAGGCACACGGCGCCCAAGATTTCCAGCACGGCCACCTTCGTTTTAATGTTCTCTGTGCTCAGACTCTGAGCAATCACATTAATACTCTCAGAATGAGCCAGGACATGAGCCCGACCTTGAGAGTTGTTCATTAGCGCCTTTATACATCCAATGAGAGAGGTATGTATTCGAGACTCTGAGGTCTCGTAGTCCATGGTCTTTAGAAAGTTGAGAATACATGACAGGCCATCCAAGTCGATGAATCTGGTTACAAACCTGGCAGGAGAAGAAGGTTAAAATGGATCAGACCTAGGTCTCTTTGGAATTTTCTAATAGCCCTTAAAGGAAAAGTTTTGCAGGGGCAGGAGAAAGGAAGATGTATTTCCTGAAGTACCAAAGACCTAGATGGATGAAGTCTTCTTAATTCCTGACCTCTTCCTCAGCACAAACCCAATGGTCAGGTCTACCAGAAATGTGAAATAATATCTATTTGAGATAAACAGATCTCAACCGATACAAAAAAACAATGAACAGATCATATAACCACAGTAAAATCAGGAACAAGAAGACACTCAGAATATGTGTCTTAAGTTAAAGTCATCTGCTGATCCTGTGTTATCATAGCATCCAGCCCCTAAACACCTTTATGTTAACCATTGACCCATATCAATGAAAGTCAGAGCATCCTTAAGCTCCAGGATATTTGTCAAACAAATGATAATCTATATTACTAACATTTTGTAGCAAACTCTTCTTTTGTAGGACATGCTACTGGAATCCCTCTATGTAAAACAAATAAGGGGCGCCTGGCTGGCTCAGTCCATAGAGCATGCGACTCTTGATTTCAGTCTTGTGAGTTCAAGCCCCATGATGGGCCTGGAGCCTACTTAAAAAACTAAATAAATAAATGGCTAAAACAAAACAAAAGCAAGCCTTTGTTACTGCATATTAATTGATATCCATGGCATTTATTTACTGTAAAGTTGATCAGTGAGAATCATTCACGATGCACATATAATGTGAAGTTCTGAAAATTTCAGAAGTAACATAACTTGTTTATATGACTGCTCCAGAAATTTCCAAACTTATTTAGTCTTGGATACCTATTAACATCTGAGAATGCAAACACACACAAATAGGGACACACTGATGTAGTTAGGATTGGCTACAAAACCTCTGTCATACAACTGCATAGAATTTTTGATAAATCAGTATATTTTTCTTAGTTAGCATTTTATAGTCAAATTAAGAAAAGGAAATCTTTATTTTCCAGCCATTCCATGCAGTCACACAACGCAGATATAGTCCAGCTGGTTAAATCAACTGGCTTCATTCACAGCTCCTACGTTAATGAAATGTACCTAGAAGCATCCCAATATCCCACCAAACCTTAAAGACTAATTAATGGAAAATGAAGGTGTGGGAGATACACAGTGGAGGCTGACTGCCCATCTCTTTTAAGCAACAGTTTTATTGAGATATAACTCACATGCCATAAAATTCATATTTTCAAACGTACAATTCAGTGATTTTCACAGAGCTGTGCAATCACTGACATCATCTGATTTCATAACACTCTAGTCTTCCCCAAAAGACCATTTCCCCCCCTCCCCAACCCTAAGCAACCACTAATCTTTCTGTCTGTATAGATTGGTCTTTTCTGGACATTTCATATAAATGGAATCATGCAGTATGTTGTCTTTTTTCATCTGGCTTCTTTTACTTTGCATAAATATTTTCAAGGCTCATCCATGTTCTAGCATGTTATCAATAGTCTATTCCTCTCTAGGACTGAATAACAATTCATTGTATGGATATATCACATTCTATTTATCCATTCATCAGCTGATAGAATTTGGGTTGTTTCTACTTTTTGGTCATTATGAATACTGTTAACATGAACATTCCTGTTCCCTCGGCTATATATCAAGGAGTAGAATTGTCCAGTGATAGAACAACACTATGTTTAACATTCAGAGGAACCGTCCAACTGTTTTCCGAAGTGGCTGCACCATTTTACTTTCCCACCAACAATGTACAAGGGTTGCAATTTCTCCACATCTGCACCAACACTTGCTAGTCTCTTTTTAAATTTTAGCCATCTTAACAGCTGGCTGTATATCTTTAATTGAAGAAAATCAATTTATTCAATGTTCAATGATTAAAGTATTTCACCCATGATCCAATGGAATGCTTTTAATTTAAGACTTCCTTAAAAGTTTGGCTATTGCAGAAAAAAGAAGAAAGTAGGGTAGGAAAGAAGGGAGAAAGAAAGGACAGAAGAAGAAAAAAGAAAAAAAGAGAGAGAAGTAATACATGCTACCCAAGAAAGAATTACCTCATTGGTTTTGTCCTTAGTGCTGTCTTCAAACTCTCTATAGTTTTACTTCTCTCTTCTTCCTCTTCCTTCTCTAAAGCCAGGAGAGATTTTCTCTATGCAAAGAAAACTGAAGTTACCTCTTCAAATTCTATGATTTAATTAGGGTACAAGCAAGACAAGTCCACAGATTACATGCTAATATCACTTTTAATACAAATAAACAATCAGTACATCTATGACTAGGGTTGCTATAAAACCAAAATATAGAGCAAAAGTACTAAGAATTCCAGATTTGTTATCTCTATTGAAAGTTCTTTCAAAATTTAAATAAAGCTTTAAGAAATGTTTAGAATCTTCAGTAGAGATAACTACACTCTGATGAAGACATTACTATTTATATTTGATAGAAAGAGGGTTGGATCTGCAGTTAAATACAGCATTCTGGCAAATGAAGTTAGTAACATTATCACACTATCAAACCAAGGCAGTTTGCGGAATCCTCAAGCCGAAAAGTAGAATCTTTTACACTTTGTGTTACATCAAATTATTTAACAGGAACAATCAAATCGGACATGATACTAAGATGGACAATTCTTTCAGAGTAAATACTTAACATCACTTGGAAATTAGGCTGTGGTGTGTGTGTGTGGGGGGGGGGGTGCTTACACCCTCCCTACCGGGGATCTTTGAGCAATGCTTCCCAAACTTTAATGTAGACATGGATCTCCTGGGGCTCTTGTTAAAATGAGGGTTCTGATTTCGTGTGTCTGGAGGGAAGCCCAAGATGCTGCATTTCTGACTAGTTTCCATGCAGTGCTGATGTTACAAGGTCTATGGGCCACACTCTGAAGAACAAGGCTCTAAGGAAACAGATCTCAGTTGACATTACAGTCATGGATGCTAGTAAGGTTTATCTTTGTGAAAAAGTATTTTCCATTCCTTTAAGCCCATGATCAACTGGTTGTACTGAAAGTACCCTCAAGTCTTAATGGCCTCAGGAGCCTCCACCCACAGAACCACTGGTCCCTTGCCATCATCCTATTCTGAACACATGCTATTCTTTTTTTTTTTTTAAGATCTCAGTTTCCTTACCTGCTACCAATTCTGATAAAATGCGAGGCTGGGAAATAGGCTGGGGTACTGGGGGGAAAAAAAGTTTGTTTCTTATCCCTGTGTCTCAATGATCCAGTCTCTCCCTTTCTTTCAGGACCGCAGATCATCAAAGGGTGACTTTACTTCATTTTTTCAAGTTAATAGTATCAGTAGTAAGTAACTAAATGTTAATTAAAACCTAAATTTGACTTCACAATTAGGAGGGTTAAAGCTCCAAACAAAGAAATATATCAGTATCATTTAAGGCAACTGAAATAAGAATCAGTAAAGTCTTGTTTTTCAAACGTGTTATTGTTTCCGCTGACCCTGTCCTCTTGCTGGTGATGTGCCTGGACAGCTGTGACCAGAGGACGGCAGGGGAAGAAGCTGTGTGCAGAAATAGCCAATAAATTTCTTCACAGCTCTGTGAGACCCATTCCCTGGAAAATTCAGCCCGAATCCAGCCAAGTATGTTTAATCTCCTATGGCACAGCTGAACTCGTTTTAGACTCTGAAGCAATCACTTTGAATCTGCAGCTCAGAATCAAGCCATTTATGAACATCACTGCTTGTCCCTAAGCTTAATCACACAAAACTATACCCAAATTAAAGACACGCAATCCTTATTATGGCTCACTAATACCAAAGAAAGATGTACGTATTTATTCTTTTAACATTGGAGTGTGTGGAACATCTGAATAAAGACAGACTACATTAAGTCTCTCGCTAGTAGAGCTGGGAGATTTATAAAAAGTCAAGAAAATTGAATTAGAATTTCCTTTCCCAGTGTCAGGACCATTACCTTCCTTTCAGGCAACACACTCTTTTCTGTATGTGATAAAATTAGATTTGAATCAAAGATTGTGTTCGTTATACTGAGAAAACTGAGGATATGCAGATGAATGTGATATTCTAATGTGACTTTTCAAAATAAAATAAATTATATGAAGTCTAAAGTTTTCAAGCTTCACATTTAGGAAGAAGGCTTGATTTGCAGTTTTTCACAGAAAGAGGAGACATGCCTACCTTTCTAAAGATAGCTGCTAGGCCAACCATGTAGTATGCACCTTGGCATACTCAGGTGAGGCTTGTGGTGGCCTCCTTGGGAGCTCTATGTACTTACTAGATCCCTGCTCACCTGAGAAGTGGGCAAAGGACAAAGTGCCTCCTGGGAGAGCATCTTCTGATACAAGCTACTAAGGTGTATACTGGAACACACAGATCTGAGAGAGAGATCAAAGTGGACACGACATCATTCCTGCTGGGGGTCTGGAGCTAAGCTCCCGCTGGAAACCTTTCACTGGTGTGAAATCAGTAAGCCAGTCTGCTAAGCACGCTGAACTTCACCTCACATCCTTCCTCCCTGAGAGCGCACGGTGAAGCCACATCCAAAGGAAGCCCAGGTCCTTCTTGAACCTGTTGCGCTGTACTTTTTATTATACTGTTTTTCACTCTTTAAAAGCCAACAGATCACTCCGGGGTCCTTCAAAGAACAAAGCATTCTTGTTAAGAAGCTTACGTAACGTAACTGAACTTGTTCCACAAATGGCTTCGTAGCCCAGGAACTGCTGCAGTTCTCAACCTGGACTGTTCATCAGATTCTGGAAGCACTAAAGAAAACAGATGCCTGCCCCACCTCAGAAAAGTCGGGAGGTCGGGGCGGGGGCGGGGGGAGGGGGAGGGGGGCGGTGATTACCAGGCCTCTCTGACTTGCCAAAGGGTTTTAAAAACTGAGTGAGAGGCAAATTAGAATGGAATCTTTGAGCTCAGACTGATAGGTTTAAATTCCAGCTCTACTGTTCCTAATTAGATGACCTTGGGCAAGGTAACCTTTCTCCAAGTCCCAGACTCCTTTCTATAAATAGCACTTCCAGCACGGGGTGCTTGTGAAGGATTTAAAACAACACGTAAAGTGCCTGTTATACTGCCTGTCACATGCTGCGCGCTCAAGAGCAGTCAGTAGTCGCTAGTGATGCTGAAGACAAAGGACGATAACAATGTGGATAAATCCCCTTGAACAAATCCCTAAGCTAGAGAGCTCAAGTTGAGCTGTGGGGCCATGAAACGATTTGGAGGAACTGTATGTCTTTCCAGTCCCCAGGGACAATGTCTCAGGCTCTCTGCTGTGTGTCATTGGGAATTCTCCACTACAGTTAGCAGAGAGACCAGACAGAACCACAGGAGGAGGTGGTGGCAACAAATTTGGTGAGAAAAACAGAAAATTCAGCATAGGGTTTTGGTCTCATCAGACCTCCTTGCCTGTTATACATGGAGTTCTGAGGTCTCATTAACTCAGGAGTTGTTACTGCATTTTACCTTTAACCCTAGAAAGATACCAGCTCTGTCCTTAAAGGAGCATTAGAAAGCTTTGTTAGGTGTTAAGCACATAAAGAATAGCAAAATGACTGACAATTTAATTGCCTTGAGATACTCTCGGAAAGGATTTCGGATTAGGAAGCAAATACAATTAAAATGTAGATGACTCATGAATGCAGCATGGGGTTGTCCAAGGAGCTGGCCGAAGGAGAAAGGAGGCTCAAAGCACACATCACAGACCTTCTTGTGCAGGAAATGAGCCAGGCTGACTCCATACAAGGCATGGGTTAAGTCACTAAAGGACAAATTAACCTAATTGCCCCCAAAATTTGAAAAAAAGAAAATGCCATAGTATTTAGCACTTTTCCATTTATAGAAGTGAATTCATTAACGAAGAAGCAACTTCCCTTGTTACATCAAACAATGCTGACTTAATCAGAAAGAGAGACAGCCTGACCCACAGCTCTTTTTTTTCCCTAACAGCCAGGAACAAGAATTTAGAACTTAACCTCCACACGTAGGAAATGTAAATGGCTCTAACTTATTATTGCTTAGGCTGTGCACAGAAGAATCCCTGATGGTTGTCACAAGCCCCACACTTTGCTAACGTATTTATACAACTGCTGAGATCACCCTTTTCTCATCTTTGCCATTGTGTAGGAAGCCTTGGATAAGGATGTTGGATGTTATTTTCTGCAGTGCTTTTAGACTAGAAATCCTCGGGGCAAAATCTTATGCAGTTTCTTCTATAATTTATACAGCCCCGTTCACATTTACTAGGCTGTTTATTATTCATTGTGCAAAAGCAGAAGAAATATCTTCAAAGAAAAAGCTAGAAAAGAGGAAGTTACTAGAAGCCAAGGTCTCTGAAAGTTTAGTAAAAAAGTGTGAGTGATTCACATATTCTAATCAGTTTTTAACTTTTGCAGCAGCAACAAAATATTAGATATTGTTTTTTTTTTAAATGTCTGCCTTAAGTGTTAAGTAGCTAATTCTCCAAAAAGACCCTGGGGAAGGAAGAAAAGGAAAGGTAGAGAAAAGCATTTATTATGGAAGCTACCATCGTGCTTGGATATTATAAACTCAAAGTTGAATCTAACAGAGTGATCTTAAAATCATGAGTGTACCCACAGAGGAAAAGACTGTTGCACCACGGGCAATCGCCAGTTTTTATCGACATGAATAGGATCTGATTTACTAAGGCTCAAAGGTTGATGACTTGTTTTCTGCATATTTTAGCATATTTTAGCTGGGATCAATAGGTGCCCTTTAAGGTGCTCAGAATGCTGACATTACACAGACATCCATGTGATCAGAAGGCGTATTTTAGGCACTGAAAATGCATTTTAAGCAATTACTTAACCAAAGATTTCCCAAGGACATCTCAGCATAATTATTATGTCTTTTATTCACCACTTATTCCATAAACTCCCTTTGTTATTTATAGGAGTGAAAGAGTACCTGGCTGCCCTGTAAAATCAAGAATCTAGTAACTAAGCAAGTCCGAGGTGAAGAGGAGAATGGGAGGAGAACAGTGAAGGAATAGTTTCATTGTATTATTTTAAAATGGTATTAACTTGTAGAATAGTACTGCCATAACAACGCTCCAAATGACTGGTGAGAGCAACTGCAAGTTAAAGTTGAACATAAGCCAGATTTAGATTACATTTCCTCTTTTAACATTAAACTCACATATATTTTAGTGTGTGCTGATTTTATGTAAAACATACTGGAAAAAATCATTTTGCCAAGTACCACTGCTGCCCTCCTTCCCCTGCCCCTCCCCACCAACACTGAGTGTTTGGAATGGAGTTTGGAAAGATAATGACATTTGGTAGTTCTTACTCAAATGAATTTATTGTGCAATTGTGTGCTAAATTTGCATTTTAAACTGTGTGCCACTGAGCAGAAAGTATACCTACAGCAGCCATGGAATTGAGCTGATCGATGTAGAATTCAGGCCAACTTGTTGCTCCCTTGTTTTCTTCCTGATCCTAAACAGAAAGCAAAAAAAAAAAAGTAATATACCACCAGATATATACACACAACGGCCATAAGCACATCTGACTTTCAGAGCATCTAGACAATGACCTATATAAGCCATTAGAAGACAATGATAGAAGATATTTGTCTTCAAATGTTGGCTCTGATCATCAGACTGTTCACTCACCTAGGGACAAGACAGAGTTACAGTCAGAGTTAGGTATGAGTTAGGTATGACAAAGGGGACATTTTCTGAACCATGGATCAAGGGGAACTTATTATTTTATCACTTTTTTAATTTATATTTTTAAAAAATTGAAGAACAATGGGCATAAAGTATTGTATTAGTTTCAGGGGTACAACATGGTGATGTGACATTTATATATGATACAAAATGGCAACCATAATAAACCTAGTTACCATCTGTCACCATAAAATGTTGCTACAGTAGGAACACCTGGGTGGCTCAGTTGGTTAAGTGTCCAACTCTTGATTTCAGCTCAGGTCGTGAGATCAAGCCCTGAGTCGGGCTCTGCCCTAGGCATGGAGCCTACTTAAGATTGTCTTTCTCCCTCTCCTTCTGCCCCTCCACCCCCACCCCGGCTTGCCCGCCCACTTGCTCGCTCTCAAAAAAAAAAAAAAAAGTTTTTACAGTATTATTGACTATAAAGGGGAATTTAAATGGGAACTTAGCCACACTATGATACGACATTGTTTTCCTTCAGGGGCACAATAACATTGGGAAGGGCACAGTGTTTGTTGTGAGGAAAAAGGATCTCTAGATCCTGTGAGGCACTGAGGACAGCATTGCTCAACTATTTGTCTGGATGAAATCCACAAAAGAAGGAAAACTGTCTTTAAAAATGACCATAGGATTTGGCCAGTTGTTAATTAAGACTATTTTAGTTAGTTTATTCAGACTCCAGAAAAAAGTAAAAATTTTGAAGGGTTTCATTTGATGTAACCAAAACTAGGTACTGCTTCCGATGAAAAGGTAGAATAAAGCCTGACACTGGACGGAAAGTAGTAAAATGAACATACATTACTCACAGGCCCAGCCCTCATGCTGTGACAGCTTGTGAGTTTGAGAAATGCATCTGAGCTGACGGCAACTGGAACCCAGGAATTCAGGAACCCTTCCTGAACCGCTCTGGCCAGTCTTTCGTCTTACAAAACAGGGTGACCTGAAGCCAGCACCAGGGCCCTCAGGGCTTCTGTGGATAGTAGCCCCCAGCCTGAGCCCTCACTTCCCCCCAAAATCAGGGGGCTATGGCTTCTGCTCCATGCCAACACCGAGTCCATCCGAAGACGGCATTGTAGTTGGAGCTTTCCAGGCATGTTTGCACACCTAAGTGGCTGGAAGTCATCTGTGTGATCAACTAGACTCGAAGAGGAAAATTTCGACATTCTCTAGCTTCACGTTCAGAGAGCACCTCCGTAAAATTGACATCCCCTGTGCCCTTGGAAAAGATGCTGGGCCAGGTACACGTAGCTGCTATGAGACAATGAAGCAGTTACTACCGATTTACTGATGTCAGAATCCCAATCTTTGGGATAGCAGTTTCAAGGCGGGGCTTTTAATTTCAGCCCTATACTTGACCTCAAAAACACTTTTTCTAAGCAAATCTTTCTAGGCACGTCTACTGTGGCGAGATAAAAGAAACGTAATTTCAAAACTATTCGTTAAGTAGTCACAAAAAGCAGGCAAAGTAAGTAGTGCTTACGGTGCCTTAAAAGCTGGCAGTAACAGATACCTGAACTTGAGCAGTTGCACGAATTTCATCCGGAGACTGAACGAGCCAGATGATGGGGACAATGGCTATAGCAGCAGCTTTGAAGTTGGACTGCATTACACTCGCATGGTTTTAAAAAGCTGAGGAAATCTGATGAGTTTTTAGAACAGTCCTCGGTTAAATATATTGCTTAAATATAACATGTTAATAAACTAGCTACAATGGCAGTGTAAATGCTGAACCCTTCTCTCCTCCTAAAATGGAGTGTTAAAGTTAGCAAAACCCCGCTGTTACCAATGTATTCAGCAAGCCAAAACCCACAGCAACAGCCAACAGTATTTGAACCTATAAAATCAAATAGAAGGTGCCAGATCTTCCTAGTCCCTCAAACTAGGGCAAGTTTCCAAAACTACAACAAAATCCTGTCCCGTGTCTGGGGTCCCCTGAGAGCCTGTCTGCTGTAAGCTTAACTGTCATGGTTAACAGAACAGGAGATCATTTTAGAAGCTGAAGATTAGTATATAGAGAGAAATCTTTACACTTTGGAAATGCTTTAGTAATGTAAACATATTAAGAGTAGACCTAGATACTGTAGTCAAAACAGGGGAAAGAAAACTTCATTTTTATTTCACATGCTTCAGTGCTGAGAATATCAAATGAGCTAATGTATGTAAAAGCTTCTCGTGAAAGTACTGTTATCACTATATTCCTGGGGGTGATCCTCAGAGTTCTTCATTTTGGCAATGTGTCTCCAGTTTCCTCTGTGCAATTCTGTTCCTTCTGTACAGATGTGCACTCCAGTAGCCAAGTGAAACACATCTGTGCATCAATTCTCTGCTCCTACTTTGTGCGGCTGCTAGAGTCTATAGTTACGCAGAGCCACAGGCCAGAAATAGATGAATGCAATTGTTCTTGCGGGGCGGGGGGGTTCCTTCAAAAGCACTGGACACCGAGGCATGCTGAGGAGAAGACTCTCTCCTAAGAAGTCCATGAAAGAAACTGCTGATGAAAGTCTAGGTGTCTGATATTCCCAGAAAGCAACTGGGTCCTATGTGTTACCAGCCTCTAACATGTGTTATTCTTTGAGCCATCTGCCTCCCCTCTATTTTCTTTGTTACGAAGAAACAAGTGGAAAAATAAACAAGATTGTATAGACTGCATTAGTTGTAATGGAAGCAACAGTAATATCTAACACATTCATAGCTTATGAACAAACATTTAAAAAATTGTTCTAAGCACTGTGTTCTTCATGTAATCTACCAGATGAGGTAGCCACTGTTATTTCACTCATTTTAGTGAGGAGGAAACAGAGGCAAAGAGAAGACCAGTGAGTTGCCAAAGGTCATCCTGCTAGAAATTCAGAGGCAGTGGGAAAGAATCAGGGCAACCTCTTTCCTAAGATTAGACCTCAGATTAATCACAAGCAATATACAGTAAGTGCAAAGCTGGCCTTTAACTCCTAACCACTTTACTGTATGAGAAATTCAAACATGGTGGGGCGCCTGGGTGGCTCAGTCATTAAGTGTCTGCCTTCGGCTCAGGTCATGATCCGGGGTCCTGGGATGGAGCCCCGTATCAGGCTCTCTGCTTGGCAGGAAGCCTGCTTCTCCCTCTCCCACTCCCCCTGCTTGTGTTCCCTCTCGCTGTCTCTGTCAAATAAATAAATAAAATCTTAAAAAAAAAAAAAAAGGAAAGAAACTCAAACATGGTTAGTGGCCAAAAATGAATTTACTTTTCCCTAAACCTTTATTGCTATCTTTGCTACATTCAACATTTCTGAATATTATTCTAATTCTGAATATTGTTCTAAGGTCTGATGTCTTACATGGATGACCTCTGATCCCTCTTCTCCAGACTTTTTCTGTGGGACCTCTTCTGCCCCTCTATCAATGCCTTATCTATATATATATATGTGTGTGCATACAGACAGCATTTATGAAGCTTTACCCTAACCTGTTCTCCTGTTCTGTTACACACCAGTCTAATAGCCATCTTCGTGGGGATTTCTCAAGAGCGCTTAAAGATGAGCTAACAGCACTAAGCAGTTCCAGACACTGGAATTGCAAACAAATCCCTCCCTAAACCATACACATCTAACCCTGCTTTTGACTACTGCCTTGACCGATTCTATTGAACTTTTCTCTAGTAAGCAAGGATATTAGCTTTGTTCTATTCTTTAAAAAAGCTATTTTTCCTTCTTTTAAAACGGATTATAACACTAAATGACATCTAGAGAAGGTTTTGCCCTATGAGAATACAAATTCTAGCAATCACATTAAATCCTTTTTCATTCTACCTACAGAATGGTTAATTTGTATTAAAATCTAGTTTTGATCCCTTTTAAAAGTGCTACAAACATTTATGTTTATATGCCTATCTTTAGGTCTATTAAATAATTAGCACTGAACTGATATAAACATTTTATTTTGTTAAATCTTCTGATTACTGTTTTTAGATATCTGCAAATATCACTTATTTTCAGAGCGATGGGATGGTGGAAAGATGACCAGATTTTCCATCTGAAGATGAGATTCCAGAATTTACTTTTTGGTTTACTCAGTTGGCATTTCTTGGTAAGTTTGAGTATCCCTGGGCCTCATTTTTCTCTCACCAAATTGAGAGGGTAAGACCAGACGGTTTCTAAAGTCCCTATAAGCTCTAAGATTCTACAGAACTCTAATAGTGAGGTGTCATGGAAAACCAGTGTGCACTGTCTTTAGTTTGAGGGCCCAATTTCTAAAACCAATGATTGTTTTTTTTTTAATTTATCTTCTTCAGTGACTCAATTACAAAATACTTAACTTTAAATAGCTACTTCTTTTATAGGGTAATTGGACAGGGAAAAAAAAAAACAACATTAATTTTACTATTTCTCTAATCCAACTCATGCTATTTCCTTGGTAGGTTGATAGTCATGTGTAAGAGAATATTGGTGGACAAACCTTCTCACTGGATGAAGGCTCTGACACTTTACTTTGCTTTCAGCCTGCACTAACTAGTTTGAAGCTCTTTTCTTGTTATCTACTTTGTTCCCATTGTCTCAAATTCTGAAGAAACAACAAAACAAAACAAAAACCCCTTTGCTAGAAAAGGAAACTGGTATAGCACAAGGGACCTTCAAGAACATTTACTTTTTGGGATGCCTGGGTGGCTCAGTTGTTAAGCGTCTGCCTTCGGCTCAGGTCATGATCCTAGGGTCCTGGGATCGAGTCCAACATCGGGCTCCTTGCTCAGTGAGGAGCCTGCTTCTCCCTCTCCCTCTGCTGCTCCCCCTGCTT